TCACCATGAATGGCCACACACTGTCTGGACAGTTCTTGAGATATCAAAGACAAGTCATATGCAGACACTTGCCTCGGTTCCCTCCTCGAGAGACGATCCACTCGGGAACAATTCACGCTGCGGTTCGACTTGAGGATCACATTGTCATCCTTTTGTAGATAAAAGAGTTGATGAGTGGCAGCCTGGCGCCTTCCAGCAGTTAAGAACCTGATTCGATCTTAGCGCGTAAGACTGCTTGATTTCTTGCCCTTTTGGACAGAATGCGGAGCGAGATTTGGATCGAGAGGATGCAAAGTATTGTTCACTCCTGCTAGCACAAAATCCGACCCCCTAGAGTCAGAGTCAATACGAGACAGCTGCAGACAATTCGACGGACTCGCTTTCGTTCCTTTCTAGAGCTTTCGTGCGCGTAAGTTGGAACAGGGTTGATCTGCGAGCTTGCAGAAGGATCATCCAATATCTTCCTGGAATATCAGCAGGGCCCTGGCGCACGCAAACTGATACCTGTTCTGTATCGCTTTGAGAGCAAGCCGGGACCGTATTGATGAATCTTGTGGGTAGCATTTGAGCTTTTCATCTGACCACGACATGGCCGCTTGTTCAGAGCATTTTCGAGATTGCACAAGATCTTAGAGGAGAGTGAGACCGACAACGCAATAGTCGCACATCGATGTTCTCCGTCCTGGAAGATTCTGAGCAGGTTCGAGTTGGACCAGCGGCATCGAAGACAACGTTCCCGTGGGGTTGGACTCGTTACATTCATGAATTATCTTTAGTCCGTGATTTAGCATACCTGAAGATAGTCCTGCGTTTGAGCGAGATTGCAATGAGCGCCGTCATTTCGAGTTGTTCAGCAGAGCGCGCTAACTCTCGAATCCAGTCCTTCCTGCGCCATTGGTACGTTCTTTGAATGTGATTTCTACCCATCCGACGTTCTTCAATATCTAACTCTTGGAGAGTATGCAGCTTCTGTCGGCGTCATTGGTAACTGGTTGCAGATGCAGGTCGGGAGGTGAGTGGGCGATATGACGTTGGTGTCAAAGACAGGAGGAGCTCCTTGGTCATGCCATCCCTTGACCTCTGGATTCGTTTCTTGATACTGCAGATTATGCGTCGGAGGCGGGACAGGTCAAGTACAAGTAATGGGAGGAGCTGAGGGATGAACGGGCCGATCATGATCGTGTTTAGACTCCAAGGGCTAACGCGGTCAGGTGATTCAGGAACGCTCATATGGGCTGTCACGAGGACGGTCTACGTGCTGACAGGGCTGCCTACTGGAGGTGTGTAGTAGTGGTATAAAAGAGAGTGACGAGGAAAGAGTGTGTGTAGCCGCGATCGAGCGATTCTACATCGAACAGCTATTATCAGACGCGATGTATCAAAGATCGCGCTTGGGGTGGCCGTGAGCTGGATGATGTCAGTATTGGACCAGGGTTCCAGAGGCTCTCCTACCTGAGCACTGGTGGCGCGACACAGTTTGTCCCGCGCGCGACGCTGAAGAGGTCGTGGAGACAGTGGTCGAGCTCGTCAAGTTTGCAATTGTCTTAGCAAGAGTGGAAGTAGTCAGGGTTGTTTGTACTGCGGTTGCTGCTGACAGTCGTCTTCAAAGTGGGCTTTGCCGCCTGTTGGGTCGAAGTCGAAGTCGTTGAGGGCTTTGCTGCGGGGGGTGCCGCCGGTGGTGGTGCGGGGTTTGCAGCAACCACATTGGCGCCTGGAATCCTAGTGAGACTCTTCGCCAAGCAAAGCATCCGACCGATTCGACTCACCAGTGAATCCGGGTGCAGACCCTGTACGTTGGTAAATACACAATTCAACAGAAGCACGATTTCACCAACCCTTATTTCCGCAACCACCGGTGTTTGGCCAAAGGACGCGTTCTCGCCGCTCAGACAACCTCCATTCCACAAAGGCTGCCGTCAGAGCCAGACCACTCGCTGCAGCTGACTTCCTCGAATGTGCCCAGAAGTGCGCCTCGTCCGGAAGGGAAAAAGGCTGCTGCGCCTCCAGTGTCTTCGCAAATGTCGAAACTGCGTGGGATTAGCCGATGCTGTCGGAAGCTTGAAGCGCTTGCTCACTGCACAGGAGCCCCGAACTGGTTGGCCTGATTCGACACAGTCTGTCCGCAAAAGGCCTACACAGAAATTCTTGATCCCGTGTCTTATTACGCGCTAGCAGATGTATCGCACCTCATTGCCTTGAGCAGGACACATATCTGTCACCTTGACGACGATTGACTTCCCAAACGGACCCTTGAAGCTGGGGCTGTAAGGGTCCTCGGTGGCCGTCAAAGCAAAGCACCGGCCACACGAATCGCCAGCTCCCAGGCCAGAACCGAGCCAAACGCGAGCTGGCTGATTGCTGCGCTGTACCCAGACGCCGCCCTTCCGCACGCGGGCTGACCACACCCGCTGTAATGCGTGAACGTCGCGGTTCCAGACGGATTCTGGACATAGCCTCCGGTCGCGCGCGGGACGAGCGCAGTGGCCTCGGTCTGGAGAGCCAGGAGGAGGGCTGCAACAATCATCGGGTGGGTTTCGTGGGGGGACTTTTGGAAAAAATGACATCTGCATCGGACGCAATACTTATTTATAATGGACGCTTGCAATACACTCCCTGCAAGACGGTGGCAAATCTTCGGATCTTTTAAATTGATGTTGCTTAGCCACCGTCATAATTGATTCTCACTGTTCAGATCACCTCCGGTTTGATTTCGGACCGCTGAGACAGCACACACAAGAGGTACGTGAGGCTGCTAGGAGCTGCTAGGATGTGTATGCAGCGTTATCAGAAATTAGCTCCTGAGAATCATTTTAAGCATGTGTTCGGCAACAACCGAAGAGCAAATGAGTGACTTGAATCAGTCTCGAAGATGGAGTCAACAGCGCCCGCGGCCATCAAGTTCGTCCTAATCTGGGCGTAATCCGTGGGAATAAATACAAGATCCGAAGATCCGGCGAATACGATGACGCTCTCGTGAGCTCTCGTGATTGACACTGTGTCATACCCCAGCCTGTTCTACACCACCTACTCACCTCCCTTCTTCAGCGTGGCATACTCGTTTCTCGTCTCTCAATGGCACCTACATCTAAAGCGGACGCACCGATCAACTGCAAACTTCTCCTAATAGGCAACTCCTCTGTGGGCAAGAGCAGTCTTCTCTCTGAGGTTCTCGGATGAGCAGTGGCTACCGGAAGATGAGAGTAGCGCGACCATCGGGGTCGATTTCAGGGTGCGCTAATCACAAGTGCCTGGCGAGACTGGACTTGGCTAGACCGGGGATCTTATATTAGGTGCACAAGATGGAAGTCAAGGGCAAGAAAGTGAAGCTGAGCATATGGGTGCGTTCGAGAAGCCCGGCCGTTGATAAGCTCTCACCCAGCGTCCCGTCCATCCAGGACACTGCCGGCCAGGAACGATTCCGCACCATTACCTCGTCCTACTACCGTGGAGCGCAAGGCATCATCCTTGGCAGGTCTCTCCACCCCTCTCCCCTCGTTGCTAGCTCATGTCGCGCTTTCATAGTATATGATGTTTCCAATCGGGAGTCCTTTGACGCATTACCACGATGGTATAGCGAACTGGAGACGTATGTGAGCGACAAAGTCGTCAAGATTCTGGTGGGCAACAAGGTGGACAAGGTGCGTGTTTCGTCTGCTTGCCACACACATCCTTACTTGCCATAAAGGAGTTTTCACGGCAAGTGCCCACTTCGGAAGCGCAGGCCTTTGCAAAGCGCATGAACTCCCTCTTTGTCGAGGCCTCCGCGAAGACATCCATTGGCGTCAAGGAAGCGTTCACAGAAGTCGTGGAGAGGATCATGGACATCCCAGAACTCTGGGAAGCAGCTCCTGGTGTGGGTGCAGGCGCGGCTGCCAAGTCCTCCTCGGGGGGACAAATGCCTGGAGGTGTTAATTTGAGCGAGGGCGGAGATCAGGGTGGAGGTGGCTGCTCGTGCTAGAGACTCATGTGCACATTACGATCACGACCACGACCACGACCATGCCATGCCATTCATCTTACTTTTACTGTTTTCCAGGCTAGAGTAGAGCTGTGAGGATTGGACACAAGTCTTCCAATAGTTTCGGGAACTGGACACACAAGGGATCTGCCCTCGGATGACTGTGGTCAACATGCCAACCCGCCCTCGAGTCATTCCTAGTCAGTGATTGCTGAGACTCAAGATTTGTAGGCGATGGAGATGGCGGGTAACGCCAGAGCTCATAGGCTTGGAGCACAAGAGCTGTGAATGATGAGTTCCATCACGTGACTCGATCAAGTATGAAAGAGTGTCAGTAAAGAGTCAAACCGGTTCTTGGCCGTTTGACAATGTCACGGCCAGACGATTATCGGATCGGTGGTCGAAAATGAAAGCGAACGGCAATGAGCCTCGAGGTCATGAACTGGACTTGAATCCAGTCCCTACGGCAACAGTGGACGCTAATGATCTGCGTGTTTCCTTTTTGGTCAGCGCGTTCGAACGGTGTGGATAGCGCTAGTTCGAGTCGAGGCGTGGGCCTGGACTAGAGCCCAGGTCCCATGCCATAGAATCGGATTGAATTCGATCGCGTGGAAACAACGTGTCTATCCCCGCTTGTAGTCCATGTATGACACGATGTAATTCCACCCTCAACAGCTCCCGTCCCTCTCGTGTCTCAAAAGGGAAACATACTCGAGACAAAGATAGATAGAGTTAAAGATAGTGTCCGGCTCATGCAGAATCTAATCTTCTTTCCCTGGACAGCTATCAGCGCGGTACGGACTCCCAGCGATTTCGTGGGCTGCGCACCCATTACCGTTGCCCAGTAATTCTTCGAACCGGGCCCTCATCGAGTCCAACCTCGCATCATGTTCTCCCGAAGTCACATGCCCAAAGTCCATGAGAAATATCTCGCATTCCCGGACGTACTGCTCGAGATCCTTTCTTCTTGTAATACTCAGTTCGGGTTCATTTGATCCTCGAGCCCGAGCAAGATAGGATGCGAAGATGGTCGACAGCCCGCCTGGACGTTCCTGTCAGTGTTTTTATCACGCGGGATCCGAGCGGGCAGCAGACCAAGAACAGATGTCATGATGGAAGTCTGCACAAACCAGCGAGTTGAAATCCGTTATTGTTCAAACGAGACGGGTCAGCTTACCTGTCTTCCTGAGGTGACAGCCGAGAGCCCCGTCGTCAATGCACCAAGCACCACTTGCATTCCAATAGCGGCCTATCCGCTTTTCAGTTGGTGTTCATTTCCGAATTGGGACTCGGGACAGACATTGATCGCATAGCCGGACATCTTTGCTTTGAATGCATACTTGTCTCGTTCCTGTTTGGCAGATTCGAGTGTTGGATTCAGACGCTCGGAGATGCTTCTTGGACGCTGAGAAGAACGATGAGGGCCATGTGCACGCATCCTGCTGGACCACGCACGGGTTCCCTTTCTCTTCTCGGCATCACCGGCACAATCCAGTCCAGTTCCGACCTTCTCCGCTGCAGCCTATCGTCGTGGGCCGCATCAAGGTTCGTCATCGTGGGCGTGGAGAGCGAGCGCGTATTGGTGTGCTGGCCAGTAGCGCTCGTCGCTGGATCTCGTTCTTCCACGGGGATTTCCGGCAACGGCGTGTTTCTCCGGGCCTGCAGAGACCTCGTCGTCGCGGGTGCCCCTGCAATGGTGCCGGCAGGTGTCGGCTCTGTCTCGCGGTGCTCTTGTTCCATGGCCTGGGCCGCTGTTGCAAAGGGACGCGAAGATTCCGTTCTGGGTAGCAAAGATTCGAGCCCGCCATCAGGATTGGGATTGAGATGAAGAGCTTGAGTTTGTACGCGCGGTTCCAATGGGGTGTCCTCCTCTGATCCGTGAACACTGAGGAACTGGGATTCATGCGTGGAAGTAACGTCGTCCAAGCTATGTGGGGGATCGTTGCGATTGCGAGGCCCAGATGTGGATGGTGAGTCCGCCTCTGCCGCGTCTGTAGGCACCTCCTTTTCCTTCCCCTTCTCGTCAGATGCCATGGGAGACTGTGGCTGAAGCGCGGAGGCAATCTGGCAATCTGGCGACAACACAGTACGTATAGAACTGCCGTATTCCACACGCGCAGATGTGGTCGATCAGACAGCAGGCAGGCTGCAGGAAAGTGCGACGCGTGAAGCCTGGTCATAGACCATAATAGGCTATAAGCTCGAGATGCGGGGGCCGCTTGTCCTACTTCGCCGGGCATCAGGCAGCGAGCAATGCCCGAATAATCTGCGGCTCGGTCTCCTTATTCGTAGCACCTTGTGCGCGCGCGAAATGTGGGATGCGCAGAATCGGCGAGGCAGGGATGATGCGTGGTTGCCGAGGAACGTCAGATTCGAAAACCACTGTTGCTGTTTCGAGTGTCATATCATTCAATATAGCGTAAAGGGGATGAATGTGAGAACGGGCGAAGGATCCAAGTCATCGACCGAGACTTCTCAGTGATACGGATTATCATCTTCGGTCATAGTCACAGTGTGGAAGCAGACAGACAACGAGTCACGTGCCCGGATGATGCCACAAGTTTACTCGACAACGCAGTTCTTTCTTGGCGGGCATAATGCTCCATGTGTACTTCGAATTCTGGATGAAGGCAACCCCCAGTTCAGAATGATCCGCAACTTAATCGATTCATCCAGCGTGTAATGAAACGTCCGTTGGTTCAGGGCAGCGATCGAAGGTATCTAACCTTGCCACTCCAAGAATATCGCGTCCCACATGAGCCCTCTCCACTGAACATATCTCGTCACAGTGAACCCGATCGTGTTCGTGCCCTCAACGAGTTGAGAAGGGTCGATGTCGTACTGGAAAAAATGCCACTCTCCGCTGATTCGGCTGGAGCGATAGAGCGACGGGTCGCTAGAAAGATCGTCTTTGCTCAGAGAGCCCAGAAGGTGTCCATTTACGTCGATATTCAATGCCGTGCTCTGGGAGTAGCTCGCAAGCGAGATGCTGAGTAGGGCCTTGCCGCCCGCGCCATATTTGGCAAGATCCGCGGCGTCAATCTGGAACTGGATGGTCCACGTGCCGAGTGCCGACATGGCGTAGAACCAGTCCTCGCCCGCGCTAGAAGCCCCGACCGTGAACGTCAGATTTGCGGGACTAAGGTCCGTGATCCCGTGCTGATATGGCCACCCCGAATTCTTGAAGCCGAGGGATTTCTTGTCAAAATCGCCCAAACGGAAGATCGAAGTTCTCGCAGCCGGGAGAGCCCACTCCAATACTCCCAGATCAGTGAGTTGTCCCTCCAGAATGCTGATCGGTGCAATGGTGACATTGGTATACACGTCCGCCAAAGATCCACCGTCGGCCCAGACATAGAGGCCATATTGACCGGTCCGGACGTTTTGGAATGAGAAAGCACCGTCGCCCCCAGCGGTGACTGTGTAATAGTACTTGGCGCCTTGCACCAGAGGTCGAATGGAGGTGTCTGGATCGCCAAGGAACACTGATGCACCACCTCCAATCCGTCCGTCAGATAAACGGAGCCGACCGGCAACGCTCCCTCGCGACCGATATGCAGCGTCTTCATACCAGCTGTAAGGAAAGGCTCCAACTTCTTTTTCACGTTGTTGAACGACATCCGGGAGCGATCCGTTATTCTACATGTCGGCGATGAGTAATGCTGTACGATATTGTAGTTCTGAAAGGACGCACCAGATACCATAGCCAAGGCCCCCAAGTCTTGCCCTGAGGCAAAGTCTGGTTGCCGACACGGAAGTGGGATGTGTCTTGCACGACATTGAGCTGCACCGAGTCGCCGGTGGAGGATTCACGATGCACCTGGTGATTCTGAGCGTCATTTCGAGGATGCAACATTCGCAGCACTCACAGTCAGTGTCTGACTGAGCTGACTGCCTGAATGGTATTCGCTGGAGGGGTGTATGAACCACGACCCGACCAGTCCAGGTCCGTAGATCCCGTAATAGTCTCTGTCCCTGACGAAGTTCGACCAATCGTACTTGGTAATGAACGTGCCATTGGGCAATTCCCATGTTTCATCCTGAACTTTGACCGAGTTGTTCGCAGAGTACAAGTAGAATGGCGGCAAAGGTCCATCCTTGATGTTGGTGCGACCATTCAGGAAAAGGTTAGGATTGAGCCGCCACAAAGAGCGGAAGATCTCAAGGTACGGAAGGTCCTTCCCGACAAAGTATTGGTAGGCGCCCCGAAGATCATCGAAAACAACCCAATGAAAGTCGCCTTGTGTCGCAGAGAAGGAGATGTCGATATAGTCGGCTCCCTCGGCGACGATGGTTGCAGATGTCCATTCGAGATTATTTTCCCCGTCTGTTGCGTTGTCACGAACGTTGATAGTCCACTACGGAATCTCACGTACCGATGCCAGCATAATGTCCAACCGCTGTTCCCACCAAATCCACCCCTGGAACGAGATCCGAATATAGCTGAGTGGCGTAGAACGGTCCCTGAGTTACGTTCCAAAGATCATTTCCAAAAATCCAAGTCTGATTAGCGGTCTGCTTCAGAAAGGGCCCTTTGGCGATGACCGCAGCGGCGAGGGACACGACGACGAGAACACGCAACATTCTCGGTGTATTTCGAAGCCTCACATACCGTAGAGGCGCTTATATCCTGGAGTTCTTGACGCTATATCACGTCAAATGTTCGTCAAAGGCGGGCAAAGATGTGCAAGTTTCGAATCTGATACGAACGAGTTCTGCCCATGTGTTCTCGGAGCTATTCCAAGGGCTCAGCGTGAGAGGGTGCAGTCGGATGGATTAGAGCCGCGAGAGATGACGCCAGGGTCGACGGAAGTCCCGAGAATGATTGCATTCCTCTGCTGTTGCTGCTGAAGAAAGTGCTAAGAGAGGGAGGGCACCAGGACCAGGCACTACTATGACACCATATTGTGTCGGGATCAAAAAGAAGCTCAATAAGATTCCGACAGTGCGTTTGTCAGCATCTGCGACAGATGTTCCAATGTTGATTGGCATGAGATGTAGAGTAACCGGGAAAGACTAGGGAAGCTATAAATTTTACAATAAACGAATGTGCGTGACGAGTCGTAATGTATTCTTGACGGAACGGCGAGCTGGACAATGGCGGCGCATGGAAGCGTGCAACAAGAAAACCACTGGTGTAAGTCGAAAAGAGAAAAGTTGCAAAGTCTGATATCTATTCCTCGGGGACCTCCTCTTCGTACTCGAGGTCTTCCTCGATGCTGTGGGAAGCTATCAATTATTGGAAAGTAAACGATGCGGAGGACTTGCGTTGCATCTTGGTACTGCTGGTACTCGGCAACAAGATCCTGCATGTTGGACTCGGCTTCGGTGAACTGAGATGAAGATATTATTCTCTGGAGAGACACTCAAAATGCGCATATACTCACCTCCATCTCATCCATACCCTCCTGAGTGTACCAGTGCAGGAAGGCCTTGCGCTTGAACATGGCTGTGAACTGGTCGCTGACACGCTTGAATAGTTCTTGAATACTCGTAGTGTTGCCGATGAATGTAACCGCCATCTTGAAGCCGCGCGGGGGAATGTCACAGTGGGCACTGAGAACGTTGTTGGGAATCCACTCGACGAAATACGCGGAGTTCTTGTTCTGGACATTTTGCATCTGCTCCTCCACTTCCTTCATCGCAACCTTGCCACGGAAGACAGCAGCGACGGTCAGGTAGCGACCGTGCCGTGGGTCACAAGCTGCCATCATGTTCTTTGCGTCGAACATCTGGGCGGTGAGCTCAGGAATGCTCACCGCTCGGTATTGAGCGCTAGTGCGTGCCGTCAAAGGTGCGAAGCCGGTCATGAAGAAGTGAAGACGAGGGAAGGGGACCATGTTGACGGCAAGCTTGCGCAGATCAGAGTTGAGCTGACCAGGGAACCGCAGGCAAGTGGTAATACCAGACATCACACACGACACAAGGTGGTTCAAGTCCCCGTATGTGGGTGTCGAGAGCTTGAGCGTGCGGAAGCAGATATCATATAGAGCTTCGTTATCGATGCAGAAGGTCTCGTCAGAATTCTCGACGAGTTGATGAACAGACAGGGTAGCGTTGTACGGCTAAAATGTTCAGAGAAATAGGGGCTGATGTTTGTCGTGTTAAGACACGCACCTCGACGACTGTGTCCGACACTTTGGGACTGGGCACAACAGAGTATGTGCACATCATTCGGTCGGGGTACTCCTCGCGAACTTTGGATATCAAAAGCGTTCCCATTCCAGAACCGGTTCCACCACCGAGAGAGTGGGTGATTTGGAATCCTGCGCATCCACTGAAGCGCGGCCCTTTGAATTGAGAGTGGAAAACGCACCCTGAAGACAGTCAGTTCCCTCCGCCTCCTTTCGGACAACGTCCAACACGGCATCGACGAGCTCAGCGCCCTCTGTGTAGTCTTCGAAAAAGACGATATTCAGAGTTGTGACAGAAAAACGCGTAAGAACACGACGTACGTCCTTTCGCCCAGTTGTTTCCTGCACCATTTTGACCAAACACGAAGTTGTCTGGACGGAAGAGATTGCCCAGAGGGCCAGACCGCACGGAGTCCATTGTTCCCGGTTCGAGGTCGATCAGAACCGCGCGCGGGACGTACTTGTTCCCCCCGACTTCATTGTAGTAAACTGAGATTCGCTCCAGCAGGAGGTCGTTGTCACCGCTGTAGAGACCATCGCCACCGATACTGTGTTCGTCCGAAAGGACTTCCCAGAACTTGGAACCTAGCGCGTGTCAGAGACCTGGCCGCGCAGGGAGGCTGAGGGACAGACCGATCTGGTTTCCGCACTGGTAGTTACATATTCAGACGCCAGCATGACGCGACAAAGGGAGGAACGTGCATACCTGGCCAGTTTGAAGGTGGACGATTTCACGCATGCTGCAGAAGACAATGAGCACAATGAAGTACTTTACGACGCGTCTGAGACGTGTGCTCGAGCCATTCAGCGAAGAAAGGACGCACTTACGTTGAGACACAAGAGAAAGGGACAAGGTTGGACTGGTCTCATTCTGTTATTGGCTGTTGATTGATGAGCGTCGGCAAATCCCGTGCATATCCAGACGTTCCAAGTAGTATCCACTGGGTTACGGGGCGATTAAGTACTATTGACAGGAATGCAAGAGGTACAATGACATGGACATGAGAGTGTACGAAGGTCCGTGAATCCTAGTCCGAGAATGATCAGATTAATGGTCGTAAGGTGTCTTGTATGTTTCATGCGGATATCCTGAGGCCTCCAATGCAGCCTCCTGTGCGAATGCTGTCGAGGACTGCAAGCCCTGGTGCTTGCCCAAAAGTGACATCATGGCATCATCAGGCCCGCGGGGTGCGGCATCGTCATCAAAGCTGGTCCCGTAGTCATCAGCCACGATCGCTCCCGTCCGCTTGTCGAGTCTGAATCGGAGACCGTGCAGCTTCTTCTCTATCACTTCGGGGCTGTCGTATCTGCAAGAAAATCAGCTCTGTCGAAGGAAGGTGATGCGGACACAAGTTACGGTAGAAGCAATTCACCCCAGCCCGAGCGGTTGGTGAGAGCAACGGCGGTAGCAATGGAACCGGGTGGGGAAGCCAAAAAAAGATTCCTTCTTTGACGTCGGTGGATGAGCTGCAAGAATATACCCAAGAAGCCTGCAAAGAATAGGAGGAAGGCGAGAAAGTGGCCGGGAAGAGAACTGTGAGTCGTCAGTTAGCCGACGGCGCAGTATCTGAACGGAAACAATCCCTACTCGATGATGAGTCTGGGAACTATCTCTGACTGCGTGGAAGACAGTGTCTGGTTCTGGTTCACGAAATAGATGGATTTGGCTGTGACTGCGAGATGTTGTCTCTACTCTGATGTTAACAGCCACAACGAGATGGGATTCGGAAACTCACATAAACATTGCTGGCAATGTCTAAAAACCCGTTTGGCTCGCCGAATATTGCTTGCAATCCATTTGCACTTTGAAGAGCAGATCGGAATATCGCACCGGGCACTCCCACACGAGTTGCCGTTGCTCGAGCTTGGATGAACGGATCCACATTGGGGCGGAAGATGACGCTGTGGGAATCTTGATTATTCGGACAGTATGCCGAAACAGAGGCTTACGCGTTATATGGGACCCCGTTAATGGGCGGGCCCGTGACATTGTTTGCTACGAGATAGTCTGAGGCGGGGACGACGCCAGTGAGATTCCCGCTCGCCAGATCTGCAGTCGCGTGGACATAGAAGAGGTCCATACTGGGATCACAGAAGACCGCTCGGGCCTTGTTGCTGCTTGACTGATTCTGGAAGAACCAGAACACGATCGGCTGGAATTGTTCGTCCGTATTCTTTGAGCTTCCGCACGGGGCTGGTGCAACACTGTATTGCAAATCAGAGACCTGAAATCTGTCAATCCAGGCGCGTCTATAACCGTGTAAGATTGTTCGTACATTTGTGGCGATCGTAACAGTTTGTGTGCAACCCGTCAGTGAAGTTGCTGAGATTGTGGAGCTTGTACTGTTGATAACAGTCACGACAGGTGTGGAGGTCTACAAGAGTAAGCAGCGTTCTCAAAAGCTGTTGCTCCACGTACGGGATTAGTGCAATTGGGGTTGCTACGGATGGCGGTCGTGTTCACAGTCATAGAACCATTCAGTCCAATATCTCTCGGAAACTAGAAAACATTAGAACAGGATATACAAGATCCGATGGTATGCGCTTACAACAAACTGGGCAGTGGACCACCCTTTCGAGACAAAAGGGGGATCGCCGAGATCATTGAACACTGCTGCCTGCACAAACTATACGAGAATGAAGAGAGGTTCATTGCGGCCAATTTCGAGACTCACGCCAGCTGCAGCTGCAAATGCGTTCAATTGGGCCACGTCCGGATCGAGGCCTAGGCTGCGTGTACTTTGAGCTTGGGTATCTGGAAAGATATAAGCAAAGTAGCAAGGTTCCGAAGAGCAACCCGTACATGTGATGAGAACCCCCGTGTGGATCTGGAAAATGGCACCAGCTGGAAAGGATTAGCGGCACCTCGTATGATGGCAGATATCCCACCCAGAGATGCGTAGATATATGTCGAGGCAGCGAGCATTGACGACCAAAAGATAACTCTGTGGTTAAACTTCAAGGCCGCAAGGACACTGGAGGCGGTCCCGAGCGCTGTCTGTTCTCGCTGAGCGTCAGAAACACCGCCCTTGTTGGCAACGTACGTAGTCCATCTGGATGCTCTCCTCCACGGTCGCGTTGCCTCGCAATAGATTGACGTAAGGCTGGCAAGCTTATTAAGGATACTGTATCCACGACAGAAATGTAGGCGATGGCTCACTTGATACCAGCGGATCGTCCAATCCAAGTTTCGCCAGAAGTAACCAACAGGTATCACGAACCTAGGCGTAAAATTCAGCCTTGAAGCGTCTTGTAGTAACGAGGAACGTGCAAACTGGGGACAAAAGACTGGAAGGAATGTGAACCTCAATTGAGCGAGCTAGAACACGACGCACGAGTAGAAATTGTGGTGAAACACTAGTGAGAACATTTTTCTTGGGGACCGAGAAGCCTAATAAACCGTCAGCTGCGACTGGAAGTGTTGATCCACCTATGAAACGCACCGCCATTTCTAGATGATATGTGTATACTGCGACTGCGTCAGCGGGTTGCCATGTACAGAAACAACGGACACGCTGGTTTGAGTGAATATCGTCGTTCCAGACAGACAGATCTCATGCAGAACCAACTTCCATCCCAAGACGATTCCGTTGCCCCGAAGCTGCTACTCACCCAACTTCCAGCGCGATTCCCAAGAGCAGCATCAGGACGGGAGTTCCAACAGCCACCGGTAGCCACAGGTAGATAGAGTCCTTCCTCAAGCCGTCAGCTCTACTGTACGCTCGCAAATGGCGCACACACGTAATTCTTGGGTCGATCTTTACCCGAACTCGGCGTCGGGATGAGGTGAGTGGACTCGCGGAACCGTTTAGTTGAAGTGGTGCTGAATCGAGTTTCGCTGGTCGTGAATGGCGTTCCCGGAGGAGTATCCACATGAGAGCCAGAAGCAGCCATTACTAGGTAGAAGAAGAAGCGATGAGCCTAACCCCGAGGCTATTCGACCTTATGAGGTGGATGTCAATCATCACACGGTGTCACTGTTATGGAGGACTCGATCGGATGCACGCCGAGCACAGCTTCACTGCAGTCTCTTTTGTTCTCGCCCCCGAGGCCGCCCTGCGATCGTCGAGCGTCAAATTTGCATCCTTGCGTGCACTCCAGTCCGTTTCGACAGCTTCGAAAATTTATGGTCATCTATCGTCTGTGATTTCCACCGCATGGATCTTTACCGGTGTGAAAGTGAAACGGAACAACGGCCACTACACGTCCATCTTCCACGTACTTCCTGACCTATTACCGTTGCGCCAAAGTCTCGGAGGACGTCGAGACCCTCTGGAATCCATTTCGTCCGGCATGGCGAATTCTGGGACCTTAGAACCTCTAATTTCTTGGAAGTATACGCGTAACCATATCATCCACTTGGTGCCATTGAGACGTCAGGATTCCTTTTTGCCCTCTTGCGTGCATGCTAAAGCACTGTCATTGAAACTCAAAGCCATGCACAACGCTGGTGCACCTCAGGCCTCAGTGCTCACATGCGTAGGATGCACATCATGCCTGATTTCTTAGCAAAATCGGGTGAGCCATCCCCACCGTCTCGGGCGGCCGTGTTTACAATGGAAGACTGGTCCTCAAAGGCATGTGAAGATTCCCAGAGACTCTTCACTCTCTCAAGTCCCAGCCAGCCAGGCATCGGATTCTTGATCTACGCTGGCTCATGTAATAAATGACCAGACAGGCAGAGTACGACGGCATTGTCATACGTTGCCTGATCGGACCTCATCTTATCACAGCGATCATCAGAGTGGCTATGTCGATTTTGTCGATTGTAAAAGACAGCGACAAACAATCGCGATTTATATAGATCGGCAAAATCCATGAAAATCTTCTTCCTCTCCACCAACCGTGGAGGGGAAGACTTTGAAATAAAATGTCTAACCCGGTTCTTCCACTGCCTTTCCGGCCGACGCTCGCACGCATGACGACATTCAGCGATCCGTCCTCTCCCATTGTTGGCTCAACAACTGCTTTGCCAGATGCCATCCTAGAGTTGAGCGACGGCACCGCCCTCCGTGGCATTAGCTTCGGAGCCCAGGCCAAGAGTATTGCTGGAGAGTGTGTCTTCCAAACTGGTTAGTCTAGCCCTCCAGCAGGTGATAAAGTTATGCCAACCTAATATAGGCATGGTCGGCTACACCGAGTCGCTTACCGACCCATCCTACGAGGGTCAGATCCTCGTGCTCACTTATCCTCTCGTCGGAAACTACGGTGTCCCCGAGCGCCCGGCGGATATGCTCGAGACGCTCCCTGCTGCATTCGAATCGTCTCGAATTCATATCGCCGCTCTCGTCATCGGCTATCACTCAGATGACTACAGCCACTTTCTTGCCAAGTCAACATTGGGAGCATGGCTGAAGGAGAATGGAGTGCCCGCCATCTATGGCGTCGACACGCGTGCTCTCACCAAGAAAATTCGCGAGCAAGGCTCTATGCTGGGGAAACTTCTGGCTCGCAAAGTCGGAGCCCCTGTAGGTCGCGCGCGCTCCCTCATTCCGGCTTCGGCTGCCCCCTCTCGGGCACCTTCACGAACATCGTCACCCCCCGGTGGAACGTGGCGCGAAGATTATGATGACATTCCTTTCCTGGACCCCAACCAGGTTAATTTGGTCGCTGCGGTATCCATTTCCACACCGCGACTGTACAAAAGTACCACTGCTACACCCCGCTTGCATCCCACTGGTCGCCCACTCCGAGTTCTGGCCATCGATGTGGGTATGAAGTTTAATCAGATCCGCTGTTTCATCGAGCGCGGAATGGAACTGAAGGTCGTCCCGTGGGACTACGACTTCTTGAACGAGGCCGAACCTTATGATGGCATCTTCGTCTCAAACGGACCTGGAGACCCATCGATGCTCAGCGACACCGTGTCTCGTCTCGCGAAAGCACTTGCAAAAGCCGATCGACCCATCTTCGGTATCTGTCTCGGTCATCAGTTGCTTGCTTTGGCTGCTGGCGCCAAAACCTCGAAGATGAAATACGGCAACCGCGGTCATAACATTCCGTGTACTGATGCGCTCTCTGGACGTTGCTATATCACCAGCCAGAACCACGGATTCGAGGTAGACTCGTCCACCCTCCCGAGCGGCTGGAAGGAGTTGTTCAAGAACGCCAACGACGGCAGCAACGAGGGAATTTACTGCGAAGACAAGCCCTTCTTCTCGGTGCAGTTCCACCCCGAATCGACACCTGGTCCCCGCGACACCGAATTTCTCTTCGATGTGTTCATCCAAAACGTCGCCGATTGTGCGACCACCAATGCGCTTATTCCGATATCCATGCCTGGTGGGAAGAAGGAAGACAACGAAAAGCGCGTGCCTCGGGCTAGTGTGTCCAAGGTTATCATCCTCGGCTCTGGCGGCCTCTCCATCGGGCAGGCGGGCGAGTTCGACTACTCGGGATCTCAAGCAATCAAAGCTCTCAAGGAGGAGGGCATTTTCACGATCATGGTCAATCCCAACATCGCCACGATTGCTACCTCCAAGGGTCTCGCGGACAAGGTCTACTTCCTCCCCGTCACCCCCGAGTTCGTGCGCAAGATCATCAAGTACGAAAAGCCGGATGGAATCTACGTCACCTTCGGAGGCCAGACTGCCCTCAATGTCGGAATCAAACTCAAAGATGAGTTCGAGTCGCTCGGGGTGAAGGTCCTCGGCACCCCCATCCAGACGATCATCACGACCGAGGATCGGCAGCTGTTCGCGTCTGCAATGGCCGAAATCGGCGAGAAATGTGCCGAGAGTGCGACTGCGACCAACCAGGAGGAGGCGGTTGCTGCGGCCCAATCGATTGGGTTCCCCGTCATCGTCCGTGCTGCCTATGCGCTCGGTGGCTTGGGCTCAGGTTTCGCTCAAAACGAGGCTCAGCTGAAGGCGCTGTGTAGCAAGGCCTTTGCGACAAGTCCCCAGGTGTTGGTCGAGAGAAGTATGAAAGGGTGGAAGGAGATTGAATACGAAGTGGTGCGGGACTGCCGGGACAATTGTATCACTGTTTGCAACATGGAGGTGCGCCCATTCTCTTGCTATCAAGACCTCGCAGGTCTGATATTTGACTCTAGAACTTTGACCCGCTCGGAATCCACACTGGTGACTCGATCGTCGTCGCACCTTCGCAGACGCTGTCGGACTCGGACTACAACATGCTCCGTACGACTGCTGTGAACGTGATTCGGCATCTTGGTGTGGTTGGAGAATGCAACATCCAGTATGCCCTCAACCCCACTTCTCAAGAATACTGCATCATCGAGGTCAGTGCCACTTCCTCTTCTTTGCTGCGACCTCTTTGAACGCAATGATTTTCTTAGGTCAACGCTCGGCTCTCTCGCTCTTCCGCTCTGGCTTCGAAGGCGACTGGGTACCCGCTGGCCTTCATCGCTGCCAAACTCGGACTGGGAATTCCTCTGAACGAGATTAAGAACTCGGTCACGAAAGTCACGTCGGCGTGCTTCGAGCCCAGTTTGGACTACGTTGTTGTCAAGATTCCGCGCTGGGATCTCAGCAAGTTCAGCCGCGTGAGCCGCTTGCTGAGCAGCAGCATGAAGAGTGTTGGTGAAGTGATGAGCATCGGAAGGACTTTCGAGGAGACCCTGCAGAAGGCGATCCGGTCTGTAGATGATCATTTTGCAGGGTTTGGCAAGGTGGGTCTCACGTTTCGGTGATGTTCTCTTCAGTGCTGAGACCCTGATAGAACGATCTCGTGGAGAACATCGACGAGGAATTGGAGAACCCGACAGACAAGCGCATCTTTGCGATCTCGACTGCATTCTATCGTGGATACAGTGTAGACAAGATCTGGCAGATGACCAACATCGACAAATGGTTCCTGCGCAAACTGCAGAACATTTTCAATATGGAGCAGAAGCTTTCGTGAGTGGCTTGTCGTCTTTGTTGCTTTCCCTTCAATCGATTTTTCCTCAGTGAGCTGAACGTGTCGACCATCACGCCCGTCCTCATCAAGCAAGCCAAGCAGCTTGGATTCTCCGACAGACAACTAGCCCACTGCATGGGGTCGACCGAATTGGCTGTCCGCCGGCTTCGTCAGGAATCAGGAATCGCACCTTTCGTCAAGCAGATCGACACGGTTGCGGCCGAGTTCCCAGCATTCACCAATTATCTGTACACGACATACAACGCCTCGCAGCACGATGTCGAGTTCAACGATCGGGGTGTGATGGTCCTTGGATCTGGTGTTTACCGCATCGGGTCGTCCGTCGAGTTCGATTGGTGTGCTGTTCGAGCCATCCGCACTCTCCGCGATCAGGGTCTCCAGACGATCATGGTCAACTACAATCCTGAAACGGTCAGCACGGACTACGACGAGGCCGACCGACTCTACTTCGAAAACATCAGCGTCGAGACTATCTTGGACATCTACGACGCTGAGCGATCACGTGGTGTCATTCTTTCGATGGGTGGACAGACACCGAACAACATCGCGCTACCACTCTATCGCCAAAATGTCAAGATCTACGGAACCTCGCCTGAAATGATCGACACCGCAGAGAACCGGTACAAGTTCTCGCGACTGTTGGATGAGATAGGTGTGGATCAGCCCGAGTGGAAAGAGTTGACGAGCTTCGACGAAGCCGAAGCCTTCTGTGAGAGAGTCGGATACCCTGTGCTGGTCCGACCGTCGTACGTCTTGTCGGGCGCCGCGATGAACGTCGTCTCTTCAGGCGACGACCTCAGCAACTATCTGACGCAGGCGACGGCTGTCTCACGGGATCACCCTGTCGTGATCACCAAGTACATCGAGCAGGCCAAGGAGATCGAGATGGATGCCGTGGCCAAGGATGGCAAGATGGTCATGCACTTTATCTCTGAGCATGTCGAGAATGCCGGTGTTCATTCTGGCGATGCCACGCTCATCCATCCGCCGCAGGACCTAGACCCGACGACCGTCCGTCAGATCGAGGAAGCCACCGCCAAAATCGGTAACGCTCTCAACGTTACGGGACCGTTCAACATCCAGTTCATCGCGAAGAACAACGAGATCAAGGTGATCGAGTGCAATCTGCGCGCCGCACGCTCGTTCCCATTCGTCTCCAAGGTCACGGGGACCGACGCGATTGAGATGGCGACCAAGGTCATGCTCGGGTTGCCTGTCGAGTCGTATCCTGAGTCGGGCATGCCGGCGGACTATGTTGGGATCAAGGTTCCGCAGTTCAGTTTCAGCCGGTTGTCTGGTGCCGATCCTGTGCTGGGGGTCGAGATGGCCTCCACGGGTGAGGTGGCTTGTTTCGGACATGACAAGTATGAGGCCTATCTCAAAGCACTGATTTCGACCGGCATCGTTCCCCCGAAAAAGAACATTCTGTTCTCGGTCGGTAGCTACCGCGAGAAGCTCGAGATCTTGCCCTCGGTCCAGAGGCTGAGCGCGGCTGGCTACAATATCTTCGCGACCAGCGGCACGGCAGACTTCCTGACGGAGCACAACGTCCCTTGCAAAGTGCGTAATCTCTAGCTTTGTTATGAACTTACTGACCTGTATGCAGTACCTCGAAACCCTGGACGACGATGTGCACGACAAGCAAAAGTCAGAATACTCGCTGACGCAACATCTGGCGAACAACCTCATCGACATGTACATCAATCTGCCGTCGAAGAACCACTACCGTCGTCCCGCGAGCTATAGCAGCAAAGGATACCACACCCGCCGCATGGCCGTCGACTTTGCGGTGCCACTGATCACGAACATCAAAAACGCAAAGCTGCTTGCAGAGGCTCTGGTGCGGAAATTGCCGTTGGATGTCTCGAGCATCGATTCCAAGAGCTCTCACGGGACACACACATTCCCGGGGCTTATCAGCATCTCGTCTTTTGTGTCCAGCAAGGACGACCTGGTCCCTGTGACGAAAGCGCTGGCCAGCGGGGGATTCACGACCGCCGTCGTAGTACCCAGTGATGCTGCTGGCATCACCGATCTCAACTCGCTCGAGCAAGCCCGAGCTGCTGCTGCTGGTTCCGCCCACTGCAACTTCGCTCTGTGCCTGACAGCGACGATCGACAATGTGTCTCTCCTGAACGAAGAGGCGCAGGCTGAAGCCAAGGCGCTCTTTATTCCTTTCTCTGGGGACAAGATCTTGCCATTGTCGAGTGTGGCGACGCATTTCGGCGCATGGCCCGCTGACAAGCCAATCGTGACTGATGCCAAAGGCTCGGATCTGGCGTCGATCTTGCTGCTGGCCAGTCTGCATAATCGCAGTGTGCATGTGACCGACGTCCGCTCTCAAGACGATCTGCTGCTCATCTCGCTCAGCAAAGCGAAACTGCTCAAGGTCACGTGCGACGTCTCCATCTATTCGCTATTCTTCTCGCAATCGGATTTCACGGAGAGCAAGTGCTTACCGAGCGCTGAGGACCAGAAGGCGCTGTGGTCGAAGTTGGATGTCATCGATGCGTTCTCTGTTGGATCGACCCCTCATCGCTTGGCTGTCGAGTTGGGACATAGCGGGTCGACGGTCTCTGGTATGGAGGAAGCGCTGCCGCTTCTGCTGACTGCCGTGCAAGAAGGCAGGCTCACACTCGACGATATCCGACTCCGTTTGCACGACAACCCGGCCCACATCTTCGGGTTGCCAGAGCAGACCAACACGCATGTCGAGGTCGCAATCGGACGCAAGGCCAAATTCGGCAAGGAGGGCCCTCTCAAGTCGAGACTCGTGGCTGCATCGATCCACCGGGTCGTTGTGCACGGTGTGACAGCGTTCTTAGACGGATCGCTGGTGTCTGCGCCACTGGGCAAGGACATCTCCAGTGCCACGATCAGCCACCCGCCAATGGTTGGGCCGTCCGCGCCTTCGGTCAAGGAGGCTGAACACACCAGCAGCATGATGACTCTGCCATCTTCGGCGGCAGTCGCCTCCTCGCTGCTTTCCGTCCAGACACTGACTCCGCACCCGTCATTCCATCGTCGGCACATTCTTTCTGTCAAGCAGTTCACCCATCAAGACATGTACGATCTCTTCTCGCTTGCACACGAGATGCGTCTGCAGGTCGAACGGAATGGGACACTCGACATTCTCAAGGGCCGTGTTCTTTGCACCTTGTTTTACGAGCCGTCGACGAGGACGAGCTCTTCTTTCGACGCCGCGATGAAGCGGTGCGGTGGACAGGTCGTGCAAATCAGCGCTGACACGAGCTCTGTGGTCAAGGGCGAGAGTCTTCCCGACACGATCCGCACGCTGGGATGCTACGGCGATGCCATCGTCATGCGTCACCCAGCTGTCGGCAGCGCGCAGCTCGCGGCAAAATTCTCGCCTGTCCCGATTATCAATGCTGGTGACGGCATCGGGGAACACCCGACGCAGGCGCTGCTCGATGTGTACACGATCCGTTCTGAGCTCGGCACCGTCAACGGGCGCACCATCACGCTCTTGGGCGATCTCAAGAACGGGCGCACCGTTCATTCCCTGGTCACGCTTCTTTCGCTCTACTCCGTGCGCCTCAACTTCGTCTCGCCGCCGTCCCTGGCGATGCCGGCCTCCGTCGTGTCTGCGGCCCGCAAAGCCGGGATCCCCGTGACCCAGTGCGAGTCCCTTGACGAGGTCCTCGCCGACACGGACGTGCTCTATGTGACTCGCATCCAGAAAGAACGTTTCGACAGTGAGGCGGAGTGGGCGTTGGTCAAGGATGCGTATCGCGTTGACCATGCGGTTCTCAGCAGGGCCAAGGAGGAGATGATCGTCATGCACCCCCTGCCCCGGGTGAATGAAATTGATCCCGAAGTCGACTTTGATCTGAGGAGGGCTGTCTACTTCAGGCAGATGCGCTATGGCCTTTTTGTGAGTACCACCCTCTTTTTTTGTTGGTATTTGGCAGAGACTAATGACAACGACAGATCCGGATGGCCTTGTTGGCGAGTGTGATGGCTTAAAAAAAAAGTATTAGGAATATCAGTGTAATAAGTAAATGGTCTCGTCGTTCATGGAAATATCTTCCAGTTTCAGCAGGAATGATGGAGGCTTTGTGACGGGCTCGGGTCACAAACTCTCCGCTCAGTGTCATGACATCATCGATTTGTGGTGGGCCGATTTTACAAGGTATACAACCGTTATTTGGGGATGATGGAACTTTCTTGTCAGATGTGCATCCTTCTCACATGTGCATGCCGCGTATCGATTCCACATGTTGGTGGAAGATGTGTTTATCCTGGTACAGAAGGCTTGGACGATCGATCTAGCGATTTTGGACTTCCCATTCCTCTTTCACGTGACGACGCGACATCGGTCTGGAGCATTCCAGCATCATCTCAAAGCACGTCCACCCCGAGCTCGACCGCGTGGAAATCGCGTGAGATTCTTCGCGCCGAACAGGAAACCGAATACAAACCCTTCGGTCATTGACGTAATACCAATGACTCCCCTCCGACCATTTCTTACTCAGACCTTGCATGCTCTCCAGTATAAGAGCGTCCACGGTCGCCCTAGCGCTCTCTCTACTTGTACTCTCTTTCGCAGCCTTCTACGCCACACCGAAACTGAACGCCGGTCTATCAGTGAAGAACTACAATCTCCGAAACATGGCGACGACAACTACTACTACTACTTCCCCGAGTGCGAGCTCCGTGACCAGGCGTGTGACGAAAAAGGTCCTGGCAGTGGAGCAGCTGGAGGGTGAAGGGGCGCTCGGTGCGTTTGGCAGTCCACTTTGCGATTTGTGCATCGGTGGGCTGACGGTCCCGTAATCAGTGCGGAGAAGTATCGGGACAGATCAATGTACGCGGTGTATCATTGCTCCGTATACTCTCTAACGATGTGTAGTGCGCAATCTGACGCCGTTCTTAATGCTCGATCACTTCCATGTGTACGCTACAGTGTCGCGCATCCGATGGGTGTATTAACCTGCGAACCAGTAAACCCGGCGCGGGATTCCCGGATCACCCGCACAGAGGCCAATCGACCGTAACCTACGTGCGTCCATCTCCCTCTCTACATCCTTCCTGCAATACTGAACCGTATGCAGATGCTCGAAGGGTACGCTCTTTTCCCGTGTCTCACACGCGTCGCTCACCCCGCGCAGCACAAGCGACCACGAAGACTCGGCCGGGCACCGGGGCACCATCGAGACGGGCGGCGTGCAGTGGATGGTCGCCGGACGCGGGATCATCCACGCAGAGATGCCCGTCCACGCGCCCGGCCAGCCCGACCCGCGCGGCCTGCAACTCTGGGTGAACCTCCCCAAGCAGTACAAGATGGTCGAGCCGATGTACCAGGAGCTGGATGCGGCGGGAATCCCCACGGCGTATCCCGCCGGCGAGGATGCCGGGCTGCGGGTAAAAGTGATCAGTGGGATCAGCGCTGGCGTCGAGTCGCCGGTCCGGTCGCTCGGTGGATGCTGGTATTTCCATTTCATCTGGAACAAGGAGGGTGTCAGCACCTTCCAGGACCTGCGTACGTCGATGTTGTTCGGTCTTCATCACCCCATGGCTGACCGTGAGGCTCTAGCAAAAGGCTGGACTGCATTCATCTACGTCCTGAAGGGGACGTTGCTTGTCGGGAACGACTCCATCGCACATGAAGCGTTCCACACACTCGTTCTCTCTGCAGACGACGTCGAGAGCGGCGTCCTTCTGAAATCGGGCACAAATGACACAGAGTTGATGCTTGTGCGTGTCTGTTTTGGCCCTCTCCCCCTCCTCAAACTGATCTTTTGAAATTCAAGGCTGCTGCCGAATCCATCGACGAGCCTATCGTACAATACGGTCCGTTTGTGATGAACACACGCGAGGAAATTATGGATACACTCCGTGATTGTACGTCCGTCTTTTCTCCCCACGCGCATGGAGCTGAGATCCCACAGACCAACTCGGACGGAATGGTTTCGAGAAAGCACATTCATGGAAGAGTGAGATCGCTCAGCGCGCCTAGTCGTTCGATTACCTATATCATTATTGTCTTGTAAATGGAATGGAGATTAAAGATAAAAGTGCATAAATACAGATGTGGAACGTAAAAATACAATATGCCAGAGATACATCCAGTCCTCCTGAGTGGTCAAGAGAGAAAATCCCAACTGTCGCCCACCTTCCTCAATCCTTTGAAGAAGCCCTTGGCGACCTTCTTTGCCGTAGGCGGCTTCAAGCTCAGCAGCCTGCTGCCTGAGGACGAGCTGGTTTCTGACACTGCCATAGACTTGCGGGACGCAGACCCAGCCTTGATGGGGATCCGCCTAGACTCCCGCCGCTTGCCGGTAGCCTCGCCTTTCAGTCGCAGAATGGCGTCCCGATTCGCGTTCTCGAAGAAAGTACAGGCTGCAAGCAGAAGCGCTGCGTCGAGTGCAGTGGCGCGCGCGAGAACTAGATGTAGTGTGATGGTCAATCAGATGAAACATGATAAGCTTGCAGGGAAAGACATACCCTCTTCGTAGGTCGCTGGCGAGATCTGATTGTTGCTGATAATCTTGGCTTGGACAAGCTGGCAGAGCTCGGAAAGGCCCCAGTAGTTGGACAAGCTGGAGGATCGACATCAGCGCAAGAAATGCTTAGCAAACAAAGGACCACTCACTCCATGAGATCCAGCAGATCAGCCAGCTTTTCGACACTGGGTGCTTTGGCCTGGTACATAAAGTCCAAGACAGCCTCGACAGTCAGAGCCGAGTACTCCAAATCAACCTCGATAGGATCGTCTGCTGTCCCAGGCCCCGACTCGGTAAAGGATCCACAGAACAGGTCGTTGAGATACTCGCTCATTGGGGCCAGGAAAGCCCGATGGGCAGGAAATCTCGTTCCGTCTTCGGCGTCAGCCGAGATGGGCTCAGACACGAAGACGACGTCCGTCAGCAGACCCTGCACACGCATACTCTGAAACCCGTCTCTGAGCATTTGGAGCTGTGTCTCCACCGAACTCCGCTCGGTGGCAGGCACCGGCGCGTTCACGATATCGTCAACGCCCGCTACGCTGAGCAAGTCTCTCCACGGGATCAGAAACTTCTTGACCGACTTGAGGTCGCCGCCGTCTAGAATGTTGAAGAACATTTCGTCCGCGCAATGCCACACCCAGCGCTCGGTCCTCGGATCATCGACATTCAGGAAGAGAGGCTGATCGTGCATCTCGACGATGATCTCCTCCGCTAGATGCTGATGGTCGTCGAGCCACTCGTACGTCGCCTGTAGATCGGAGAGCACGTAAATGTCGGAAGGCAGGTCTTGGGCAACCTGCAGAGCAAGCACCCGCAGGTGCTCGACAACCTCCCGGGCCGTCGGCTGCCCGAACGTCGGATTCGCGACGAGTAGCCGTTCGTGAGGAGACTCGAGCAGAACACCGCGCTGGGTCCAGCAGACAGCCTCGTGCTCCGCCAATAACGACTCGCTTGGTGTCATCAGCCGCGGGATTGGCTTGACGTATCTCGAGCTGTTCTCGATTCCCATGGTTCGCCGGCGCAGAGTCTCCCTCGGAATGAAGCGGAACTCGTCGAATGTCTTCCAGCCCCCGCGCTCCATGCGCAGCGACATGTCCTCGCCATAAGCCCTGAAGACAACTCTGGCACGCGCGATAATCTGAGGCTTGTCCATCTCCGCTTGGATCGCACGCGCACAGACACTGAACATGTCGAAATCGAGGTTGCTGTGGCTTTTCAGGCCAAGCGGGACCAGTCGGGGCTCGAGATCTCGGAAGCTGTCCAGGATGAAGTGTTCGGCCGAGAGATCAGAGCCGAAGGCCGCAATGAAGAGCGCGTGCCGAGCATACAGAGTGTTCGCTTTGACAAGATCCCGATTGCCATTCGGGACGAGGCTGATGAAAGTTGAGCATCGGAGATGGGCCTGAAATTAAGCACGCACATGCTATCGCCGTTGAATGTGAAATTTGCGGGCAGGACTCCCAAGAGCTGCTTGTATACAGTCTGATCCTCGACCGTCAGCTTCTGCGGCAGCTTGAGATGGTACCAAAACTGATTGAAGGGCATCGGCGTGACTTTCAGATGCACGAGCGACACATTGTGCTCCACGGTCGGCACACCCATGAACCTCGATGCAACGTCCTTCCCAATCCCGAACGGTAACATCTTGAGATCCATCGCAGTGTGCAGCTGCGGCTTCTGGTCAGAGCTGCCGCGCTGTAGCTTCTTCCAGATCGGCAACTGGCTGGCAATGGGGATCAGTCGCTCGGGGGTGCTCACGGTCTTGCCTCGCGCCCATTCGGCGAGCTGGGCATGTAGCGCGGGGTCCAACTTGGCAAAACGAGACGAAAGCGACGACTCCACCGTCTGGAAGTAATCCAGCACTCGCTCGAAATTCATGCTCTGTTGCGACTTGAGCAGCTCCCGTAGCGCTTTCGGAAGCAGTTCCTTGTTCTCCCGCTGCACAACACACGCCCCGAGGTCCGTGAGGGCGGCGCACAGCCACGCTGGGTCGTTGCTCGTGGCGATAAGCACCGAGTTTGTCCAGCACTTGCTCAGCGATATGTACTGTCCTGGCTTCGTGGTGCGGACGAGCGGATACCGAAGCTGCATCGTATTATTGTTCTTCGGGTCGATCCCGAAATGCGGGTACTCGGCCCAGAACAGCTGCACCCAGGCTTCGTCTTCCGGTTTCAGTTGCTTCTCATCACTGTTGGAGAGCTGCTCCTTCAGCAGCTGCTCGATTCCGAGGTAGTCCAGTTTGACGACGTTGAGACTCGTCGACTTGGGCCACACCTTCTCTGCGACAGCTCCGAACTCTGGTTGGACGAGGAACTCGGCTGGGAACAGAACGCGGTCGGGGAAGGCGGGTTTCCAGACGTGGAAATTAGTCGTCGTGGTCGCCTGCAGGGCCAGTGTCCCGAGCTTCCCGTCCCTGAGCGGGACAAGTGGCAGACCAGCCCACTTTCCCAGCTGGTCCTTGGCTAGAAACTCAACAAGACCCTCGATATCCTTGACGTTAATCTCGCCCTTGCTATACAGACCCACGAACGATCTCGTCTTGGCCAGCAGTTCCTCGCGCACCAGAGTCTGGTCGACCTTCTTCATCACCGCAGCACACCGCTCCCGCACTTTCTGGGGCAGCATCACGACGTGCGGAGCGTTGAGCCGCGACAGGATCTTGGTCACGCACCCAGGCTCGTCCCAACCGAGCAGCACCTCGCTCGGCTTGAGCTGCTCCCCGGCTTCGAACGCACTGGCGCAGATTCGTCGCTTGGTCGTTCCCAGGTGCGCAGCAGAGTAGAACGCGTCCAGGAGATGTTTCGACACCGGATCCTCGTGCTGACCAGCATAATTGCCCGGCCACCACTGCCCATTACCCATCCGGCCCCGCAAGAGATCTTCCAGCAAGAACAGATATAGCGGCGGTGCAACCGTTGCCAAGAGCCAGGAGTTGTATTTGCTCTCCAGATTGGCATAGTCGTCCAGCCGGATGTGCCTCCGATCAGGTGTCAGAATGAAGGATGCGGTAACATGCACCGGTAAACTGGTCGACATGGGCAAGGGCAGAGTGGAGAAAAGCCGCGAGCGCTGGGTGTTGGTAATAGGACTGGTGCTGGCGTCCATCGGCGCCGCCATTCCAACAACCACAGGCGACCTCAACCGATGCGGCTCGATCAACGGCGAGAACTCGCTGGGGATATCTTTCAGAGGCATTGCGGTCGAAACGACCCTGTAGTCGTCAGTGCTCCTGCTGTCCTCAAATTTCACATGCACGATGTGGGTGCGGAAATTGAAGACCGCTTTCGCGGGCTCGTGGAAAGCGCTGATAGACCAGTCGGCTGTCTCCCGGCCTGCAGCGGTGCGGTACGAAGTAGAGATGCGCTCGAGCTTGGTGAACAGCAGCGAAAGCTTGGCCGTTTCATACCACGGTCGCAAAATTCGTTCACGGATGTACTGCGTCGTATACTTTGTGACGCTAAGAAGGATAGAGTTCGGGTTGAGATGGGCATTGCGCCGGAATGGAAGGCGGAAGATCGTTCCATTGTAAGCAGCCTTGGAATTGATATTGAACCCGAACAGGCCTTGGATAGCCTGAAGATGATCTGGATACCACCGTTTGAGCTGCTCCAGAGGCAACAGAAGGGAAGCTCTGCCTGATATCGATGAATGAACTCGAGGCGTGTTCTCAAATACAAAGCAGACCGCGTACCTTGTATGGGAAGATGACTCTTGGATGGATCCAAGAACAGGACCTGAGAACCTGAGACGACCATCGCCATCTGTATTACAGATCATTGAGTTAAGAGCCCAAAGCGAGAAGCATCAGATGACCAACCTCGGTGAAATGGAACATGGACAGCGCCCCCAACCCAAACTGCCCAATGGTATTCGTCTTTCCCTCTTTGCCGCCGACCCCAGTCCGACAGATCCCGTCAAAGTCCTTGCTTGTGAATACACCGCTGTTCCAGAGCACCAGCGCGCCGCCGGTTTGGAATGCCGCCATCGAGCCAGCCAACAGCTTCTCGGTGGGTGCGTTCTTCTCGTCGACCATGATCGCAAAGCTGGACGCCCCGGCATCAGCTGCGTTGGCCAAGAATTCGCTGCAGATCTGAGCCTCGGAATATTGCTTCAACGTGTTCCGGATCGTTGTCGTCAGTGTCTCGCCCATGTCGATCCCGGGGCTCAGCTCAACCGACTTGAAGCCCAGGCGATCCATCAGCAGTTGTTTGCTGAGATCGTCAGACAGTTTCGGATGCGCGATATGGGTGGCAGTACCCAAGTCGATCAGGCATGCACGCTCCCCCACGTCGTTGAAATACACCTGCGAGATCGGCCGCAGAATTCCGGTCGTGTCGGGGACGAGAAGATCACTTCGAGACACAGATTTGAGGTCGGCGGCGAGAGCCGTAAGGACTAACAAAGCTTGGTCGACGATGTCGCGAGAACGTGATCGTGCTTCCAGTGACTTGAGCTCGGTAAGCAGGATAGGTGCGGAGGGCCTGCGTGTGTTTGAGCGTACAGCATGAGAAAACGGGGAGAGTCGCACCGGTCAGTACAGCCCATCTTTGACAGAAATGCCTTCGTCTCTGGCCGATCACCCAGCCCGAATGGAATCTGGTGGAAGCCAGGTAAACCAGACGTCGACTGGAAGACAGCATGCTCGGTTTTGACAACCAAATTCGATGCGATCGGGATCCAACGCTTTCCAGAGACGATTTCCTGCAAGACCTCGACCTGCTTGTCGTCCAATGCCCGAGTGCTGAGTTCCCGGATCAGGCGATCTAGCTTGAGCGTCGAGGGCTGGCCGCTGTGAGCTATTGTGCGCAGCTGAGACAGGAGGATGTCAAATGGCACAGGCCTATCCCACTTGAGCGCCACTCTCAGCGACGGCGAAACTGGCGCATTTCGATCTAGCACAGCCAGCACCTCGTCGAACAGCTCGATCTGCATCATGTGGTCATAACAGTCCGCAGACCCAACCAAACCGCGATTTGTCGGCAGCCATCGCAGCTCGGGGGAGATTTCCAGCGTCGAGCAATCGAGACTGCTCGTCGCATGGATCAGACTCAGCATCTGCACAGCCAAAGTACGGGACTCGGCCACCTCGGAGCGGGATGAGATGTAGGCGATACGTTCACGCACGATGTCGACATCGAGGGCAGAGATCAGCAGGTCTAGTTGTCTGAGCTGTGAGATGATGGGTGCATCATCGGGGTGAAGCACCGGGATCCGGCTCTTGTCGTCTGAAAACAGCGCCACCAAATCTGTCTTGCTTGGATCGATCACCCTCCTCGGGGCTTGCATTCTCCCGTTCGCGACTTGTACAAATTCCGTGTCGCGCAACGTCTCAAACAGACTTGGAGGCAGCGACGCACGGGACTTGACGAGATGCTCCAGGAAAGCAGCCCTCAAAGTCTTCGTCTGAGCCGCAAAATGCTCTACGGCGATCTCCAGCAGGTCAGGTGCAGTAAGGGGCACGACTTTGCTGGGTGTCAGGTGCTGCAATAGGTGCAAATCGGCATTGGCACCGTCAAGAAACGCGTATTTTGCCACATCAGGGATCAACGCTGATGTGTCTTCCGTCCCCGGGACTCCGACTACCAGGGTATCATCCGGAATGGACTGCAGGATGACCGGAGCGGCTACACTCTTCGCCCTGCGATGCAGTGTCGGCAGCCGAAAGACACTGTAACTCTTCTCCGGCGACGGGGGCTCCGTTGTCGCAGACAGCAGCGGGAAGATCGGCAGCGAACGTAGTTTCTGCGTCTGGGTCGGCGTCAGCGGTGTCTGCGAGCCCAGCTGGAGCACACAGTCGACCACGTGCTTCGACAGCGCATGTGCTTGAACAGGTTGCAGCTCCAGCGCCAGTCCGGCCGTCAGCGTGATGCGATCGAGAACGAGGTGGATGTCCGATAAGCTCTTGAGGACCAGTGGATATTCGGACAGCCCTTTGAGCGCATCGTCAGAGAACGAGGCATGGAGGAACGACAGTCCCAGGTTCTTGAAGATCGGGACCAGTCCGGGGTCAATCCCAGCATCCGTAAACACACCCACAGCCGGTGCCTCGACACCGTGATGCGTCGGGACGAGGTAGAGACTGGACACGAGCGGATACAAGCCATTGCGTGCATGCCACGTCCCCAACCAGCTCCAGAACGCCGTAAGCCAGAAAAAGAGCGGGTAGCTCAGCTTCCCGTCCGTCCGTTTCGTCAGATCAAATCCGAGAGGCAATGACTGCAAGTAGGAGGCAACAATCGCCGGCGTCAAAATGGACACATTCAGCAGCGCAGGTCCACTTGTCCGTAGGACATCGATGGCTTGCTGCGGCAGACTCGACAGTGCGATGGCCAGTTCGTCCATCTGCTTGAAGACATCCGCCTCGCCCTGTTCCATCATCGTATAGACTTTGGAAGTCGTCTCGCTCCGTCGCTTGAGTGTCACAAAACCGCCATTGACCAGTGGCACCAGTGGCAGGTCAGCGATGTAGTCGAGCACTTTGTCTCGAACGAGATATCGCAGCACGACAAGTCTGCTGTCGCTGTCGAGAGCATGTATCTCTGTCTGATGGCCCTACAATAAAAATCAGCAGAGCTGAAAGAGAATGACGGAGGTGCGCTCACGCAGAGCTGCTGATAGGCCATCTTGGGCGACAGCGTCACATAGCGCGCTTGACTGCCGCCAAGCAACCGCAGAATATATTGCGGGAGCTGGGTAATGCGTAATCCCGCATTGGTCAGCGCAGCGAGTGTTTCCGCATCGGTGTCTGCTCCAGTGACCAGCACCGACGCATCCAATACGGCGAAAGATCCACCGACGAGCGGCCAAACAGGCGATGCCGAGGCAATGATATGGGAGAGCAGCTTGGCAGGAAGGGACTGCCAATATGCACTGTCACCGCCAAAGACCACCGCCTGTTCCGAGGGCCAGGCGCGGAATACGTGTTCCAGCGCGTCCTCCTGAAGAAGCGCTTGCAGCAAGATGGCCCATGTGCAGGGGAGAAAGTTCTCGAAGAGGATGTGATTCCATTCGACCAGGATACTTTCGTCCCCAATTCATTAGTTCATCCATCAACACGCAATAAACGCCTGGCACACCTGTCAGCAGAGCCTTTCACGATGCCCACTTCCCCTCCGTTGTTCAAGTTCTGCCTTGACTGAGTCAATGCAAACAAAGCATGCACGTGGACAGGAAATCCTGTCTTGAGCGGCAGCGGCAGATAAGTGAACAGCCGCCCGTCGCTCTCTGACGCCTCGACGATCGACAGCGGGATCGCCACAGCCATTTCTGACAGCAACTTGTGCTTTGCTAGAATGGGACGGGGATCTTGGCCTATCCGTAACGCCAACAGAGAGGTCGATTGGGCTTCTGGGTAGAAAGAATGGACGATGCGCCATGGCTTGTCGCGTTGACCGTGTGCAGCAGAGTCCACCGACACGGTGCACTTGAATGAATGATGCTGGTCCTGATTGGTCCCAGCCAGCGTCCGGCCCTGATCTCGTCGAATACTGGTTCTTGCTAAACACCGCTTTGTCCCGTCCTCACTGATCTCGTGCACTTCGACCTCACGTACATGTTTCAGAAACAGCAATGAGATACCGATCTCCTCCCGCACAAAGTCATCAAAGAGCTGTCGAATCTCAGATGCGTCGACAGACTTGGAACTGATACTGCTCTCGGCACCGGGCAGTCGTAGCGGAAGGCGGATGATGGAGCCAGAGAACGGCTGCGTCCGGGAGTCCGAGGGCAGAAAGAACTCGAACGCGTCTAGTTGGTCGTGGTATTGAGCATCTTGCGCGGTAAAGTCCACCTTCACACCGCCCGTAGGTGCAAAGTAATGATGGGGGTCCAAGATTGCGAGATGTGGGCCGGAGAGGATTTCAGGGTTGTCGGTGATGTGATAGCACGAACGGAACCCGATTCCGTACTTTCCGATCTTACTATGAAATGTTCATAACATGGACGCGCATCGAGAAGTAAGACTGGACGCACGATGTATCCGTCTTCTTGGACGACCGATGTATGCTCTGTAACGCCTCCCAGTCTCCGTCCTCAAATAGCGCGTCGTTGTAAGCCAACACGGCCGGTCCCTGCGTCCCTCTCAACTTGGCATGCGTGTCTACTAAAGTAGCAGTTCCGAATGTCCGCTTGTCGAGCACAAACACCTGCTTGGAGGCTCGCGCGTCGTCCGAATTCTGCAACAACTCTCGGAACAGACCAATCGAAAATGGGTAGGCAGCGAGGATTGCCGCGAGCGTATCCGTTGGGAGCGCGTACTCTCCAAACGACGACGCCATCGAGGCTAGGTGAGAAGATGAGTGTATCGTTGATGTCCCGTTCGTGCCACACTATGATATAGTCAGTGGCTGCCGGCGGTGCACGTCTGTCGAAAGGGGCCTGACGTCGCTAAGTGGAGGGCTCCAGTTGCGTGCGTGTTCTTCGTATCACTGTCGCGGATCCCGAGTGCAATGACTCGGCACACGCTTGGGCATCTGGATATCGGACGCGGAGAGCTGTCGGACCTATACGTCAACCGTACGGCCGAAGATACGGAGACGCCGAATTAATTGTGATACTGATAGCCATCACGCAACAGCTTTGGGGCTGTGGTCGTATCTGGTCGTGTGTGGGTGTTAAATATAGAAACGATAAACCGGCATGGACATCTAGACTGAGCTCGCACCTAGAAAAGAGGGTCGTCTCGCGACTGCTTTCAATTCGCAAAAAGACTTGTGATAGTAATCGTCAGCTTGGAATGAAGCTCCGAGCTAATGAAGAGCGTACCCCCGGCTTTCCGGAACGTATCACACTTAATATCTTGGTCCAGTCGAGGGTGCTGGCCGCGGCGACTTGTCGGACTCGCTTGAGGCGAAGACTTGTCGAATCGACAACGAGGAAAGACTGATCTAGACTGACTGCTGGATCGACTTGGAAGGCCTTAAAAGCGCGGCAACATCAGTGTCAAGTCAATACATAAGAGTGTGACGCTGCCAGTGCGTTCGCGCAGGCTCAGCTGTGCCAGTGGTCCTGAAAAAGTCAACGTCAGAACTTTGATCCTGACGTATCAACACACGTCTTTCAATCGCTGGCAAAGAGCAGACGAACAATCCTCTCTATGTCAAGTACTCCATTGGTGCATATTTTTCGTTTGGGTCGTGATGCGATTTAGATAAAACCGAGTCACGCCAGGTGGCTGGAGAATGGAAAGCTCGTTAGGATCACGTGATCGCATACACGACGATCTCGCATCGTGATCGCGTTCGTTGCTTATCGAAGTATCACCAGTACCATGATCAGCTGCAAAATGCCTGATGTCCAATGCAGCACAGCACCCACCCCAATTGCGAATTGAGGTCTCAAAAGGCTAATGAAGCAAGGCTAAGCATCTTCGGCCCCCGTACAACTTCACATCAAGCTCCGATTTTCGCGTTTCAGTACAGACCGCGTCACTCAGGATTCAATGGGTCTGTGAAGAACGGGACTATACAAGTACATCGAGGAGTACAACTAAGCTACACATTACCCACGCTTACAAATCGAATGCAGAACTTTTCCATCCATCCGTCCTCTTCTCTTGTACGACTTTCTCATCGACAGTGCGTTGGAAGGAGCGGATTTGTCTCTGTCCCTCTCCGACGAGTCCCTCCACATGCTGCTTCACATCTTTGGCCGCGTCCTGAGCGTCCTGCCCACTACGACCGGTCTCGCCCTTGATCGCATCCACCGCATCTCCCACTCGTTTGCTGACAGACTCGGAGCCAGTGCCCACCGGACCGCGCTTTTCCCCACTTAACAGCTGGGGCTCGGCACCGACAGCAAACTTGGTCTGTCCAGAAGCTTCCTCGAGAACAAGGCCAGTGCCCGTCGCACGCCAGCCGAAACTCTGGCCTTTAGTGAGGCGGCCCAATTCGGACCAGATGGCACCCGCGAATGAAGCCCCCGAGCCAAGTCCGGCGTCCGAGAACACCTCCGACCGACGGCCAACATCCCAGGCGACGGCATCAAGCCATCCGATGCTAGAGCGCAGCTGCTCAGAAAGCGTCTTGCCGAGAGCTTCTCTGAATCGCATGTTGAAGATCGGCTTGAAGACAGAAAGCACAATCGCGTGGTTGCTCTCGCGGACAGTCAAGTCGACGTCGTCTGAAATGTTGACCGTAACGAGTTCGATGTGATGGTAAGCGCGACGAGACTCGCGTTCTGTTGCAGAAGGGATGAGCCGAATCTTCAGGTCGATGTCGATACCCTGCGGCGGCATCTTCAGCTCGAGCAGGCCCGTGAACTCGCTCGGAGGCAGTGTCGCCGTCTTGTCCTTGTAGTAGAACGAGACGTCTTTGAGCATCAACTGCACGGCCTGCATGCGAATGTGGGTGTATGCACCAACGCCTGCTGACTTAGTTTCACCAGTCTCCGACGTACGGACATCGACGTCAGAAATGTTGCGAATGAACACGTGTGCTGGATTGAGGGCTAGGGAAGAGATGTCGAGATTCTCGAGCACAAGCTCAACATCGTTGTCAGTGTACTCGGTACGGGGGACGGGGAGATCCTTGAGCATAGATAGCATTCTCTGTCAATAGGGTCAGCAATTGGATGCGATGCCAATTGATATCCACTCACCGGAGCGTAGACAGCAAAAAGGTCGTGCCAGAACCATGACATCCTCTCCAAGACAGCTTGTACACCGGTTTCCGCCGTCTCACCAGCCTCGACCAGGCCACGATCGATGTCTGAGCCAAGACGCCCGTGAACTTGCTGCAGACGTTCGACGTCCTTGTCCTCAGCGATGGCAGTCCCGAAAGTTTCAAGTGTCCCCTTCAGTTCGGTCCAAGCATGACCGGCCTCCGTGTCCGCATCGAGCAGTGCACGCCACTGATGGCGCAGTTCTCGTCGGGTCGTTTTCGCTTCATCGGACTGAGAGTAGTCCATGTCGTCCAGACTTTTGTGAGCGTACTTCAAGAACTTGTCCAGCCACTGTTTGACCTCGGTCGAGTCGCCCCGAATGGCGGAGACGAACACTTGCAGTTTCCCAACGACATCGTCGACGGAGCACTTGGGTGAAGCGAACCGGTCGAGCATAGTTTTGATGGCGCCCAACGCTTGGTGGAGATGCTGTTCGGGAGTGGTGTCTTCGACCAACGATCCGAGGGTGAATGGCTGGTTGGTGGTCGTGTCGAATGCTTTTGAAACCCATTTATGCACAGTATCGAACAAGTTTGATAGTGAATCGTGGTATTCACGATCATTCTGAGCACGTTGGCACGCCTGAGTATTTGTTCGTCAATCGAGTTCATGACAATCAAGAACATGCCGACCTTCAAGTAAGCCTTCTGCAGGCGAGTTGTCGTACGCTCAGAAATGTCTTCCGTCTTATCGGCAGCAGTCTGGCCCGCTCCGATCATACTTGAACCAGCGCCCTTAAGCGTGTCCATGCCGTGCTCGAAAGCAACTCGGACATCCTTCTCTTCCTCGACCCTCTGCTTGTCCCTGCCCAGATTATCCCGTTTCCCGTCCTGCACTTCTTTCTCGACCTGCCTCAAACCATCTTTGGCGCCGCTGGCATTCAACTCGAGAGACTCGGCGGCATCAGCAAGCGCGAGGCGCGCGAACGAGGCCAAATCGTTGAAGAGGAAGCTGCCCTCTGAGACAACACTCTGCCACAGAATGGTGAGGATGGTGCGGACCGAGTCGCTGACCGCCTTCGCGTCGGAGGCCGCCTCGTCGGTGTCGACGACATCATTTGTCGAGGATACGAGCACATCCGTGTCGCCCTGCGAGATATGCCATAGGGCTTCTTGCATAAGGTTGTCCTCTACGTACATCAGAGCTAGAAAACGGTGATAAGAGCATGAAACGCACTGTTCTTGCTCTCATTCAACGCCTTGTATGCCTCCAGGATCCCGCGCACATCGTTCGCCAGCACCCTCCCTTGTCCACTGAGTGCATCGGCCGTAGGCTGGACCGCAGGGATGCCTGAAACCAATAGCCAGTCGAGGATCTGGTTGATTTGCTTTGTCGTCGGGAGCTTGCCGGCTTCAAACGCGGCGATTATCGACGCTGATTTGTCCATAGTGCTCTCGTGTGATTCTTGTAGGTCGTAAGTCGTTGAAAGTGAAGTGGCGGATCGACCGGCGTCGTGGATACTTTATAGCGTAGAGAAGCTGAGAAGGATGACCAAAGCCATGACGAGGTGGGCATAGTTTGGCTCTGTGCGTCGACATGCATGACGCGGTGTGAGGGATGAGACAGAGTGGGGGTTGGATCTCGATCAATGATACTATCCCGATACTATCCATCGGGGTTTACCGAAGTAGACTCGTCCGAGGTTGCAGTGGAATGCCATCAAGTATAGAGGTCATTTTGCGACATAGTAATGATACATTTATGTAATTGCAATGCGTACTCATGAACGCTTCCTACTCCCAGGCAGCATCCCAGCCAAGAGCGCTCCGATCCCATCCCCCCTCTTTGCCACCGAAAGCAACCCACCCCATGGTCTCACTTGTGATGCCAGCAGCTCGAACGAAGGCCGAACCATCGAGGCGACTGGTCCCGGGATGGGTCTCTTTTCCCGCCGGGTCAACAGCACCAACAACTTGACCAGCAGACGTGCTCCCGTAGTGCGTGGCTGCGTAATAGAGGGAGCGAATTGCTTTGATGACATGGGCATCCGGATGTTGCAGCCCATTGTGGATGATAGGGAGCCAGGGATTTGTCTGTTCATCCTTCTCGAGAGCGATCGGGCGAGGAATGTCGGTGTAAGACATCAATAACTCCGCATCCATCCGCGGTCGGCCGCGCATGAGAGTGAGTAGCGCAGTGACTCGCACATAGCCTTGAAGCAACTGAACTCGGTGGATTGCTTTGGGGAACGCTTCCAACAGACTCGGAAGGCATATCGCGCTGGTGAGGATGTGCATCAAGAAAAAGTCCAGCCGGGGCTCATGCCCTTTTCGTCCCGTTGCGGACATAAGCAGAGTTGCCAGCCAGAGGCATTCCTCCACTTTCTTGGCGCACTCAGCTTCGAATGCGGCACCAGTTAATTGTGTGTTGATCGACCACTGGGAGAACAAGCGCTTTAGTTCAGTCCCACGTTCAGGATTCTTGCTAAGCTGCTTGAAACGAGCGCCGAACATATCGTTAGGCGCATAGGGCATGACGGGCGCTAAAATTGGGGAATCATACACGTCGCGGAAGATGGAAAGCAAAGTGACGCCAGTCGTGGGTTCTGAGACGATCTCCGGTAGGTTGGTCGGGTGGTCCATGACGAAAGAGGCTATAGTGGGCTCGGTTACAGCACACATCGCCAATCCTGGAAAATCCACTCGGATCAATCAATGGGAAAGTATGTTGCGCCAGTCCGCACCTTGAGCAACCATGCAATCTTGCGCAAGTTCCATTCCGAACTGAGAGCACCATCAGCTTCACGAGCCGATTCGTATACAATACTCACCCCAACATGAAGGAATGGATGAAGCCTGCGCACGGTATGAGAACGATGTACTCGGACATAGATGATACTCACGCGCCACTAAAAAACCGAGCGAACATGGAAGCCCCATTGCCATTTGCGGCTGGAGACATCAGAAACTCTTCGAGCGTCTTCTGTACACCGAGGTTTTGGATGCGATCCGTGAAGAACGAAAGGTAGCTTCCGTACGCGCTGTATTCACTCCATGAGAATCATATGAAACATTAGAACAATACACCTGACCCACTTTCTGTCACCCAACTTGGTGGTCCAGTTCTTCTCGGTTAAATCATCTCCGTTGGTTCCCACAGGTCTCTGTTCCTTTGCCTCCTCGTCGAATATCTTCTGCAAAAGCGCGGGGGTAGCGCCCATATCATAGGCCGCTACCAAACTAGAGGGGAAAAGATGTCAACTGTGCAAGCTGGTGAGTGTAGGAAGACTGGCATACTGGTGTGAAAGATGGTTATGGAAGCCAAGGTCGTTGAAAAAGCAATGGTGCTCCTTGGTGTCCCGCAGTAACAACTCCCGCAGCTTCTGACCTGCCTCGGGAGTAGCCGGAGAGTGAACAAGACCTGGGCGAAAATGTCGCGATGCCGTAGAAACCATCCTTTTTGTAAGATTGGTGCGGACGATGGTAGGTGAGAAGAGCTTGAATCTCATCCTAAATCCGTGTCCGCGAAGGTGGTCATATGCCTTGAACGAGATATGACATGAAAGATGACATCACGCAGACGAATCACAGGATCGTTTGCTTATGAACTTTAACGCACGACGCGTAAAGGGCATTACGGGGGTCAGAAAAATCGGCGGCGAAGAGTTGCGTAGACATGGCCGTGACGGGTAGGTGAATGGGTTGATGATTGTGCATCTGATTTCGTGCACTCGACTAATCTTGTAATCGATAAGATATTTACACGAACACGTGATGAACATTTGTTTGTTTGAATCTGCATTTCTATTCCGCAACAAGTATTTAGGTACTACGACGCGGTGCCCGAGGGCAGCGGGGAGGTAAACGCAAGTGTGTTTCGGCCTGCTGTTGATGGTGGTCTCCTCGAGTGTAGGCTTTTAGGTTCGCGAGGCCGAGAGTAGCGTTTGTCGATGTACGTGATGGACATCGTCGAGCCTAATCTGGCTCACGTGACCGTGCTCGGCATCACACTACTCGGTACCCCATTGTGTTCCGACAGCAGCAGCAGCAGCAGCAGCAGCAGCAGCATGAAAACAACTAGGTCTTCTTCAAAATAAGCTGTTTCACAACTGCTCCACGCATGAAACCTTCTTGCAACATCTTGTTTCGCCTTCTCGCGCTATAGTCAGTCTGGGCTTCAGCGATCGGAGCGGATAGGAGGCGAATAGGGTCTTCCACTAACACCCTTGCACTCGTACTCCGACTCGTTCATTCGTCATCTATGATGTCCTTGTTCTCGGACAAGCGTCACTCATCGATCTTAGACAGGCGAGTGCGATGCTATATACTCTGTACGGTACGCGCCTACCGCAATCAAACTCTCTTCCACACATCATGGACAAGACGACTTCTGTCCTGGCTGCCTTTGACGCCGGAAAACTTCCTTCTACCCAACAAATCCATGCGTTCACCGAGTGGCTGCGCGAGTCCGTGATCACCGCCGCAGAACCTTCGTCTGAGGATCCCCTAAGCGAACAAGGACGCGTCTTCGCTGGCGACGTCCGTGGGATCTTGGAAGCTTACGAGACTCTCCTCAAACACAAGAATGGTGCGCGCGAATCATCTCTCTGCACGCCTTGGTTTGCTAACCAGCTTGCAGGAGATAATACCCTGCAGGACGCCATTTGGCACATCACTGAGGGAGACGTGACTGGAGCTGTGAAGGCCAGCACCGACCCAGTCGATAAATCCGAAATTATCGACGACGCGCAAGTAACCCGCGATTCTCTCCGCGCACTTCTTTCTATCGCCTGGAAGAGCGTCGTTTCCGAGGGCGACTTTCTTCTCAATGACTTTGCTTCTTTTGCCCGATTAACGCTCGCCGACGCCGCCGAGGTGGTCCAGGGACAAGCGGGGCGAGCAAAGGAGCAGTTGAGGGAAATCGATCAGGAAGTGGAAGAAGGCAAACGCGATGGTCTCGGCCGCGATAAAGATCGTCTGACGGAGGAGGAGGGGAACAAGCAAGCCGTGTTTGAGAACGGTATGGACAAGGCAAAGATGGTAGGTTCCAAGGCGATTAGTGTTGGGCAGACGGCGGCAGAGAAGTCGAAGGAGGTTTCAGCGAAGACTCGCTCTCAGCTTGAGCAGTCAGTTCAGAACGTGCGTTTTTCACCCACGAAGTGAAAAAGCGTCAGGATTAATCTGCCACGCAGGCAATCGAAAGAGCCCAGAGTGATCCGGCGTACCGTGACAAGGTATCGCAGATCTTCGACATCCTGCACAAATGGGTTGTCAAGGCCCTCGATGCAGATCATACGAAACCGTTCACTCTCGATGAACTGGTCGAAGACCCATCACCCGATCGCCACGTTCATCAGGCCCTCACTGGTTTCAAGACGTTCATCAATCGTTTCTCCGCGCCCGAGTGCACGATTGACACTGTGCTTGACCGCGCCCAGATCTTCCTTACTTGCATTCGCGGTCATGAATCCACCGAATTCCAAGCCTGGGTCGACCAATACTTCGCTTACGCCCAACGTATCCTCCATGACTCTGACTACGCTCGTTCCGCCGAAGCGCAACAGGTTCAGCGTGGGCTGTCCTCGCAGTGGAATGCGCTCCTCAATGCTGACACAGAAGTCGGACACTCTTGGGCGGAGCTGCAACAGTCACTACTTACCTTTGCAAACGCTATCGGCAAAGATGAAGATATTGTTCAATTGCGGGAAGCGCATGCTCACTTCGGTAACAACATCGCCCGCAGCGTTCAGAATTCAGACCTGAGTGTCGTGGAGCGCGCCATATGGTTTTGGCGCGACTTATTCACCGTTTACACCCCAGTGCGTCGGCCTGCCTTCCTTTGTCCACCTTGTCTAAATTTCTGTCAGCGTTTGCTAGGTTTACTCAAAGACACTCCTATCACTCGAACGGAATACGTCGACGAAGAAGTTGACTTCGTGCTCGAAAATCTGGATGTCTCGACATTCGAACTCAATCCCGCCCACATTTCGCTTCGGAACACCACAGAAGTTGACGTTCAGACCAGTCGCACCAAGGCAAACACGACTGACATTGGTACCGTGACCCACATCCATCTGCGTGCTGTGCAGCTCGCGCTCAAAGACGCTTCATTCTATATCAAGGCGAAAGAGGCCGGCAAGCTTATTCCCAGCGAGTTTTCGGGTCTACTTGCTCTCGAAATGCCACCAGAGGGAATAGACATCCAGATCACGATCCGCTTGATCTCATCTCCCGATGAGCGTGCAAAGCTGCGCAGGTACCACCGTATTGAAGTCGCGAACGTGCAGCTCTCGGAGAAGATGAAGATTTCCATGCGCGAGAGCAACCATCGCATCGCGCTTGCGCTTGCGAAACCCATCGTCAAGAAACGCCTGCGAGATGCGCTGGGCAAGACGCTTTCTGAGCAGCTTCGTGCTGGGCTCGAATGGCTCGATTCCACTGCTTTCGACGTCGCGCGCCGGGCAGAGGTGTTTGCTGATGCTGGTGCTGGACCTGGGCCGTCGTTTATCAGCGCGGTGTGGTCTGAGATTGGGCACCTAACGAAGGGCAAGAAGGGACCGGGTCTCCGCTTCACTGGCGCCGGAATCGTTGTTGAAGACTCAGACAAGAAGTTTGCGATGGGAGCTGAGCCACAGGTCCTGAGCGGAGAGAAGCATGGTCCAGTCGCAGCAGCCTCTACTCGTCTGGGTGCCGCGAACTCTCTTGACAAGGGAAAGAGCCAGATTTTGTCTTTCAAGCAAACTGTGGAGGATAAGTCGGCTCGTGAAGCCGCTAACTCTGGTTGGCAGAGCCGGGCTTTTGATCTTTGAACATGCCATTATTGTGTATCGTAGGTTCTTCTTCTCTAAGTATTCTGTAAAACACACTGTAACACGCTTGAATTGTGTATCAGCCTTGGAGCTGGCTTGACTGTTTGACTCGCGATCACCTGATCACTCTCAGATTTGTCTCGCTCTCTCAAGGCACCACTGTCAGTTTCGAGACGTCGTGCCTGCCTGCCTTTCGTCATATCTGACCTCGTCATAGATTGGTCGACTCCAGTACGCCATCCAAAGTCCACATACTGTACCGATGTGTATGTAGGCAACTGTAACGCGTAACGCACCACTTTTGCGTCGCCTAATTTGGCCCTTGTAACGTGTAACGCAGGGCCCGTCGCCAACAGGTACGAGTTGCCCAAAATAGCCCCAAAAAGAGTCCTAAAATCGCCAAAAAAAAATCGGAATTTATTCGTCTTCCTCAGGAAGATTTATGTCCTGGTCAAAAAAACAAGTCCTCAGTCAAAAGTTTCCCTTCAGAACCATAACCTCAGATGTGCTCGTTGATTCATCAGGATTGAGCAGAAGAGACTGCAGCAAGTAATTGATGTATTTGAAAAGGGTCTCCATTTTGTTATTCAGGCCCTCCGGAACACCTTTCGGCACTGCTGGTCCAATGGGCCGCCCCTCAAGTCTGGGCCTTGGGGCAAAACAGTAGATCATTGAAGAATAGAGTGAAAATGTACTTGTTTCGTGCTTATTTGGTTCCTACTTGCTTCTTACTGCAATTCGAGCCTGTGCCGACAAGATGCCAGCCTGTCGCCTAATTTGGAAGATGTAACGCGTAACTTGAGCTCGGTCGCTAACGGGCGGAGGTAACGCTCCGGGAGCTGTCGCCTACATACAGATCGGTACAGTAACCCAAACGGCTCACTCACGTCATACCTCAGTCATACTCCATGCCTGATAAAAACGCACGCGAGGGCATACAACTTTCTCTCTGTATACCACAACTCTCATCATGGATAAACCCACATCTATCATCGCCGCATTCGACGCAGGAAAACTTTCGTCTACGCAGCAGTTGAACGCGTTCATCGAGTGGCTCTTGGTCACCGTGCTTCCCACGAACCGGGATAACCTGAGTGAACCGGGACAAGCACTTGTTGGGAATCTGCGGCAGATCCTTGAGGCACACAAGGTGCTGAATGAGAACAAGAATGGTGCGTCAGCCCGACTCTATGCTACGCGCGATCGCTGACGATTCGGACCTACTCAGCCGATAATCTGGCGCAAGAAACACTATGGCACCTCTCCCAAGGCGAAGTCAATAATGCGGTTCGCGCCAATGTAGATTTGGGCGACAAGAAACACGAGGTGTCTTCGGATCAGCAGTCGACCCAGGACTCGCTGCGCACGCTTGTTTCCCTCTTCTGGGAAAGTGTCGTATCCGAGGGAAACTTCCTGCTTGGGGACTTTGCATCGCTAGCTCGTCTATCCCTGGCCGATGCCGCCGAAGTCGTCCAGGATCAAGCGGGTCGTACGAAAGAAGGGCTGCGGCGCGTCGATCAGGAAGTCGAGGAAGGGAAACGCGACGCCTTTGGACGAGACAAGGAGCGTCTCGAAGCGGAGGGCGACAAGCAAGTGAAGTTTGAGAATCGGATGGACTTGGTCAAGGATGTCGGGTCCAGAGGGATTGGGGCAGGGCAATCGGTTTCCGGCAAGCCGCAAGAAATGACGCAACAGACGAAAGATCGTCTTTCAGGGTCTTATCGTAATGTGCGGTCCGATACTTTTTTCGCTTCTGCTCTAACGAGCGACGCAGGCACTTCGAAGAGCTCAAGAAGACCCCGCATATCATGATCACTTGACTGTTCTCTTCGATACTCTCCACAAATGGGTCGCGCGCGCGCTCGACTCTAGCCGCTCTCAACGTTTAGATCTGGATACCTTGATTGACGACCCTTCACCCGACCAGCACATCCACCACGCCCTCACTGGTATTAAGACGCTGCTGGATCGATTTGCATCGCCTCAATCTTCTGTTGACGCCGTGATGGAAAAGGCGCAGATATTTGTATCCTCTCTGCGTGGCGAAGAGTCGAAACGGGTCCAGGCCTGGGTTGACAAGTACTTCACATTTGCGCACCGGATGCTGGACAGCGCGGATTATGCTCAGTCCGAGGAATCGCAGCGTGTCTCCGATGAGCTTGGACAAGAATGGAGGACTTTGATGCATGCGGATTCTGAAATCGGGCATTCTTGGACCGAACTCTCGACTGTCGCGCAGGCTTTCGGAAACGCCGTGGCAAACGATGAAGATGTCAGGCGTCTGCAGGAAACCCACGCCAAGCTGGCGAAGGATCTTGCGCAAGGGATTGTTGGCGAACAGTCAGGCATGGGCATGCAAGCGATGGTGGACAGCGCAGTTTGGTTCTGGCGAGATCTCTTCTCCGCTTATGCACCGGTGCGTCTGACTGAAGTTTGGTGGGTTTTTGTTGCTCAAATTGCGCTCCATAGCGGCTGTTCTCGATGCTCAAGGACATACCCATTCCGCGCACAGAATATGCTGACAATGAGATGGAGCTGGTTCTCGAAAACATGGATATTTCCTCCTTCGAGCTCAACCCCGCCCACATTTCCGTTCGCAGCACCACGGATATGGATGTGCGAACATCCCCTGATGGGCCCAATCAAACGAAGCTCGGCCTTTCCACCCACATTCATCTGCAAGCGGTCCAGTTGGCTCTCAAGGACGTCTCATTCTGGTACAGAGACAACGAATCAGGCGCGCTGGTTCCCAGCCAGGTCCACGGACTGCTCGGAATGGAAATGCCGCCCGAGGGAATCGACATCGAGCTCAAATTCGCACTCATTCCTTCAGCACGTGATCGAGAGTCGAAGCAGCGGTACCACGAGATCGAAGTCTCGAAGGTGAACATCTCCGACAAGATCAAATTGTCGCTGCGGGAAAGCAACCATCGACTTTTGCTTGCGCTCGCGAAGCCCATGTTCAAGAAGCGTTTCCGGGAAGCGTTCAGCCGTGCGCTGTCCCAACAGCTTCGGATGGGCTTTGAAACACTGGACGGCATTGCATGGGATGTATCGCGTCGGGCGGATGTCTTCACGGACAGTGGTATGGGTCGTGGCGCTGCATACGTCAGCGCAATCTGGTCAGAAATCGGACGCATGGTCCGCGGTCGCAAGATGGGTCTTCGACTGACCGGCACTGGATTCGTTCTGGATGGCCCCGAGACGGACAAGAAGTTCGCGATGGGGGCCGAGCCTCAGGTGTTGAGCGGAGACAAGCATGGGCCCTTAGCTACAGCCTCACAGCCTTTGGAAAGCCGGGGCGAACGCAGGGATCAGAACGAGTCTGTCGACGCGCAGAGTGCGGTCCAGGAAGGAAAGAATCGGGTGCTGTCTTTCAAGCAGCGAGTTGATGAGAAGTCTTCTTTGGAGTCGCAGAATTCGGGCTGGCAGAGCTCGGCTTTCGATATCTAAATGTTTTGTAGTCAATTTGTACTTGGTGTCCTGTAAATGTACCACTACCAGCATGCTTTGTTCCGCTTCGTTTGACCATCATAAAACTCGTTCGCAGTGCTCAGGTCTTGGTGCAACCTTCGTCGCGCGTCCCCTAAAATCCATTTTCTGTACTTCTCACTGTCTCCCCAGATATAGAGGTGTCTCAATAACGAAGTTTCACGTTGATCTTGTCGTACGTGCGTGAGAGCCAGTTTGGGTATTCTACCAGAGGTTATTCAATTTCCTGGCTGTAAAAAACAATATCAATCCCCCAATGCTTACGAAAAATTCATCCGTGCATTGTGGTGCAAACGGAAATGTCCGACTGACATATGTGTTGTTTGTGCCGAAAACTTTGATGCAGCTTTGCCCCTTCCAAGTCTATGGTCTTTCGGCCCTCACTGACCTTGTACGCTAAGAAACCATCTTCGACCGTCTGGCTTTCTCGACAATCCCGCGATCCGTATGTCCGCCTCCGCTCGTCGTCCAACATGAACCCCGGCGGCCAGCCGGGTCACGGCAACGCCGTCGCGCCATTCTCGTACCGGTCTCGGGCTGCATTCAAGCTCCTTGAGATGGAAGAGCGGTGGAAGTTTCTCAAACACCGGGACGTCGGGGTCGTGCTCGACCTCGGCGCCGCGCCGGGCGGCTGGAGTCAGGTTGTTGCAAAAACCCTGGGCTGGGATGGAGACGCCCGCAGCGGTGGGCATGAGCGGTCGGGGACGGCTCATGAGGAGAAAGCTGAAAGCACCGAGGGCCTTGACTGGGGCGACGTCAATCCACTCGATATTTCGTCATTCGAAAGCGCCAAGCGCGGAAGGGGGATGATCATTGCTGTGGATCTCCTCCCGATGATTCCCATTGCCGGAGTTCAATTCGTCCAAGCCGACTTTATGGCACAGGAAACGCATAACAGCATCAGGGCTCTCATCGAACAGAACACCGGTCAGGGTGGCAAAGCCGACCTCATTCTGTGCGATATGGCGGAAAATTCAAGCGGCAACGCGTTTCGCGACATAGAATCGAGCCTGAGAATATGCGAATCTGTTTTGCACTTCACAAAGTTGCACTTGCGGCCGGCAAAGGAGATAGGACGCGTAAATGGCGGGGTTTTGTTGTGAGCGCGGCCGCTCCTCGATCGTCCTATGCGCTTACTCGTCGTAGAATCAAGCACTTCACTCATCCAAGGATTCACAAATTTCGAACGGAGCGACTGGAGCCTGTCTTCAACGACGTGCGCTTCGTGAAGCCCACTGCCAGCAGATCAGAATCAAAAGAAGGTTACTTTCTGTGTCGGGGCTGGAAGGGAACGACCGCCTGAGCGTATTATCATAGGGCATGCAGCCTCCTCATACATAGAAAGGTACAAGACGGTGGTTGATAAAGAATACAGTAGTGTGGGTAGGACAAGACAGGTGGTGAGTAGAAAATGTTCAGCTCGTTTACGCGCCGAAACCGTACAGGGTGCGACCGGAACGCTTCAAAGCGTATACGACGTCAAGAGCGGTGACGGTTTTGCTGTGTTACACGTTGAGCGAGGAACATGCGAAGAAAGAGAACGAAGTACCGTTTGGCGTGCTCGGTGTACGTGACCGAGTCCCGGATGACGTTCTCAAGGAAGATCTTCAAGACACCGCGCGTTTCTTCGTAGATGAGACCGGAAATACGCTTCACACCTCCACGACGAGCGAGACGACGGATAGCGGGCTTCGTGATACCTGAAATACAGTCACGTCTCAGTACAGTCAGATACGGCGAGGTTGCTCACCCTGGATGTTGTCACGAAGAATCTTACGGTGACGCTTGGCTCCGCCCTTTCCGAGACCCTGACAGAGCGTCATCAACAGCGAGCTCAGAAATGGACACAGTGGGACCTCACCTTGCCACCTTTTCCACGTCCAGACATTGTTGTTGTGTGGTGCTGACTGAGTAAGGTACTGGCGAGTGGCTATTGGATTATCGACTTCGAAAGATCGAGAGTCGAACCCGGGTGGTGGTGGTAGTGGTGGTGATGAAGAGAGGTGAGGTGTTGACCCTCAGGCTCCTTTATGTGTAGTAAAGTTGTTGGCGCGTATTGACGTGCTGCTAGTGCTTATTGACGCGGTGCGTGCTCTGTTGACAGTTACACAATATGTGTCACGTGAGGATTGTCCGTCGCGTAATCTGATTTCCTCGCAGTTTTTGACTACAGTTGCTTCAACATAAGTACTATCGATTGGGATACTTAACCCTGAACGATTGAATTCAAACTGTTGATCGTGTCAGTGCGGAGCAGAGTCCAACTTGACCAACACATACCTTCCAAGTGGAAGCTACAGCCCAAACAGATGCATTTTGCCTCGGTACCCTCCCCGTACTGGGAAAAGCAGTTTTTCAGTTCAGCAACCTCATCACAATTGCCGCTGGTGCATAGTTGAGCGTGCAGTGACCGCAAAATCGCCGGACATGCAATGTTCGAGCTCGTTCGTGCTCGCACCATCGGCAGGAGATCGGCAACGCGAAGGCTGTAGTCCAGACACAGATGAATGAGAGAGGGACACAGCCATCCGTCTCCAGCGCCGTTGGGATCGACCATCGCTGTGACCAGGTCGTTGTGTGAAGTTCGGGCGGCTGGATTGGCCGAAAAATCCGCGTCTTCGTTTGAAATAGCGAGACGGAGTAGTTTGGGAAGACGAGCCAGCCACTGAATCAGAAAAGGCGTGTCCCGGCGCTCGAAGCAATTGAAAAGTTCCAGATTTTGGAGGTGAGAGGGCAGAAACCTAGGCTGGCTCCAATGCGAAAAAACGAGGCTCATCTGCCCAACGCTTTGACGAATTGCCAACACCCGAAGTGATGGGGCTCTGGTGTAAAGTAAGATGGGCGAAAAGTGCTTGACGTGCGCGATTTCAAGATGGTGCAGATTATCCAGCGAGTTGACTGGCATATCATCATGGACTTCTTGAAGAGACCCGTCCGATATGCCGAGAGTGTGCACGTTGGGGATGAGGGCCAGGTATCTCTGCACAAGCATAGGGCTCTCTGCCTGGAACCGACCCCAGGCGAAGTAAGATATACTAGGGCCCAAAAAACCCTGGACCCAGTCCTGAGGCAGATTAACGGCTGTGAAAGAGCTAAGGATAGAGTTTCTGGGGGTATCCGCGCCAAAGAATTCCCGTGCCCCTTCGCCACGATTATAGGAAAGGGTCAAGGTCCTCAGGCGTGCCATGTTCGACCACTTGGTGACAGCCAGCAGCGAAGAGGGGCAAGAAATCTCCACCCAATTCCTGGACAGCTCCGCTAGTCTAGCCGCGAACCTCTTCATATGCTTGTCCGCGCCTCGATTCTGCCATCCCCTACTTGCGACATAGATGCGCAACTCGCTTTCTTTCGCTTTGACGAGCTGAGTGGAAAGAACCGACATAGACGAACGTTTTCCGATGTTCAGAATTCCCCATAGGCTTGGCGAAGAGTTGACGACATGATAGCAAGTCGAGGAGACGAGGCAGATAGGCGGAAGAAATCCAATGCCCCATGTTTCTATCGCGATCTCGAGAACACGGCTGAGAATCTCTGGCGGAAGCTTTTCGAGCATGTAAGAGGGTGTCGTTTGAGCTGAGGAACGTTAGGATTGGGCGTTCTCGGCCGACTTTCATATATTGACGCCCATGACTTGGCGGTCGTCAGTTTGACTGATTGCGGTTCCGGAAAGGAGTCCATGCAGTCTGACCGAAAACAAGCTCAATTCATGTCAGAGCCAAGACCCAGACCAACTTGCGCCAGGTTTGCCATCGTGGCACGTAGAGATCAAGAAGTAAGGAACGAGACAGACTGACCCACAAACAGGGGGAGCTATTCCCTAATCAGGTCATGTCATGACTCACAGCACTCGACTCTCTACCACCTTCCATCGTTCTTGCGAATCCCTAGATCATGGCCGAGGAAAAGTACGAGTTGATCACTCGCAGGCTTGGAGAGGTGTTGTCGGGGGATATCATCAAATCGATCTTGTCCGAGGGCAGAAATCCCAAAGGATACTGGGGCGCGTGCAAATGACTACCCAATGATCACAAAGTCTAACCCCCGTTTACTGAAGGGACGGCCACTACCGGAAGACGTGAGAGAAACCGATCATATATATGTATCTCTGTTCTGACGGATTTCCTAGCCCACATCGGTTACTTCGTTCCGTTAACCAAGATCGCTGATTTCCTTCAAGCCGATGTCGAGGTGCGCGTATCTCAGCCATTTCATGGCATCGCTAAGCCTTTTCTAGTTGACAGTCTTGTTCGCTGGTACGTTTTAACGCTTTGCCTTGGTCGCCAGCTTGAAGAAGGATCAGACATCCATGCTTTCCTCGACAACATGAAAGCACCTTTCGAGCTGGTCGGCCATCGCGCGAATTACTACAAGTTTATCATCAAAACTGTTCTCAAATCTCTCGGGATTTCACTCGACAAGCTCAACTTCCGTCTGGGCTCCGATCATCAGTTGTCAAAAGAGTTTAACATGGACAACTACCGTCTTTGCGCTACCGTCACAGAACACGATGCCAAGAAGGCTGGTGCCGAGGTGGTAAAACAAGTGGAAAGCCCACTCCTGAGTGGGCTGCTGTACCCAGGGCTACAGGCGCTGGATGAAGAATATCTCGGAGTTGACTTCCAATTCGGTGGTATTGACCAAGTAGGCGAAGATGGCATCGATACTACGGTCTACTAATTGTTTCTTTCTCAGCGCAAGATTTTCACCTTTGCAGAACTGTACCTGCCTCGACTGGGCTACAAGAAACGTGCTCACCTCATGAACACGATGGTACCGGGTCTTGCAGGCGGCAAAATGTCTGCGTCCAACCCCAACTCGAAGATCGACTTTCTCGACACTGCAGAAGCTGTCCGCAAGAAGATCAAGCTTGCGTTTTGCGAAGAAGGAAACGTCGCCGAGAATGGAATCTTGTCGTTCGTCGAGGCTGTCATCATCCCCATCAGCTTGTTGAGGATCGAAAACAAGCTGCGCGGTGGTTCGATTCTGGACCCGTCCGCGCCTGACCTGAAGCCGTTCGCGCCTGATGATGCACCGGAGGGAACAGTGTTCGCCATCGAACGGGACGAGAAGTTTGGCGGACCGTCGTACTACAAGACATTCGCTGAATTGAAAGAAGACTTCGCTGAGAAAAAGGTCCATCCCAAAGATCTCAAAACAGCGGTTTCCACCGCGATCAACCGTTTGCTGGAACCCATCCGGCAGGCATTTGCTGCAGACGAGGAGGCTCAAAAGTTGGAGAAACTGGCTTACCCTGATCCCAATGCCAAAGAGAAGAAAGTGAAAAAGGTGCGTGTCTGAGAGCTCAAAGCTTGGCTCCAAATATAACCTTGTGTTCAGGCCCACGTTTACCACCCTCCGCCACCGGGTAAAGGCAAGACTGCGCCGGCCGCCCAGGCAGAAACAGCTCACTCTACTCAGGAAGCAGCAAAGCAGGAGACAGCATAGCAATGCAAGGGGAGCACTTGTAATGTTGCTATAGATTTACAAGTAGATGATGATATACAATGTGAAAGTATATGCGAGGAGCGATTACATAGTACATTGTATCATCGCAAAGGACTACTTGGTTTCCCGCTCGTACTTTCTCTACTCTTGCGAGTTTCGATACGGACATACTCGCTGTCATCTCCGATAGCCAAGGAGTCCTTATTAACGTTAATAAACGCCTCTCCTAACACTTGCAGCGCGACCGCACGCAGGTCAGACTTGCTGCGCGGGATATTTGGATCTTCCAGCACGCGTTCGCAAGTCTCTCGCAACACAGATTCAATCTCTAGCTTGGCCCCCTGGAAGCAGTGATTAGCACGACATTCCAGCCCATCACCGTCAAGTTGCTCACCTTAAAAAGCGCCTGTAGGCCTTTCTCGGCGGCCTGCTCCTCCAGCTTTCTCTTCTCCTCTGGGTTCATATTGCCTGCACGCTCGGCAGCTTGGATTTGGTCGAAGACGGACTTGAGTTCTATCGCAGATCGGAGCGTGGATACTCTGGTAGACCAGTGTCAATACATGGACACGAGAAAATGAGAAAGTGACGGACGTTTCGCTGAAAACATGATACTTTCCTTGCACATTATGCAACCAACCACCGACTCCAAGGAACGTTTGGCTCGTCGCCAGATGTGCCTTGGCTTTCGAGACGTACACAAAGCCAATTGCCTGCAGCAGCTCAACACCGTACGACTCTTGTTTGAGTTGACTGTTGAATATGTTAGCACCAGACTCGATCCTACGAAATCGAGACACACTCTGCTTCTAGAGCCGATATCGTTCTCCAGCTCGATAGCACATCAGGATCGTTCGGCCCCGTTGCAGACTCCGTGAAGATGCTCAGTTTGCGCTCGAGATTCTCCACCAGCTTCTTGATCCTCTCCTCCCGAACCTTGGCCTTTTCGGCAGCCTTAATCTTCTCCTTCGCCTCCTTCGCTGCCTTTTCCTCTTCGCTAATGATCGGTCGGCCCTTGGCGTCAAGCAGTCGGGTCCCAGCTTTCTCGAGCTCCTCTTGCTCTGCCTCGTCCGCTTCTTGAAGCGCTGCTTTCATATCTCGCGCGAGACTGATAGTGCCTATGATGGGGATAAATTTGTCCCCGCCGAATATGGCCCCAAAGACCTCTTCGGGATCCACGAAGCCGCCCTCAGGTGCGCTTTCCTTTGATCCGAACTCATTGTACTTCTTTCGAAGCGCTTCGTCGGAAAGTGTCTGTTTGATAAGTCTCAGTATGTGAGGTGACCATGAGGGTAAAAACTTGGCATACCTGGTATGCAATTGCAATTTCCTTGAATCGTTCCTCAGCATGCGGGTCTGGGGAAACATGAGAACAGTTAGAGAGGACACAGGCATGTTCTGACCGTCTGGATTCTTGTCTGGGTGGTGTTTGATTGCCATCCGTCCTGGGTTGACCCATTAGCATCGCGCCGTACAGGCCAGGGAGCACATACGATACGCCTTCTTCACGTCATCCGTCGTCGCAGTCGGTGTGATCCCCAGAATGTCATAATAGCCTGTCTCTAGTGGCTTGTCCTGAGTCCCGAACCGCCTTCCCTTTCTGGGTGTCTGCGCTCCAGATGCTCCCGATGGCCCCGCGCCCGAAGAGCTTGCAGAAGGAGATGAATTCGAAGTGTTATAGAATGCGGGTATCTGCGCTGGGTAGAAGGTATGCGAAATCACGTTCTCGCAAGAGAAACAGCGGATCTTGAGAAGCGTGCCCGGACGCGGTGCAGGATTCGGGACGGGAAACTCCAGTGGCGATTTACATGCAGGACATCCTGATGAGATTGGTATGTGCGGTGCCAGGAGTCTTGAAGGGAGTACCGTGGACGCTGAGGATGAAAAGGAAAAGCTCATGGTAGTAGCGCGCAAACCCTAATGAGGCAGCCGCGACGCCGCGTTGATGACACGCAAGGCTGTACATCCTTGACTGATTATTTCACGAGATGTAAGATAGCAACTATATATGAAAGATATCTGCACAAATCCAATCTACCCAGAGCATTCAAGCCTCCAGACCATAGTAAGGCTCAAAGACCCGAATACACCGAGGTTCCGTTACATTCCAAGATTCCATGGAAAATGGAGCACCCGGGAGATAGCACATTTCCTGACAAGGAATCAGCCGCTTGGAACGAAGGATCCAGGAAAATGGGCACCCCAGCAGCACATCCGGGGATGCATTTTGTCCAGTCGGCCCACCCCAACCAGTCCATTAGACTCTCGGTCTCCGAAGCCCATTTGAGCTGAAGGTGAGAGAGGTCTGACGCTTGTGTGCCTTCTGCCCAGATAGACACCAAAGTGCGACATATCTCTCGTGTGGTCTCCCGGACAGCTGCATGTAACAAGTCCTCGGAGGGTGTGAATCGCGCTTGCAAACGTTCGAGCGATCTCGTAAAAGCTGTGGCACAAGAACGGAATACGGGTCTTGCCCAGTCCGTGTTGTTTCCGTCGATTTCAGATGGCAGTACATTGTGCAACCGGTGGGGCGTCAAGAGAACGCGGACAAGAGAGAATGCAGATTCGGCTTCATGGGATCTTAACAGAGACCTCAGTTCTTCCAGTCTGATCGAATATCGATCGCGGATGGTCTGGAGTAGCGACTGCCAATCCACACCGCTTCCAGAATGTAGATGAGAGAAAGATATAGTCCCAACGCGCCCCAAGACTGCAGCCACATCTTCGGGGGATACGCCAAGCAACCGATGGCGATCACGCTTGTTACTTGCCCGCCTTGCGATCAAGCTCGGAACCAGCTGTGTGTCGTACATGGAGATGACTTGCGAGAGATCGAGTCGGACGCGCGTTTCGCCAGGGAAGTGATCATGCCACACACTCGAATGCATGAAGGAGTATCCTGAGTGGGGAAAGCGTTCTTCTTCTGCCAGTCTTGTGAAAGATATCGTTTCGACGCCGTCTAACCAATCGCACAAGATGACTTCACTACGTTGAGAGTGTGTCAGAAATCGAAGAAAGTGCAGAATTAGACTCACAAGTTGAGTTGCATCCTTCGAAAGTGCGGTAAGTTGGGTTCCCAGCGACCGTCACCACTGGCAGCACTTACCGAACAAAACCGTCTATTCCCAGCGATTTTCCAACGTCACAAAGCCGGTCCATCCTGCGGTAGTCCCATTCAAAGCCACTGCGTTCCGGGACGATTTCACCCCAGGTCAGCACGTCCTGCGTGTCAATGGGTCCATCCGGCTCCTTCGTCGCACTGCTGCCGTCAAAGTACAAGACACTGAGCGATCGCGTCGCCATTATCGTTAAGAGCCAGCACGGTTCGGACTCGGAAGATCTGACACAAAACAGCCTTGCGAACTCGGCATCGAAGGCAGCCCACTCGCGGGTGGCAGGCGCGTCTCTGTCTTCGCGTCCGTGATATAAGATAGTTCCCGCAGGTATGATTCCAGGTGCGATGGTATGCCCTGAGCGCGATAAGTGAGTCAGGTTATAGGAGTAATGGCACCTCAGAACCGCTATGGTATCTTGTGTTGGGCCAATGCTGGAGGAGCGAGCCGACGGTGTCAAATACAAGGTGGCCAGTAGAATTTAAACTCGGAGGGTGTTTGAGATTCCATTCATCCCCAATATCGTAAACGAAGGGAGTCTGTGCAGCCCAAAGGCCCTCAAAGAAAAGGGCTATCCAGAAAGCTTTTAGCATTCGGGTGAGTGTGAGCGTGAAAAGAGTTTCTTATCTGCTATGATTGTCATGCCGTAGCCATTTGACAAAGCACCATGATACCATGTTCAGTGACTCGTCTCTTGATCCAGGAGGATTCAAGGCGTGAAGCATACAGTGAATAAACAGGATCGCTTCAGCTTGCGATCACCAGTGGAATGTGCATGACGGGTATACATAGTACTCGACAGTAGCAGTGAGTGACACATCAATAGGCGAAGAATCACAGTGAAACGCGATCACGTGCTACATTCGATGCACACTCTGATGTTTCTGGGAGCAGATTCGGGCCCTTGAGTGGAGCAATAGATCATATGCCTTCAAGTATTCTAAGAGTAGTGGAGATAAATAGTCTAGAGTGCGTGGACTTGATGTGCAGACTGGATGAACGACAGCAACCCGGATGGGAGGTACACCTAGTCGCAACTTCCATCCAATGGACCGTCCTTCCATCTTTCGTCGGTCTTAGCGCAGTCAAATGAATCTTTCCCGAGCTTCTCGTTAACCTCGTTGTGTCGCTCGCAGAACCATCGGCTCAGCCCAGCCCGACTGCTCACATCCGGCGGGTTCTGCGCAACACTTCGACCAAAGTCCTCCGCACAGTGAGAGCACGGATACAGGGACGGAAGCGCACTGATGAGACCGAGCATCTGCGACCGTTGTGCTGGTGTGGGTTTCAATGGATAGTATGCTGCCGTAGTATGCAGGAACGTCCATGTTGCGCGACCGAGCTGTTCTTTGTCTGGTGGGCAAGCTGAGTGCGAAGGCGTTGGTTTGAAAGCCGTGGCCGCGGCGCCGAGACCTGCCGCAGCTGCTGCAGCTCGAGGCTTGCCGGCCGCAGGTCGCCAATTACGGAATTCAGCACCGGCCGAGCATGCTTTGCAAGGTTTGCCATCGGGACCCAGCACCATGCCAGGAGGAAGAGGGTTTGAATCTGAGGCTTCGCCCATCGCTGAAGAGGGAGAAGGTGCAGTCGGAGTTTCCTGCGATGGTCCTTGCGCGCGGTGGCTTACAAAACACCTTTGGTGGTATTGGTATTAGTAAGCCCTTTTTCTCGGTTTCTAGCCCTAACCCTAGCCGTTAGCACCGAACCCATCCATCACTGTCGGTCACGACCAGTACTTGACAGCAAGTACTGTGAGGCCCACGGACACTCCCGGTTATGTCAGTCCGCCGAGCCAGGCTGATTTGCACTACGAAATTGGCCTCTAGAACCCTTGATTTGCACTAAATCGGACTGAGATATGCCATCATTTTAGCCCTTTTCGGAGTTTTTTGCCCATTTTTTGCCCACGATGGCCCTGATTTTGAAGCACTCTTGACATGCGTCAAAAGCTCTCCGTTTCATCCAGGAATAGGTCAAAATTTGCTGACTCTCTCACCGTCGACCGATGATATATGGTCCAAAAATTTTGCGGGCTTCGCCCGCGATTTGCCCTAACTGGGACTGGGATTTGGGCTCTTGGGCCCGATCTGCACTAACTCTGGCCCTGAGATAAAGCCAATTTTGGGGCTTGATTTGCACTAAATTGGACTGACATATGCGGGAGTGTCCGTGGGCCTGTACTGTGCCTGCTGAGACTGTTCAACAACCGGTCCTCAGTTGTTGCCTCAGTTGTTGCTATGGCGAGCGCTGGTTTGTAATGAACGTATTGACACGGCTCTCTCCATCATGCAGATCTCTCGATGTCAAGTAGATACCGTCTAGACTGTCGGGCGTATCGGAATCCACATCCAACTGATTATGACAGTCTAGGTGAGATCTAGATGACGCTCGCCATTGGAATTTCGACTTTTTTGGAACCCCGGATTCTTTCTTGTCCGAATTACATTATAAATGGTGTGCACCGACTCTGCTCTCGCTCCCTCGGCCTCCTCTCTCGCCCAGAGGCGCGCCTTGTAGCACGACGTGCGAGGTACATATGCCTAGATTCTTTGAGTCAGACCAAGGGAAATCCATGGTCACTCGTCGGAGCCGCGCCGTTCTTGAAAGCCAAGTCAGATAACCGTAGCCTGTAGAAGCCCGTAGAGCATGCCCAATGATTATTACACCCCCGAAACAATAAAAAAGAATACACGGATCAATTTTCAATTTACCTCGCTGTCAATCTAGGGTTCACGAGAAAGGACATGGTCTGTTCTAGGCAACGCAGATCGTGATGCAGAGTTGGGGTCTCAGTGCTACACTGTGACGGTGTCATAGTCATGTCATCAGGTGCATAACACGACGTATCCTCACGTGATCCAGCAGTCACAGTACGAGCTCGTGCAATCTCCTCCCAGGCATCATAAAGGATTTGTCGGCCTACCCAAGAGTTCCCAAAGGGGAAATGTCCGGCACATCTGCCGGATATTGATTGATTGATGTAGTGATGCGGTGCTCGCCTAGTTAGGATAACAACAATGAAAGTATTATACTAGAATTTCCCTTCTGCCACACGTTAGGACAACAATGTACATGGCAAAGCACCATACTAGCATTTCTCCTCTGCCACGCTCATGTCCCAACTTGTGTTCTCCGTGCTGACCCCCGATGCTCTTGCCCGGACTTCCAGACCCGCGGTGGCGCTTGCAAACACATCCGTGCAGCACTAATCATCAGCGAAAGCTTTCGTCGAGAGGAAAGGTTCAAGCACTTACCTGGCATTCCAATCCCACGGACATTGGCTGCTGCTCTCGAGTTACAGCATCGTGAGCTCGTTTTGATCAAAATTCGACTGCCTACAAACAAGGCAGCTCAGCGTGTGGAGGAACTAACTCGAGATGATGCTAACCTTGAGTCAGAGGGGATGACCACCATGATTGAGACGCTCGACAGAGGGGATGACCACCATGATTGAGACGCTCGACAACAGCGCAGGAGATGACGAGGAGAGGAGGGACGTCGAGACAACAGACATACCACCACTGACCCAGAACCGAGTCGCACTCAGCGACCAAAGCTTCTCCCGGACTTTATATGAGATGAACGTGTCACGTTCTCGACTCCATGAGTTTTCGAGCGTCCTTCGAAGGCAGACAGATGGCGTCCGATTGGTGCAGCACAGGATGCTCAAGAGCTTTCTGGACGAAGCAAAGGCGCTGAATACCGAGGTCGAGCGTATATGTGGTCTGGCCGTCAAGAACGATGTCGATACGTCCATCCCCGAAAGGTCGACAACTCCGTCACCACCGCCAAGGCCACAGGGACTAAAAAGAAAGATGGAGGCACTAGATATACTCAGAATGTCGCCCGAGAAAAGGCAGAAGAGGAAAGATTCACATACTGTACATTAAAAATACAAAGACTTCAGCTCGCCTTGACCGTGCGTACTCGGAGGAAAGAAAATTTTAAGGCTTGGCAAGCGCACCATGGGGATCACTCCCCTTTCGATGGCCGGAGATGCCGTGGTTACCAAATCGGGAACATGCCTTGGGTACGCTGACCTTCCATCACCTGATGTTCCCACCAAACAGACCTAATTAGACGTGGCAATAGATGCGTTGTCCGCGTCTAATTAGGGGGGGTTCATGTGAGGACTCGAGCGTTCGTTAAAGTTTGCTTAACTTCCCCGCCCTAGCCCAGCAGAGAAAGTGATCTGACGCAGACACATGAGACTTGACATTTATCCGCTGCTGCCTGTGCACATGATCGGACCCGACATCCGGGGTCGCCGTTCATCACCGCATCAATCTTCGTTCTCGCTGCTGTCAACGACGACAAGACGTCCTCACCCAATTCGCCTCGTTTTTTTTTCGGATTTCATAGAACGTAAGATTTATTTGATAGGTATCCAAGTAATCAATGTAATGTAAGATTAACTAAAGAAGTGTTGCAGTCAAGCTGTCTTCTTCGACTTCTTTGTGTGTTTGGCCACCCGGCCATTGTTTGACATGTTTTCGTCGCCTGCAGCCCGCTTGCGCTTCTTGTGCAATGTCTTTGACACAGTTTCTCCGGGCTGAGAGCCGTTCACACTGAAGACTGCGAAGCCTTGGCTTCCTGCAGTCGCGCTTGCGGAGATCGGCTCCGGGGCAAGATTGCTGGGTCTGCTTGGGAGGCTCGGCGTCACATCTGCGGTGACATCCGTGGAAGTTTGGGAGGGGGCTGAGATGGCTGTGGCGCGGTCGAGCGCAAGGAGGACGGGGTCGATAGCTGCGTCAGGCGTGGCAACTGATACTTGCGGCGGTGAGCCGGAAACCACGTTCCTCTCCCCCACGTCGTTGTTGGCATTGTCACTGCGCGCCCCTGCTGCCTTGGACGGTTTGTGCTTCTTGTTCTTATCCGACCTGGTTGCTCTGTGCTTTAGCGGTCCAGATTTCCGTCGCTCACCTAGCTCCTGATTGAGATCTTCAATCTCGTCCTTCGACATGCATGCCCAGCGCATGTGGCCGCTCTCAATGGACTCCCATATACGACGAAGATCGATGGTTTGGCCGATGGTAGATGGAGTGGCAAAGGGGATGTCTGATGGCCAACCAGAGAGGCTAATGTGAAACCGTGCACGGATGTCGACGTCATAATTTTTGTAGCTCATCGGGATGCGATTAGAAGTTTGATCCCTGACCGCATCCTCTGTTGGATGGAATTTAGAAAACTGAAGTTTGTTTTGATGCGGACAGAACTCACGGAGACTTCTCTCGATGAATTCCGCAATCGCCTTGCGGAGTTTCTTTGCGCTAGTCAAGTCCACAGGGCCTGTAATGTGGCAATGAGCCGATCGACTAAAATTGACGCAGGTGAATAAGAGAAGTGTACCGCTGTCTCGGGCAACATTCCAGGCCTCAAACTTCCGTAACGCCTCAACGGCAGGCGTATCCATGACTTCGGGAAAGAAGTCCTTTGCCCCATCAGAGTCAATCATGTGCGGGAGGGCAGAGTCTTCTGGATTCCCTCGTGAAAGGAATGCCACAGCTCGGATGCCCGTTCGTTCAAAGAGGTTGCCCATCTCCTCTGACAGATGCTTCGCTACTTGATAGCCGTCTTGAGCGGCAGCTCGGTTGGTGCCACGAATGCCAACTCTGTTGAGATTGCGATAGTCGAGGAGTTGAGCTGTAAGTCGTGCCCGCTCTCCAGGAGTCCGGTCAACTAGATCACTGTAGGTCTTAGCACCAGACTCCAGCAGCATGACTCGGAGGGCGTCTTGACGCTCAGTGTGTGTACGTGAGCGACCAGCTGTCCATGAGGTAATTAGATCGTTTATACGTAAGTAGCTGTGCACATCACCATTCTCATCGCTGACAGTGAGATCATGAAGAAGCGCATTGTAGACGTTGACACCGCGGTGCTTCTTTATCGCTGATCCGCACGTCAAGACGCGCTGCACATATGAAGCCTTCTTGTTGTACTCTGTCGCAAGTTTCTCGACCAGCTCATCCCGGCTTGCCACAAACTCGTCAATCTCTCCCATGAACCGTCGATTTGTAGCAACATTCGCATTTCTCGCAATCTCCCGAGAGTGTTTTTCGGCACTTGACAGATGCTTGCCTTGACGTTTCCGAGGCTGTTTAATCGCCTTTCCATGCACACGGAGAGATAGACTCGAGGGGAGGGAGGGCGGCATAAATATAAGACGGAAAACTGAGACAAAAACACTAGCAAATTAAAATTTGCCTGGGCCCCATCGATATCACATCATGGCAATACCCCTGAGAACATTTGTTCAGGACTCTTAGTATATTGGTACGTGTCAGATACGCTGCGAAGAGACGGTCACTTGATCGACTCCTGATGTGCTTTTTTGATTCAGACAAATGTATATTCTCTTTCGACGTCTCAAGACTTCACCGTATTCTGGTACTCCCCCACAATTCTTCGGTACATTTGCAAGTGAATAGCAACATGATATTGTATGGTTTCTACGTATTTACTTGAGCTCTATGAAACCTCCAGGAGAGCAGCGGATGAAGTTGATCAGCTCTGCCACGCTCTCGATGATGATCTCGTCACCTCCACGGAACGAAGTGTGATCAGTCCTTGAATGCGCATCCATTCTGTGTCTTGTGTTCAGTAACTTGTAGTGTAGTAACTGGTAAAAGAGCAGCCTACATGCTGGGATACATTCTGTATCCTTCCTTCCGACCTCCGATAACACACAATTGAAAGGGCGGCTTTGACCGATATCCCCTACCAGCCTGTGTGACGTGGTCTCTCTCGATGTCTTCGGCATGGTTGCCTGAGTCAGCAAAGACATCGATGGGCTGGTTCTTGCTCGATCGGGGGGATTCCACACGCTCGGATGGTCCGGACTGGAAAACGTTTCCTGCTTCCAGCTCATCGTCGTCCGGGATGTGGATCAGCGGCAGAGTGCGATGAACGGTCTTCTGCACTTGGTCCGGCTCTGATCCGGAGAGGCGGTGGTCCTTCTTCAGATCGGCGAAACGCTGTGAGAGCATGATGTGTCGTTCGAAGGCCTCGCTGCTGGGCTGTAAACCCCGATCCCTGTGAAAGGTATTACAGTCGCGAGCCCATGCCTGGACAGCTGCATCCCAGCCCTGTACCTTCCAATGAAGAGCTTCAGGCTGGAGAAAACACTGTTTATTGACGATATCTCTGAGAATTGTGAGCAGAACAGAGAAATGTAAATCTATCTGGCTCACTTCGAATCCGTCACCAATCGTGTTACTTCTGCGGATTCTCCTGGGGTCCCGCTAAGCATGAGGCCATAGAAAACTGTTGTCGGTGGCAGGATTGCGGGATCGGTAATAGACGTCGAGCTGCTGAAGTAGACGGGGCTGCAGCAGACCATGACTTGGACGAGACAGAGAGATAAGTCAAACAGATATCAACAAATATTTGGTATAGGCTTTCGGAGAGCGTGTGTACTATAAAATTGTATTACTATGACAAGGTGCTTTACTTCGGAGGTATCTGTCCCGCAAAATGTCCACCCGCATGTAGAATCCATTGTGTTGTGCGAGGGCAGTAGCAGGCACAGTTGGGACAGCCCAGCGTCTTACACGCAGGACACATCGCAAACGGGTCATCAGGACGAATACGTCCCAGGCATTCAGAGCGTGGCCGAACGTGAAGCCCAGTCTTCTCACTGAATTCAGAGCAGTCTGACCGATCGTCCTCGTCCGATGAATCCGTGTCAGGATGCGCCGCTCCCTGCTGCTTCCGTACGAGATGTGTGAGAGGCGAAAGAGCAGTATTGCGCCGAGTAGCCGGCTGAAGTGTTGGACGCAATGGGGTTTCAGGTATGACTTGTGGCAAGGGAGAGAGAGAATGGGTGCGTTGTAAGGGCTTGACAGCGTGATTCGAAGACTGTCTTTCGACAGCCGTTTGTGTGGACTTCCTGCAAATGAGTTGTTAGTAGGAATCCTTCTGCCTTGGGCTAAGAGATGCAGCTCGTTCGGCACGGTTTTGATACCACATGATGAATAGGCCAAGGGAATAAGAGTGCACGCACCGAGCACGATATGCTTGAGCATAGGCTCTTCCCCGTTTCTTATATGCCTTCACTGCCTTCTCGCCGCTGTCTTGCACCCTCTGCCGCATCCTGTACAAGAACAAGTAGACGATTCTTATGAGCTTGGCGATGTCACAAAGATCATGCTACTTACTGTTGCATTCTAAGTCTGGCCTTCTCTCGCAAGACGTCTCGATTACTATTGAACATAAGTTTGCACGACCTAGTACAGAAGGAAACAACTAACCGGTTGTAGTAAGACGCAAGAACTTCTTGACGGCGATGATACTTGACATCATAAGATAATGGCTTGCGACCAGCCATCGAACTGTATGAGGGTAAGGACAAGAGCAATTGACGTTGATTTACATGTCTGATCCTGTCAGATTCTGGCTCAATGCATCAGTTCGCGATAAAAACGAAATCTTCAGATGCATATTGCCAGACATTCTACACACCTGAGCCCTTGAGTCTTGGTCTAGACATTCTTTATACTGATATCTGCCGGAATCCAAGATAGCAGGCCAAGCGAAGCAAAGTCTGAGTGAGAAAATGAGAAACTATTAAATACACAAATGTCACCGAAATTGCTCGGAATATATTCAAGATTGCGCTCCCAAATTTTGAGGCTAATCGGAGTTACTATTGTAAAGCTACGGGCTCATATACATCAGTTCGCGATACAATCAGTTCGCGACTAGATTGACTTATTGGAACTTTAGCAAGCTTCTGCAGTCCTAGCTTCTTGTCAGGGCTCGATATTGAGTATATAATGTCTCCGTGAACAACTGTAACGTCTCAGGCCGAGCTTCGAACCAATGGGAGCCAAGATAATGACAGGTACTCACCTATCGGAATGTCACGTAGAGCGGATATTTTGAGACATCTCCGGGGGAGGAGCTTCAACAGTAGCGTTTTTCAGAGACAAATTGTTACCCAGGGGCTTGGAATATCCAGAGTTGAGTCGAAAATTGATAGTTCTTTGTGATGTATTGAATGAGATCTATAGGTACGTTGGAGAAGGCTCCTGTGGCAGATATTTCTGATTACACTAGAAATATACTCTGAATTGTTCCCCAAATATGAGAAGTTGTTCTCTGGTGTTGAATATAATATTCACGACCCGCGTCTGAGCGCGTTTTGAACGCGTTTGAATGCTAATGAGATCATGTGATATGCGATTGATGTGACAGAACGCGCTCACACTCTGTTGATTCAAGTTGGCCATGGTGCGCGAAGCCTTCTCAAAGCGTGTGTCCTCCCTCTCCACTGCTTCTTCGTCAACTTCAAAAAGACTGCACATCAGCGAAAGCCGCCGACGTAGACCTTACAACCGAGCAATAAGTGCCGGGACTCCATCAATCGGTTCTCAGACACTAAGCTACTCGCATACTTCAGCAACATTGCGCCAACGGAATGACACGGTTAGAGAAGAGGAGCGGCGCAGAGGCGAGTTTGGACCATGCACATATTGTACAATATATTGACTCTCTCAGGATTAACGGACCAACAACGACGTCGAGAGGAACGATTGCGGGATGTTCCTGACGAAGAGATAGAGGGGGTTGCAGGGTACGAGGATGCTGTCCTGCATGGTGACATATGCATGGATACATCCCATGTGGACGGCATGGACTCTGAATGGGAGGATACGGAAGGTGCGCAAGATATGCTTGAGGAACTCAGACGGTCTCACAAGTGCGCGCCCGTTCATTTGTTCTTCTTCTATCTATCTGAGACTTGTAACAAGCCGTCTCTTCACTCGCTACCGGGACCCAAGGACAAGACGTGATCGAGTCACCAAACTCGTTAACGCCTTCGCTCTCCAGCTTGACGCTATGGTGGACGCATATGAGAAGTGGCGTGCAGACTGTGAAGAATGGGGTGGATTTGGGGCGGGCTATGTACTGCCAGACAAGGCAGAGGTGGAGAGTACGTGGGAAGTCCGGGTGGTAGACATTTTCAGTGCGTGAAGTTTTGTTGTTGACGCGTTAACTCATCCTCGTCTTCCAGGTTCGGGACCACAAGTAATCACATTTACCCGAGACGACCAATGCGTGCCAGCAGCATTTGTGCGTCAAGGTCTCCTACCAACGTCACCTATTGATCCTGGTCTGGCATTCACAATCCGCACTCTGGAAGTCTTTCGTGCGCAGCACCTTCGTTGTCCTCGATTCAGCATTCAAGCCTTCGTTCGATCCTTGAACGACATGCACGGCTTACCGCCAGCGCCCCACCTTTCCAATCAGTTTTCGGTCGCATTTGATGTGTATTCAGCAATACGAGAATCCGTTGATCTACGTATACAACGCACTCTCGGACGCGATACACCTGATTGGCGCTTGAGGAATGCGTGTCCAGCATGCACATATACTCTAGTGGGGGAACCGATCCTGAAGGTAAAGATGCTGGTGACTTTGGACGGCAATAACTCGCTCAAGCGATTCAATCGACGAGAGAGAGCAGAGGGAAATGATGGACAAAGCATTCCTGGTGCTTCTAAAGAGCGCGAAGATTCTCGAGCACCGCCTGGGGACTACTATCTCACTCCGGAACAGGTGGACAAGTGGGTGGTCGATGGAACAGACGAACTCGTGAAAGGCTCTGAAAAGGACTTGGAGGATGGGAATGTGGCGGACGGATGCAGCGAGCGATGGCAGAACATGAAGGATGATGTCACCGCACGGGCATATGGTTTGTACGACGAGACTGGCGTTGTTCTGTCACTTTGCCGGCATGGCTTTGTTCTATCGATGTGCGACATGATACGGAGTGGCGAATTGTACGTGTCTCTATTCCACGATGGCCGGATGCTAGAACAAACTTAGGGCAAAGTATGGCTTCGCAATCACCGCTCACCTCATCAATGCACTAGGCGAGATATGTCTGGGCTACGACATAGGTTGTAGATTCGACAAGATGGTGAAATCGCACCCTGTCCTTGGCAAGATTGCGCTCGAGAACAACTTCAAGTCTGTGGTTGGCTCTTTTCACGGGGCAGCTCACAATCGACAGTGCCAGCTGCAGTTTCTCACACTGTACATTCAAGGTCTTGGGCAGGAGGCGCTCGAAATCTGTGAATCTTTCTTCTCAAAGTCCAATGCCGTTGCAGCAACCACACGCTATGCATCCCGATTCCATCGACAGCAAGCCATCGTACACTACGTCGAACACGCTGATACCTTCGATGCTTATGCAAATCTCTGTAAGTCGTTCCACTCGATACGTGTTTCTATCTAACGCATTGTTCCTAGCATCCTTGCTATGCGCAAAGTACAACCGAGCGCTCGATACAAAGGCAAACCTGCCTTCGCTTGTGGAGATGATGGAGGCGCTTGATGTGCAAGACCGTCAGGAGTTCGAAGTTTGGCGTCAAAGAGAACGAGACTGTCTGGCGCGGCTTTCCCAAGAACCCATCGAAGAGACGCTACAGATGGAATACTACCAGAAGAGAGTCAATCTTGCTGCGCAAGAGTACGTGCAGATTCTCTCAGTGGTCGCATTCATTTGTTCAAGTCTTCTAGAGAATCACTGCTGCTCGTGCGTGGGATGGACGCAATCGTGATGCCAGCTCCCAACTCCCAAAACTACGCCGAAGCTATTCAGAAGACTCGCCATCTCGAAACCCAGCGCCGCCATGCGCAACAACTTCACGATAAAGGTCTAGTGACGGTCCAAGACCTCGAGCGGCGACTAGGCATAGTAGAGCCATGGGTCATCGGAGACAACAATTGGAGAGCTGCAGCAGAACTCGTAAGCAAACGACGCTACCAACGAGCCCTCGACAACCTGCAGAAGCTGGTTATCATGCGCATGATGGAACTCATGAAGGCCAATCTGGCTGGAACAGGTATGCACAAGCATCGCTCATCTGCTGTATCACTCAACAATGCCTCCTAGGCTACAAACTCCAAAAGCACATCGCAAAACAGTTACAGGCCCGCTCTAAGGCTCTCAAGCACGCTATCACGAAGTACAATGAAGCTGCCGTGTCAATAATACCCCCGAGGCCAACCTTGAGCTGGGAGGAGGTCGTCGACTATGCGTTTCTGGCGGACTTTGACCTCCTGCGGCTAGGGCATGAGGACATTCGAGACGAAAAGTGGACGTCACCTGCTGGTCGCCGGGCTGTGGATCTACATTATCAGCTCTTACGTGCCGATGAAGAGATCGAGCGACTCAACGTTGAGATCCCAAGACTTCTCACATACATGGAGGACGAGCAGCGCTTTCTGTCATATCACGAAGCCCGACTGCAGAGCGAGGGCAATCGTGGTCTAGCATTTCAGGTACAACTGCTGCGCATGAAGCGAGGACGTTTCGACAATATCCATCGAGACCGACTGACAAAGCTTTCCCGTCGAAGTGGCTTCACAGCGACCATGGCGAATGGAAAGAGCTTGTCGCGTGAGAGGGACGTGCCATCTTCAGACGCCGGACCAACTGCTCAGGCTGGGAGGGGCGTCGACGCAATCAATGATACATTTATCAATGAGCAGAACAGCCAGAGTGATGATAGTGACGAGGACGCTGATGACGCTGAAGGTGATGGCTTAGATGTTGCATTATCTGCTATTTTGCAATTGGGTATGGATGACGACAGCTACAACGAAGCATAGTACATGTGTAATGTGGTATCCTCCCGGTTTCATGACTCATCTCGCTGTATTCACTGTATAACACTACTGAAATTTGAGCTGCGTGGAAGCACCTCGTGCCTGATTGTTCCCACCAAACAGACCTAATTAAACGTGGCAATGGATACTTTGTCAAATAAATCTTACGTTCTATGAAATCCGAAAAAAAACGAGGCGAATTGGGTGAGGACGTCTTGTCGTCGTTGACAGCAGCGAGAACGAAGATTGATGCGGTGATGAACGGCGACCCCGGATGTCGGGTCCGATCATGTGCACAGGCAGCGGCAGATAAATGTCAAGTCTCATGTGTCTGCGTCAGATCACTTTCTCTGCTGGGCTAGGGCGGGGAAGTTAAGCAAACTTTAACGAACGCTCGAGTCCTCACATGAACCCCCCCTAATTAGACGCGGACAACGCATCTATTGCCACGTCTAATTAGGTCTGTTTGGTGGGAACATCAGGTGCCTTCCATCATAAAGACCTATGATCCAAATACAGGCTTTCAGGACGTCTAAATATTCAATTCCATTGAAATTCGACTAATCCATGTCAAAATATCGGGGATCGACTAGCACAGATAGCGTTGAATGTGCCGGCAGCGGTCTACAGAGGGTGGCTGTGCTTTGAAGTGCCGCAGAGATGCCACATGTGTCACACTGGAGTGCCGCAGACTTGTTTGTAGTGCCGCAAGAGGTCCCGCCTAAGTGCCGCAGTGTGCCGTGGAGTCTGCGGCACACTGTTCTGAAGTGCCGCAGGAATGAGATCTCCATTGCTGCCGCCGACGACAATGGCGTCTGGAATAGTCCCGCTGCCTGCGCGGATCATTCCCAGGTCCATCAACGTCTCAGCCGACGTGTTGATCGTCGTTGATGTCGTCGAGATCAATCATGTGGAGTATTCGGAGTGCCGCAGGGGTACCGTGGCAGTGCTCCTGCAGCACTTTCAATGAGCCCTATCACCTTAGGTTTTAAAAGCCTCTTTGTAGTCTAGGAGCTACATACTGAGTGCGCATTTCAAAAACAAGCCACAAAGGCAGGAGATTCCCTGAAAATGGCGCGAATTGGCAGGCTCGAGCGCGCCGCCATCAACGACGAGCACGCTTATGACGTCGGGAACGGCTATCGGAGGCTTCGAGTAAGCATATTCACGTCCTCGAGTCACGGAGTGCCAGGACCCCAGCACATCCGATCGATCCATCGGTCGAAATAGACCATGTCCTTTGTCGTCGACCGTAGTCTATTGCCTCATGATTGCAATGATCCGCAGGACTGTTGAGTGTCGCCTCGAGGGAAGTCGCAGGACCGGACGATCTCCGTGGAGACAATGATAGCTATGTAGTTGGCTGTACTTGCGGGCCAGCACGGCTGTCACCGGTGAAGGTTGGGACGACCATCAAGATGGCATCTTCTTCCTTTCCGTTCCTTATCATCTGCTCTTAAATAGGGAGCAGAGCAAGTCGCGCCGGGATCGTCTCGTTTCTTTTTCCCTTTCTTTCTTAATTCTTCTTATAATTTTCCCTTCCCTCCGCCCTTCCCCGCCGAAAGAAGAACTCCGCCTGGTGTGAGTGCAGGAAACGTTTCCCTGGACTGTCTGCTCAGTCCGTTTCCAGATCTCGCGATTTTTCACGGCTTCATTAAACTCGCCTTGCATTTCTTAACCTACAACACTTTATAAACCTTCCTATGTCTCAATTGCCTTTCATTCTCCCTCCGTCTCCAACATCATCTGCCTCGTCTGGTTCCGCGGACCCCTCCACGCCCGGTGCATCTTCCGCGGTGTCTTACACCGCGCGTCTCACACTTCCCACCCTCCCTGATCTCGACGGTTATGATGGGTCAAGTGCAGGCGGTGTCAAGCGGACTCTCAAGTTCAAGAAGATGCCCAGTGCCGCCGAACGTAGGGCCTCGCACAACGCGGTCGAACGTCAACGCAGGGAGGCGTTAAATTCGCGTTTCCTGGTGTGTATCATGCTCATCACACGGGTACGCCAATAACACGGTGCAGGATCTCGCGGGTGTCCTACCGAATCTCGTCAACATACGCCGACCTTCCAAATCGAGCATCGTCAACTCGTCGATCGCGTACGTCAACGCGTCGCGCCGCCATCGCATCTGTGCAACGCAACAGCTCCGAGCGCTTGCCAACGAATGCGATGCCCTCCGTCGCGAGGCTAACGAGTGGCGTTCCCGGGCCGGCGTTCACCGCCTCGAAACTCCCGCGCGCGGCGAGATGTACGCGGTGATGGGCGATGAGCTGCAGTACGATGCTAGCGATCTGCACAACGTGCTCGAGTACGAAGACGGGGATGATTACGCGGCTGGCGTGAAAGAGGACGAGCTGGGGCAGTTCCAGATGCCTCCCGTTCAGGAGCATCAGGTTCAGTTTGCTCCCCACAGTGCGGGTGTCTCTCCTCTGACCCCGCAGTCGGCACACTCGTACCACGTTACCGGATGGCACACACCCGCGATCGCTTCGCCGGCAGTGTATGAACATTATGACCCGCAGCTGCATCTTCAGCAGCTGATGAATCACCGAGAGGCCGAGGACAAGTGGGCCTACTCGCAGCAGATGATGTCACCGCAGAGTGTTTGCGACACTGAACAGTTGCTTGCCCAGGACCGGAGCCGCCAAGCACCAACTGTTTGGTAAGTCTACCTCTGCATGTTAAAAGGACACACGGACCCAGGGACTTTTTTTGCTTTCTCTTTTACGTCACTCACTCACCGCATTCTCGTTCTACTCTATCTACATATTATAATTCTGAACTGTATTGTACAAACTTACATATAATGCTTCTAATAAAAACCGGCCTTTAAGCAACACAGAATTGGGTCCAACTGTTCACCTTACTGACACATTTGCAAAACGTCCGAATAAAAATACATGTATGTTGCTAGTTACATCACTTTATCATGCCTTGGGGTGTTTTGTGACCCGGGGAGGTACAGTCTGATTATAGAAGTGGCTCATAATGGCCTCTGTATGCGTGACAGTGAGATTGAAGATGGGATGCGTTGCGTTCTGATGCAGAGTGGGTCAACTGAGTCAGATCTCGGGAAAAGAAGGGCTTACAACTCGATTGACAGAGCCTCCAAGGATGGTTTCGGTTCCCTCTTCTTCGGTGTATTGGAGCGAATCAGAGAACACGCGTTTCCGGAGGCTGTCCATTTCCGGGGTCACCAGATCCGCTGCGCCGGCTTTCCATGCCTGGGTAATCTCATCGCGACGAGCTGAAGACGGAGCAACCTTGTGCTGTGCTGCGGACAACCCTGCCAGACAATAGAGCGTATGATATGCGTCCGGATGTCTGATCGGATCACGATCAGTGAGACATAGTTCTAGTGCAGGGATCGAGAACATACTTGGGAGGCTTGTCTCGAAGTCCTCCAGCTGGATGTTGGCACGCAAATAGGACATATTCTTGGATCGCTTTGCGGTTTAACAAAGAATCTGCAAACGCCTGATTAGGACAACAGCCTCGAAGTAGACCATAATAGCTTTACCATCGATATCATCCCAGCCTTCATCGTCGCTCTCGGGTTTCGTCGGTAAAGGAGGCACCGCAATCCCTATCGAGTCGAGCAGACCGAAAGATCCGCCGGCCCACCAAGAGTAGCAGCCGTCCACAAGTTTGTTTGTCCGTCCTTTGAACCCGCCAAGCTCTATCGGAAGACCTTGCATTTGAACAAGCCACCGAACAAGAGACTTGGTATTAATCTTGACAGAGTCTGGCGTAATGAACGGTTGGAGCATGACCCAAGACGCAAGCCCGCAGAAGGTATATCCACCGTGCGCTTCACCGAGTGCGGGGCGCGGATGCTTGAGGATGGAGGGAACAGATCCCGGTGATGATGGCGTGAAGTACGGTTGAGATGCCGACGAAAATCCGCCTTCGTAGGTCTGACATGAAGCGACGAACGCCGCCGTTCCTTCCACCAGTTCGGGAGTGAGGATGTCCAGCAGGGTGGCAGTGACAAGTAAGCAGTAGACACCACTGTTATACACATGAGAAAAAGAGATGCGAAACCACCGAACGCGTACGCACCGCACGTCGACTTCGGAGTGGTGTGCGACCAGAAAGGAGCCATCGGGTTGCTTGAGGGACATGAAGAATTCATACATCTTCTTTCTGCCCGGGAATGAGACCCGACTTTGTAAAGTGCTCTGACTTTCCATACCGGTCAATCTGGTCCCATCCGCCGTTGTCCCCTGGTCGTCCGACAATGGCCAACGCAGAGACGGCGGCGTATGTTGGTAGCAGATGCGCGGACTGTTTCGGTCCACCTCCGAATCCACCGTCCGGGTGTTGCATCGCCATAAGCGTATCGATCGCTCTATGAAGAATCAGTGAACCTGCCGAGGATCCGAGCGGGCTACCAGCCCAGACCTTTGCTTGTTCCCAGGATCTAATCCAACTTGGAGGACACTAAAAGACTGAAGCGACCAGTAGAGCAGCCACGGCTGACTCGCATCCTGGCTAATGTAGCGAGAAGGGAACCCCTGGACGAGATTCCGGACGAGGAATTGCATGTGTGCATTCTTGTCGAGGGTAGGAGTCGCTTTTAGATCGCTAGGGAGATGGCTAAGTAGGATGTTCTCGGTGTCGGATTGCGTCGATGATGTGTGGGTAGGAAAGCCATCTATCGGCGTAGGTGCAAGAATTGTGGCCATGAGAAGGAGGAGTAAAGATGAGTGGTAACAATAGACATGATCGAACGCGAAGAGAGCTGATCATCTGTCACGTTACAAGTCACGAATAACCACACGCGCACCGTTCAAAAAGCAATGCCCGCTACCCGAATCGAACGAGTGACCTTCGCATCGCAGAATACAAGTGCGACGCCGTAACCACTTAGCTAAGCGGGCTATGTCTCACCGCTGAGCCATCAATATATAATCCCCGCGGAAATTGGTTTATGAGAAACGTCAAAATTAACGACGAGCATTACGAACTACCTGTACGACCCATCGGTGCTTGTGTGAAGCCAGTCAATATCTAATATGATGCTCCTGCGAGGTCCGAACTAGCTATTTACAGTACAAGAAAAGTCCAAGACGTAGTATGTCATTGCATTCTAGAACTCAATCTCTCCCGACAACCTGAAGTCTCGTGAACTCGTTCCAACGGACAGCCTAATTGTGCCATTTGGTCTCCTCCAGCCTTGAGACACCACATCCCAAACACTGAGATCGTATCGAGAGAGCGAGATGGCGACCTTCTTCTCTGCTCCTGGGAGCAATTCCACATTGTTGAAGCCCTTGAGCAAGGAGGGCGGTTCAGCGGCTGTTGCTGGCATGTGGATATATAGTTGAGGGATCTGATGATTGGTCATGAATAGCTTCTTTCGGAATGTCATAAAAGACGCACATCGCCGCCCCAAACACACCCAGTGTTCTCGACATGGAAAGTGACATTGTACAATGGCCGATGCAGCCTGCAGCCCCGTATTTAGCACCACGCTCGGAAATAAGATGAAGACTGACCAGAGCGCTGTGGATGACCCCTGTGCGATGGGGGTCGCCTCTCCGGCCGACCAAGCCTTCTCGAGGGCATCATCGGTCGACGACTGATGTACCACTTTCTTGACATGCAGCTGGCTATACGTAAAATTGGTGTAGCTGAGCCCAAATCCGAATTCAAATCGCGGTGTGACATTGAAGGAATCGAAATGGCGATAGTCAACATTCAGACCCTCGTGGTAGGGGATGCTCAACACATCCGACCCCGATCCACCAGTTACGACGGAGGTGGGATAGTCCGAGATGTTCTTAGCGATGGTATACGGAAGCCGTCCAGAGGGATTCCAGTCTCCGTAGAGGACATCAGTGATGGAGTTGCCCGCCTCCTGTCCAGGGACACCAGCCCACAACACCGCTGTGACGTTCGGGTGATCAATCCAAGCTTCCACGAGCATGGGTCCCACAGAATGTACAATCACAATTGTGTTTGGGTTTTGCGCAGCAACCGAGAGCACGAGATTGTCCCCGTTGTGCCAGGCAGTCAGATTCTTGCGGTCGCCTTCGTTTCCGTCAACGGTGATGTATTCTTCCCCAGAGTCCGAGGAAATAAAAACGAGCGCAGCCGACCGCCCAATCACCATGTTGCCGGCCAAATCTGTCTGCCAGTCATCCAGAATCCACGAAACACTGGTTCTATCTTTCCTCGCCCGCTGTTGTATGGCCTCCAGGGGCGAGATCAGATATGTCATGTTGGCAGTCCCAGAGCCCCAACCCATCGCAAGGATACCGTCGCTCCCCCCTTGATCTGCAAACTGATTGGGTCCAATTTTGGCGGGGCCGGCGTCGCTGCCAACCAACACAAGGCTCCGCGGCTTTTTGAGGGGTAACGTGTGATTGACGTTCTTCAACAAGACAGTGCTCGCCGCCCCGATCTCTCGCACCACCGTGTGATGATCGTCTTGGACATCGATGTGCTCGTTGGTGTCTTCGTCGGCGGGCTTAAAGGCGTCAAAGCTGACTTGCGGAAAGTTGGCAGCGTCTTGACGGAGAAGATACCAGCCGGCAACAATTCGAGTGGCTGCTCGGGATCAACAACTGCTAGTCGACTACGAAGAAAACACTGACCCATGTCGTCAAGTCGCGATTCAGGAATCGTTCCATTCTGCACATATGCAGTCAGATTGGCACCAAAGTACTGCCCGAGGTCAGCCATCGCACTGGAAAGCACTGTGTACAACTCACGGTGGTTCCAGACATGAACGAGATGTCTCCGGGCATAGTCATCTAGCGATCCATTCAAGCCAATGACAAGTGAAAGAAGTAATTGGACTTACATCCAGACCAGTTGCCACAGAGATCGTAGAATGGGTTGCAGCCCAATCCGACATGATATCTGACATTTATGGGTGTTCTACTTAGACAAAACGCTGCACAAACTTACATCCTTGAAATCCAAACTCGCGCTACAATGCGTGAAGTGCGTCAAACATTCTGACGGGCCCCAGCAATACTGCAGCAACTTCACCTTGATGATGTCGTTCATGATCTTGTCATTTTCGCAGGCATAGGTTCCGTTGATTAGGTCTGTACGCTTTCGTTACCAAACATAGCAGCTGGATAAGCCACTCACTGTAACTGCACATGATACTGCATGGAACGGTCAATATTTTTCAATTGCATATCATTAGATGGCCCACGAAGCGACACCGGCCATGATGCTTCGCAAAAACGGATGCGCGTAGATTTCGTGTTGGGTTCGGTCGTCTACATCGGAGCTGGACTGCGTGCGAAAATGTTCTTGCTCACTGGCAGACAATTCAGTCCTTCGGATTCTGCAGTTCGACTCGAGACTTACTTGTTGATCAAGTGCTTGGCACATGCTTGAACGCCGCCCTGTTGCATGCCCAATATGGTCTCGTATGCGGCCTCGCCCGAGAGAAACGGATCGGCGCCAAAGCCTTCCCAATTCCGACCGCCCTGGGCAACACGCCCGATGTTCATCATAGGCCCTAAAGCGACATGAATGCCCTTGCCGACATTCTCGCGTCCGATGTAGAGACCACGTCGGCGCATTAGTTTCCGATTCCACCTGCATTTCGCATGAGCAAAAATAACCCATTTGGAGACGGCACAAACGTGGCAGCAGTGTTGATTCCAGTAGGGAATGCGGTCACAAAGTCCGCAAACCGAATCCCTATACAAGTTCATGAAGGTTACAGGCGATCTCGATGGAGAGGCTCACCTAATGGTGCATCCTGAATGGAGATGGTCAGCTCAGAACGGGGGCAACAAGTCGGCAGGACGCACTTCGAGGCAGAGAGAAGGGAACAGACTTCCATTCACACCGATCGCAGGAGTATTGCCCTGAAAGAGGACGATTAATGAGCCCACGCCCAGCTCAAAACCTGCAGCTTCGAAAGTACCACGCAGCGACCGGCCATCCATCCGACACCTGTGCCCACACTCGCTTTGTCCGCCATCGTGAAATTGGCGACCTATTCAGACGGTGTGATCTGCCCGCCGCACGAAAAACACGCGTCCGCATACCTTGAGTTTTGCCGCCTGGATTGCACTAGCCCATGCTTGCTCGAAGTCAGGAATCAAGAAGGACCCCACAGGTGGAGGATGGCCCGGGTCCGTCGCTACGTAGACCCCATTCACGGGTTTCTGTGACGGTGCGGGGTATGGGGAAAACGATATCTGCCCTGATGCAGGAATGATCGGTAGAACCACCGAGTTGGTTGCGACGGGAGTAGCGTCGGTGGCAGCAGCAGTGGTGACTCCGCCAGGAGCTTCTTGAGCATATATCGGTATCCAGTAGAGAATGAAAGGTGCAAGATGCACGAACGGATGCCAGTGCATAGTGGAGGAGTGCAGAGAGCAGCCGTTTGATCGCCAAGCGCTCAGGCTCCACGGGCACGGAGCTCCGTGAAATAGGTCTGACACTGAGGTGAAACAACGAGCTCAGCCATGCAGACAAATCCATCTAGAAGAACAGGGTCTCTGCAAGTTGGTACTTCGTTCGCATAATCAATCAAGTATGTAGGGTTCTTTATCGTGACCGAAATCAATATCAGGCACAATGCAGTCAGTCGCTGTACCATGATACTCGCTGAAGCTCTCATTCAGTCTTGTTTCTCTTATACGCCTGACGCGTATGATGGCATAGGGATGCATACAACGATAGTACATGTCGAGATAAAGGAAGAAAGTGGCAGGAACTACGAAGCGCAGACATGACTTCAGAGGCTAAAACATAGCACGACAACAATGACTCACTCGGATATCTAGGCCCCGAAACCATACAAAGTGCGTCCAGAGCGCTTGAGGGCATACACAACGTCTAAGGCCGTGACAGTTTTACTACAGAAGAGAGTCATGAGAAGGCTGGAAGCGACGGAAGTAGCTCAACTCACCGCTTGGCATGCTCAGTGTACGTGACAGAGTCGCGAATGACATTCTCGAGGAAGATCTTCAGGACACCACGCGTCTCTTCGTAGATGAGACCCGAAATGCGCTTCACACCTCCACGACGGGCGAGACGGCGGATAGCTGGCTTGGTGATACCTACACAGAGTCGGTACGCTGGTCTTAAACAGAGCGTGGTTGAGACTGACCCTGAATGTTGTCGCGAAGAATCTTGCGGTGACGCTTGGCACCACCCTTTCCGAGACCCTGTACGGCTTGTAAATACTCGCTCTAATAGGGCATTGGTTGCTTTACCTTGCCACCTTTTCCACGACCAGACATGTTATTAAGGGTGAGAGAGAAAGAGTTGTTCTTGAAGTGGTGGTGATGGTAGGGTGAGAGAACGACTGGCACGTCAACGGAACGCGTAAATACGGCCAAGCAGCGCGTGATGATATCGGTTAGTCACGCGGCATTCAGAATTTTGATTATTGACCATTTCATGTAAGTACTGTAACTCGAGTCTGATTCATGGAACAAATCATTCGAGAAAGAAGTCCCCTAATTGAACTTGAGTGCTATGACCTTGTTTTCGAGATAAATGACAAATAAAACTAGTCCCTTTTCGGTTTTGTCTTGGCTCGAGACGTAGCCAATGTATACCCAACCGTTCCGAAGAGAACGAGCCCCGACCCAGTCCACAGCAGGAGAGGGTCCACCCGAGTACCGCGGCCAATCCAGACACTGATTAAAAGGCTCGCAGCCTTGCGCAACACAAGAACGAGAGTCACAGTGAGTGATGTGACACGCGTTGTTAATTGATTGACGCCCGCCACACAGACAAGTTGAGTCACTGTGTTCAATAGCAGGGGTCCATATGCGCCTGGGATCTCCAAGCTCACGATAGGGATCGTGGTTTTCGGGCTCGAATTGACGGCACGCAATTGTGACGTTATGTCACCACGGAGGAAGAAGAACATCGGCAGCGACAGGAAATGCAGGTAGAACATGGACTCCTGCCAGGAGGGGAGGGAGACCGCAGCTTTGTCCGAGCTACGACCATATTGCGAGTATGTGTAGTCCTGGACGAGACCCAGAAATCCGGACAGCAAAAGTGCAGCAGTTAAGATCGCCACGCCCTGGGCGTATAGCACCATGTCAATGTTATGAGCCGAGACGCTCGAGGATTTGGCAGCAGACATCGTCGTTAGCAGCACACCGCATGTGATGACTGCCACCGAGCAGACTTGTAGATGAGAATATCTGGTAATCGATCAAAACATAGAAAAGCTACGCGAACCAACGTTATCAACCTTTTTCCGCCCAGCATCCAGCCGAGTAGCATGCTTATTACAAGGCCCCCGCTGCGAAAGACGATATGCACGGACATCGGGATTCGGTAGGAGAAAGCGGCATTATTAAGCAGTGAAATGAGGTAGAACAAGACGACTTGGGCAACATATGGGGCCAGAGGTATTCGACGTGGCTTCAGGCGAGGTCCGTATCGTGTCCATTTCAGATTGCGAGGGAGACCGTGCATAGAGATGAGCAGAAATTGAAAGGCAGTTATCAACGAGCCCGCGTGTGGATGGTCCGCGGTAAGCTGCTCTAGTGTGATTGCATTACTATTCAAGCAGTGAGCTCAACATTGATACGATGTCACAGGGAGCTGTTACCTACAGCAACCCCCGAATATAAGCGAAAGGGTGGTAAACCAGTCCACCAGTATCAATGCAGACATTGAGGTACGAGGCAGGAAGGCAACTTGTATCGTGGCACGTGTCAAAATCATGTGCTCGCTATATACCGCTTGGACCGTGTCCTCCGTAGGTTATGTGCAGATGAAACTTGAGCCGCACGCGCTCATAAATGACGGACGATCACGGAGAACTTACGATGACTTTGTGATTGTTTGATCTACGCTCTGCTCTCGATAGTGACCCTCAGCATGTCTCAACCTCAATTCTCTTCGCTCTGTGCCGGATATGAGCAAGTCAGTGCTTTTGACATCAACGAGGAGTATGAGGAGGAAGAGATTTCCTACGTGACCCTTGATCTGGGAAACGTGGACACGACTTTGATCCCCAACTCGTCAACATATCGACTAATTGTAGGCCCGTCCACCTGGCTCGCAGCTCAGCAGGGACTCAATGAGAATTAGGGTCTGGACACTCCAACACCGTTCCTTCAATTGTCTGGGACAGTGCTCAAGGGCAGGCACGATGAGATGCTGGGCACAGAGTTGCTCTTCGTGGACGAAGGGAAAGGTGCGTCCGTCCGGAAATCCCTGTTACATGCGTCTCTGACGATCTAATCCACCGTGTTTAGACAGAAATAGAAGTGCCATAATGCACGTGGCTAATACTGAACAAAGGATATGCTTCAAGCAGGTGCAGCTCCAGCCCAAATCCTCCGTCTCCAGATTATCCGACTCAGGAGCGAGACTGACCGTCGAGCAAATCACCGGAAATGCACCCATATTAGTTTCCAAATCGAAAAAGGAGAAGGTGGCGGGGAAAAACGCCCTACCCCATGAGGGACAGACTATGGCAATGGAGGATGTAGAAATGGCTGATGATGTGGCTATGTAACAAATCGCTATGTCATGTAATCACTGATTTGCCCTCTAAATTTCTGGTGCTGTCCCGCCACTTTTGAGGATGCCGCGGCCGTTTCCGCCTCATGTGGGACAGACATCGGAGCTCGTCCACAAGATTTCCTTGCGGAATCCGGCCAATAAAAAGCTCAGCAAAAAGGGCACCGCTTACCTTCAACAAATGGATAACCCTACGAAACCGTTGGAAATGTTGCGTGTAGTTGCACGGCGTGTGTCCAAAGCTGAACGCGATGAGCGCATGGACATAACGCAGGCACTAACTCCCGTGAAACAGTGTGTTCCATCCCCCCAAATGCGCGGACCGTCTCCAATTTCATAGATACATGGCCGGCTTCACGCGACCAGGCGACTTGCGTTCGTCCAACTGGTTTCCTGGTGGTGCTTATCTTACCCGAAACAAGAAATACGAGGAACCCCCTGAAGAGGCGTACCGTCCGCACACTGTCTATATCCTCGAGTCCCGTTACGACGTACGGTATGGTCACGGACGACCAGAAGCCCCCGAGTACATCTACGGCGCATGTCGCGAGGAAGACTTTTCATCAGCGCTCAAGAATTACAACTCAAAGAACGCTCCCCGTGAAACGCTCGACACCATGGACAACGCGCGCTGGCCTTCGGGTCCTCAGTCTTCGAGGCTTAGGCGAACGGCTTGGTGGACCAGCGCAACGGAACTGAACACGGTTCTGATGGAGCTAGGAAGGGAACCAGCCTCGAATTCGAACGCGGTGGAGGGAGACACCCGGCATACAAGTCCATTCCAACAAGCTACCAGCTCCAAATCTCCCGCTTCCCTTCACACTTCCCATGCGACGCCAGTGACCTACTCCAAGAAAAAACGCGCGATTGTCAGCCGAGGCGAATACCTGGCGACTCTAGACGATCGACCATTCTGGAGGCCCCTTTTTACTGCGACCTTTGCTACCCGGCCACTTGCCCTCAGTTATTTGCGACTGATAAAGGGCCGAGCGACAGGCACGCCCTTCTATGTGGACATACCAGAACGCCAAAGTGCGCTGTCGTTCGGAACTTGTATGCGACAAACCCGGCTGCATCGAGCAATGGACCTCGTCGTTACCATGACTGAGCTCTTGGGCGGCGCTCGCGGTGGTTTTGTCGGGATTCGTTGCGACCCAAGCGGGTATGGGCGAGGGATTGGTGGCGAAGGGCTTGACAGGCCGCTTCCACAGCGAATACGGAGCATACAGGTTGGGATCGGTCGGTGGACGCCTCTGGCTTTGGAACTCAAGGCCTTGCTAAGGCACAGGTTGGAGACGAGTGCCGTAGGGGAGGACACAACGGAGATATTCATTTTGGACGAGCATGGCGAACGACGAAGGAAAGATGGGGGCGATATCGTTCCATGGCGCCCGCGTGAGCTGACATCGACAGACACACTTGTCCAGCAGCAGTGGTATATGGACTTCAGGACCCTTAAGACTGCTGCTTCCAGTTTCCTCCGCTATTCGCAAGCATTCACTGGTTCACCCACATCTCAAACTTGGGGCTTCGTTGGTGAAGACTCTCTCGCAGAGCCTAAACCCGTCCCAGAGACTGCGACGGAAAAGGAGGAAGACGACCAGAACCATGACGAAAGTGAGGACGACGAAGGCTATCGGAGTGAAGAGGACGAGCTTAGCTCTGACTCGTCTCCTCCTGTCGTCTTTGTTCGATCTCCGCACCCATCAGTTTCTCCAGGCAGTGTTATTTCCTCCCTGAGTCAGACCCTCAGGGACAACCCGCCATCGGACATCGATGTTGACCTGTTACCTCCTTTCGTGCTGTGTTCCCCGGCTGGAGAACCCATTTATGGCCCGCGAGACGATCGAGGGCAGATTGTCATGGACCAGATGGATTTCAAGCTGCCATGGCATGTAGCTAGGGCATTGGTGCAGCATCGTCTCGATTCCATCTGTTCATCTAAGATGCAGGAACTTGCATCCGTGGCCGCAGTGTCGCACAGCTCTGTCTTTTACCCCGTCTTAGGGTACGAGGAAGGTAGACTTGCTGATGCTTTGTATAACTGAGAAGTACCATAGCGAGCACGAGGGTGATAATTCATGGAAAGTCAAACGAGCGTAATGGGTATAAAGACAAACAGCTTCGGTACGAGTAGCAATCGGGAAATTATCCAAAAGAAACAAATGTCCTCTCTTTCATCGCCTGCCAGTCCCGCGACCATATCCGACTTGGAGGTTATCGAGCTCTGCCTCCAACTGCTTGATGGAGCTATGCGCGAGCTCCAGGTCCTTATTGAGGCGATCACGCTCTGCAATGAGCTGACGGCGAATCAGTGAGCGTCGATGAAGACGGACGACAAAGCTAAACGCACATGCTGCTCCCACTGTCGGAAACGAGCCTCCTCCGACTTGACCTGCTCGGTGAACCGCTTGCGAAGCTGCTCTTCCTCCTCTTTGAACTTGGGGTTGTCGGTCTTCTTGACTTTGGGTTCTCCAAATTTGCGAGTCTCCATCTGTTGCTGACGGTAGTTTTCGTAGTGGGATTCCTCCGTTGTCGAGATCAGATCGAGCATGTGAGTCCGAATCAAGAGCGACCGCAGCTTCTTGAAATCACAGTGATTCTCGTTCTCCACTGCCTCGGATTAAGCTAGAGCTTGCGTGTCAACTGCAGGAAACGTACCTTCGGCCACACCCCAAAGATACTCACGACCCTTCACAACGCGACCGTCTGGAGTGGTCACGTCTTCTGTCGATCCGATGATGGAGAATGGCATAGCGTCCTGGAGCACCCGGGCGAGCTCAGCACTCTCGTCGTCAGACTCGACAGGCGGAGTGTAGATGCGGATGCCCTGAGCGGCAATAACTTCCCGAATCTGACTCAGGATGTTATCGCCGATGCGATGAAAGTGAGTGGGCAAGTACGCACGCGTTGCTTAAAGGTAAAGAGATCGTTCTGGGTCAAGGTGTCAGCTTTGGCGACGACCGGAATGAGGTTGACACGGGTCCCCAGGCGCTTCATGATCTCGATGTCGAGAGGTTTGAGGCTAAGGACGATTGAATGGTTGTCAGCGACGATAGACAGTAGTCGCCAGTAGACGTACGTGTGTCCAGTAGGACGGATGAAGTAAAGACAAGCATGGACGCGCAGGTCAGTCTTCTCATGCCGCTGCGGTTGCTGCTCTTGGCGCATGTATGCTTCATGCTGGTCGTCGATGAACTCGACTATAGGGGACCAAGAGTCGCGGTTGTTGACGTAGTCGCCAAAGCCAGGAGTGTCGATGACGGTGAGCTTGACCTTGAACTGCTTCTCCTCAAGTTCAGCCTTGATGATCTCGACCTCAGTGAGTTTGTCCAGCTGCTTGTAGTGTCGCTTGTTATAATTTTTGGCAGGCGACAACTCAGTTGAAAAGAGTGTGTTGATGAGGGTGGTCTTGCCCAAGCCAGACTCGCCTGCGAAAGGTCAGACCATGCCCTCGTCAGCGCGCAGAGCGCGCAGAGCTTGACTGGCTTACCGACAACCATGATCGTGAAATGAGCCCCACGCTTCGCCACGATTTTGTGTTTCTATCAGCAATGAGCATTGAGGGTAGTGCAAGACCCCGTTTTTGAGTGGATGAACCTGGTTGGGTAGGTTGGCAATGCCAATGCCGTCGACAATGGGGGCGGGGGCAGCCATTTTGCTGGTCAAAGGAAAGGTGCGACTGGAGGTGCGAGACCAAAAGGAATCGTAACAGAAAGTATGTTTATTGGGTAAACAACTGAACACTGCCACCTGCATGCTTCCGAATCGCGTTCACTTCGCTTCATTACGACTTTGCCGGCCTCACTTTTCTACTTACGTTGCTGTCCGGAACTCTGAACGATCAGATAATGCCTCCTCCGCTAATCTGGTAGGGAGTGCAAAGTTGTTTGCTGATGCAGCTTTGGAGGAGGAACAGCCTGGTCCTTCAGCAACATCTAAGCGACTCCAGGATATCCTCGCGGAGCAACCCAATTGGACCGGAGATGAACGTATAGAAGATACTGTGTGTGATGACTTGTTGCAATCTGGGACTTGGAATGAAGACGCCCTCTAGGTTCTCCGAATGCTTGTTGACAAATACAAGCCATTGCGAAGCGGAACCATCCAAACCGCTGAGCAGAAGATGAAGAAGGCGCCTTCCAAGATCCCCCAATATCATGAGGATTCGCCTCCCTTACATTCCTCAGTTGCAGACGGCGCCGCAACTTACAAGCCGTTCGTTCCGCCCGGCAGTTCGTGGGCTTCTGTTCCTCTTCTGCCACCGGGTCCACCGGACCATCGCCCCTGGCACACCGAATACAAGATCCCAGACCATGCACAAGTGTCCGTTCGCGTCGGTCGCTTCCCAATGAAGACGTCTGCCCAGCATACTGGAGCTTCAGCGATCGGCGGAGACGAGCAGACTCGGCGCGCCGAAAAGGAGCTCCATCGCAAGCTCGGCAGGTTAAACCGCGCACGAGAGTCATCACTGGACTACCGTCTGGGTTTGGGAAATACCAATAAACACCATGCACCCTCCCAGATCAATCCCGTCAGTATGAAGGGTTGGACTAACCTCGTCGAAGATAGAATAGAGGTAAGAAGGGGACATCGGCACACTTCGATCGAATTAGCCGGCTCATGTCCGTTGTCAGAAAGCTCGGCGTGCGGGCTTGTTTACGAAGGTCAAGGGCCGTGGAAAACCACTGGAGCGCATTGCGGAGGAGCATAATCCCTTCATCGCTCGTGAAGAGTACCTCATGAATAGAATCGTGAAGCGGAATGGTGCAGCGCCGCCATGGGTCCAGTTGCAAGGTGGTGCGTCCCTCAGTTGTGAACGAGTTGCAGCGAGTTGAGAATCCGAAGAATTGGACGCCTCGCTGAGCACCTTCCGGCATCTATTGTTAGATGGCTGGACTCGTCACGCCATCAGAGCATTGACGATCTCTGCCCCGCTTCCCGAACTTGAAGCCATCCGCAGGTTCAGGGATCCGCGATGGTCTGCGAAAGAAAGCACATTCCACACTGCGGCACTGGCTGAAGTCAATGACAAAGTGCGGCGGTACAATGCCCTTGCTCCCTACGCAGTTCGCAGAACGCTTCACGTCTTGGATGCGGAGTTGGCATCTGTGTACATCAAGGGAGAGGTTGAAATTCCACGCATGCTTGAGGAACGCGCTAGGGCGAGGCCTCTTACAAAACAAGCCGTGGATGTTCCGAGTCTTAGTCTCCAGTTCCAAATGAACTGGATGAAAAGACTCCGTCAGTTTCTTATGACGTTGCTGCAGCGCCTAGAACACACCGTTCGACGGTCGTGACGCTCTGCTGTGTACTTATAGTCGTCTACTGCTTTGTAACCACTGGCGTGTACACTAAATCTAACCTGGCCACTGCTCCATATATCTCTCAAATTCCTGTTCGGTTGGCAGTTGATTGTAGAACCATTTGTCCATCTTCCTGCGCTGTCTCATTGAAGGATACCGGGGCTTTCCTGGCCCGTTCAACAGACAGAGCAATGCAGCAGCAAAAGAGGGCGACTCTGGCGTCTGTAGAACATCAAACGAGTGCCAAAAGGGACACAACACACAACACACATACATGTGAATTCCATACCCAGTTTCCATCTGCTGTCGGATTCGCTAGAAAAGAACCAGGGACCGGTGCTGAAATCGTGGAGAACTGGGGCAGAAGCTCTAGACGAGAGCGGATCTCCATGACACGGATTCCGACTTCATGAGGGATGTAGGGATTCCCGGTCAACTCCAATGACACGATCAATTGACCTGGGACATTCAGTGCCGATTTGTTAGTTAGCTGTCCGGCACACACCGTATCGCGCGATCGCTGGATACAGTTCGCACGCGATCAGAGAATGCGGGCCCGGAACGAGAATCGTGGTAGTCTGACTGAGATCAAGTGGCCAAGTTTGACCCAAACCATGCAAAATAGGTCTTCGTGGGTAAACCCGCTCTCCGAAAGTGGCATAGCATGACACCAGGTCAGGCAACGAGACAAGATTATCTCTCAAAAGACTCTGAAGGACAGCTCTCCCGTTTCGGGTCAAAAGACGGGGAAGGGGGACGGTCCAAGGCATTCCAAAACGATCCGCAATATCCGATCCTTTGGCAAACATGCTCGGAGAGGAACAAGATCGAAAACGCAGACCCCCCGACAACGGACGCTCGGGAACCGGAACGTAGTAGTAGAAAAATCCTCGAGTAGCGGTGTCCCGCCGAATAAAGGGCGTGTCAGCAGAACGGAAGGAGACCTGGAAAAACGGTTCTTCCCGACTATGCGTCGGGTTGTGGCCAAAGATATCGAGCATGAGAGCGTTCCGTCTTTGGATGCTGATATAATCCGACGCGCTTATACGTCGAGGATCGAAAGTGGACACTCTCGCAATGACCTCTCTGCCGGTTCGGGGCCAGTTGCTGGCAATTTGTGAGAAAGCCGGTATATGGTACAACGGCAGGAGACTCCACCCAAGTATTCCACCATCTCGCCTTGCAGTGATACCACGAAAGGTGTGTATGGGGTTCGGTTTTACGTGGCGAACGGGAAGGGTCATTGATTATGAGCGGACATCACAGTTTGAGCGTAACCTATGCTGGTGATCACTTGGTCGGAGACCACACTGCCACAAGAAGAAGTGTCATTGGCGATGACATGATCCGTCAGTCAACGGGATGATGAGAATAGAGCTCAAAACGGCATGAATGACTTTCGCAACCATTACAAGCCGGGCTTGTTCCGTGGTGGGTTCCCTGGGTTGAGCCTCAGTCCATATTACACTATTCAGGCATCCTCGTTGCTTTCATCCTGAAGATGACGCCCCGGTCAAGAGCAAAGAGCGCTCGCAGAAGCGTAAAACACCATTCAGAAAGATTCGGGCATAGTTTATGAGTGCTCAACTACTCAGATTGCGAGGTGAAACAGATCTGCTCAGGTCCCGAGCCAAAGCCGAAGCTCTTCTTACATGCTCACTCTCTGTCTGGATCATTACGTGCATCGAGAACTCCTGACACAACGTACAAAGAGTAAGAGTGCGGCAGGAAGATAGATTCAAAGTTCTACAACTCCACCCTGCTCCGTTATAAGCCCTCTAGACCCCAAACTCGTTGCCATCTCCTTCCCCCCATATTGACAAACTCTCGAGACCCCCCGACGTCAATGCAATTCAAAAGTTCCATCTTCATCATCCTCGCCAGCTTTGTCGCGGCGAGCCAGCAAGCCTCTTGCCACATGGGCTCCCCGGCACAACCGAGCCTCGACCAGCAATCTATGCACAGCTGTTTGACCGGTTACCGCACTGGTTTGTGCTCTTCTCTATCCTTTCGGAACTGGTATGGAAATCAAACGGCGGGCTGATCAGACACTGAAACAGATAATTGGGACGGCATGGACTGTGGTGGACGCACCTGGTATAAGGGTGAGATGAACGGCTGGAAGACCCCACAGACATGCTACGACGCCTGCGCGACGTGTATTTCGGAGGCTATCGACAATAATGTCGACGAAGTGCAGTGTGACCAGTGGGTGGGGATCATAGAGTGCTGGATTGGCTTTAACTGAGGTGAGATCGGGGCTTGGTTTCATCTGTTGTCCGAAAATATATTCATTGACTTGCATCTTTAGCCGTCCTAGTCTACCTTTGTTAGATGGAAACCTATCCTTAACCTCGAACTAGCTTTTTATGTCCTCTTCGACCCAATCCAATGGTTCCAACACAAAACCGAAACGGACTTGATTGGATGCATCTGTTTGATAGAGCTGCAAAGGAGGTCAAAAGCCATGCTCGGAACATTGAGAGAGAGAGAGTATAGCATACATAGTACTCAACGCCAGCCATGTGCATCAGAGTGGCGATCCAGAGACACATCCCTGCCAAATTGTAGGTGAGCAAATCCGGGACGACGGGAAGATGCCCACCAAGGGTAGCCCGAACTGATGAGGCGAGGTAAAGAGGCCCACGTTTCGTCGAAGCATGGACAGCGACCCACAAGGCGCTTGCATTTGCCCCAGGTGCTACACACTGCGGAAAGGAATTCTGCACATCGGGCGATTCGAGGAGATTGATGATCTCGTCACATCTCCAGATCTTGAAGATGCTTAGCAGGGACGAGGAGGCCGGTGCAAGAATATGCCCACAGAGTAATATGTGCCGATCATTGTCACGATCTCGCGCGCAGCAAGAACGATGAGACGGGCTGTGACAATTGTTGAAAAATAAACGACCATTCCTGGGCAACAAATGAGAGCCAAAGCTTGACGATCTAGGATGACTTACGAAGCATCCAACGACGATGCAGTCGAGTGTCGCGTTTGACATAGTACGCGCCCAGAAGACCGGAGTACACAACCATAATGGCCAGGATGTAATATGCCGATTGGACATTCAGTTCACCGCCAATGGAACGTCGTGCAACGATCGCGCCGCATATATTCCCGACAACTAAGCAAAAGAGGACACCGTAGCCTTTGGGCATCCCATGAGCTGGGTCACAGACACGTAATGTCAAAAACTTGCCATTCAGTCGATGAAGAAGTACATTTTTCTGGAGATTCATCAATGAAATGGATATGCCCGAGCAGAAGAACTAACCCGGCGAATGGCTGGGAAGAATTGGAAAACAGAAAAGATACCGCCGACTATAGTCAGAACGGATTCAGCCTCCGCAGTGGAGATATCGAAGTGAGTCGCAGCGTACTTGTTGTCAGATAGATGTGAATGAAGATGTTCACTTTGTATATCGGCGCGCTTAGCCAGAACCATTCACCTTGAACCGACTTCAGCTTCATCAATTGGAGCTTCACGTGGCTCACTTACCCGGAACGAGAAGACTCGGTGTGCGCGAAACATTCATGGTGAAGCTCCGGGCAAGACAGAAGCCGATCAGCGCTCCGCCCCAGATAACACCTGGTACATTCAGGCGTCGCGCATTCAATGGACGACGGTGCCACGACCCACCATTCACCAGACTGTAGCTCTGCCTGAATCCTAACAGCCAGCTCAGAGAGCGATATCCGTTCAAAAGGGTGTCCCGCGGCGGAGAGCTTGGCTCAAGAGGCCGCCGTCCTAATTCCGCACGCGATCGGCTGTCCAGGGCTTCCGAAGTCTCAGCATCGCCTCCCAGCGCATATGGGCTGATGAAGCTAGTCTCCGTCTCCGGGCCGTACAATACGCTTTTGGTGGTCCCAGTTCGAGCTTGCGATGCTGGCCGGGACTTGGAAGCTGCAGACATTCCGACGGCAAGTGCGCGGGAGGAAAAGGAGAAGAGAAGCGGCTGACATACCACAACAGTTGCTTGATATAAGACCGTGGATAGCAAAGATTAGACGAAACCATCCGGACTACGATGCCAGGCACAAGTTTGGCGCCGACTTCTGTGTCGTTTCCTCATAAGGAGTTGTGGCGGCGTGGCTGTGTGAAGATCTGTTGGGCTCCCGCAGACTTGCTCCGATCCCGTCGACTTCACCCAATGGAATCTCGTCTACGATTGGCGTTCATTTGAACATAGTACGGCTGATCCAGCACATGCATCTCCACATCTTCACACGCTCTCAATCTTCACCGTGTCCAGCCTATGAGCACCGCGGGACTCCATCTTCGCATCTTATAACAGGCGTTCTTGCGTCAGTTGACCATGGACTTGGATACATTCACCGAAGATGGGTGCAGACGGCTAGCCAAAGCCCGAAGCCTAGCCCGTCTCCTATCTCGCGGGGATAGAGTCGCCCATATCGGGTTCGCCTTGCCGCATTTGCGATTGCGGGGGTACTTTGATCGACAGTGTTGTTATGATCTTGTATTGCAGCTGATAACTTCTCCAAGTTCTCTTCCGTCTTCTCCCTCCTCATTCTACCAGTCAGATCCATGTCGAGCGCCCCATGGATTATCGAATCTGATGACTTGGAGTTCCCAGATGGAGATGCCTGTAAGGCAGGAAGGATTGCGCGCGGGTTATGGAGGGGCAATATGGTGGCAGTTAAGGTCCTGACGAAGCAAGCCGAGGGATCCGTGCGTCACTCTGAGGACTTCCTATTCGCATGCACCCTGAACTGCACGATATGGGCAGGCATTGACCGAGCGCGGTTCTCTATGGAGCAGCCTTCAGCACGGGAACATACTGCAGACCCTCGGGGTTTCTCCCGCGGATGCCGATCCTCTCTTCGTCGTTACTCCGTACCACTCATCCGGCAACGTCATGCAACATCTCGAACGAAACCCTGGGGCTGACCGCATGCAACTTGTGACTGGTTTTCCAGAATTCACGACGCGATCAGCTAATTTCCTGTCAGGTCTTGGATGCAGCTCTTGGCATGCAATATCTGCATACAGTGGGTCGACTCCGGCTACTACTCAGCGGTATCTGAATCTGTTTTCCGGCAGTGCGGAGTCGTCCATGGCAGTCTCAAGCCATCCAACATTCTAGTTAAGCAATCTGGGCGAGCCTGCATTGCCGACTACGGAATGGTCGAAGTGCAGTCAAGCGCAAGCCACGGTCATCGATACTTTAGCCCTGAAGCATGGAAAGGAGTCAGTGAAACCGCTGTTTACGTGGCCCGCTCAGCGCTTACTGGCGAGATGATAGACGTTATCTCGTCCTTCCGACGTATATGCCTGGGCCATGAGCGCCTTGGAGGTTGGCGCATTTCTCATCTGCTCGGCTTGCGCTAACATAAGGCGCAGATACTCACCTCCAAAGCGCCTTGGGGAATCCTTACTGAGAAACAAATTTTCCGACTAGTAGTCCAGCAGAACATGACACCTGATCGACCCGACGAGGATCTCGATTTGACTGATAATGTTTGGGAACTGCTGGAGGATTGCTGGCGAGCTTCTCGACTTCGGCCGACTTTCGATGCCCTCGTTCAACGCTTGCACGCAGGTCAGTCCCGTCTTCTGCGGTCAGTATCTCTGATTTGAATGCGATTCCAGGCAGCGAGCAAGAGATTACTATTCCGCCCTCCTTCGACAACGCCAATGGCTTGGCTCCCCCGAAAGCCAATCGTACACGATACACCGTGTCGATGATGAGTGGTCCTCCGGCTTATGACGCGCCATCGAGCACAGCAGTCCACCCCGGATCGGCACCGCCGACCGTCACGCACTTCCAACCGCCTCCCAAGAAGAATCTCGTCCCGCAGAGGCTCACACCCATGAACCGAGGTAGTACCAGCGATCTGAACAGCAGTTTTGACTCGGAGGAAGGGGGAACGAGCGCAGGCACTTCTCCGCCCAGGACCCCACGTAGCGAATTAGGGCTGATGCCTTCTCCGTCTGTAAGGACGTCTTCGTCTGGTGAGTCGATGCCAATAAAGTATGACGATTCCTGACCAACTCCCAAGTCGGATCATCCAGTTCCCGTCATTTTCCCGCGAACAGAATGACGAATATAACACCAATTGGGGAAGACCCAGGAGAATCCGCGGGCTTTCGGAAGCATTCTTATGTCGAGTCAACATTCTCGTCTGGTCCGCGACACCGAGAGAATCTGAGTCCCTTTCCATCGGGATCTGTATATGCAGAATCTGTGCAGAGTGGTCAGAGCAGTGGAACTGGTACTGTCTGTTGATCCACTATCTCCCGCTGTCTGCTCATGCCTCTCAGCTCCCAACGCGAATCTGATCGCGGGGGCTCTGTCCACAGAAGTCAAGGAAGGTCGGAAACGAGATGTGGTCGACGGTTACCTGGGAAAGATGATTGCGTTGAGCTTGGGTTCGTCCAAAGACGCGCACAAGTTGGTCACGGCTGGAGTTATCCCGACTTTGATCGTGCTGCTCAAGACACGGGCTGCGGATGGAATTGGCCTGGAGTTGGTTCTTCTGGCTCTCGGATTTCTCATGTACGTGCTCGCTGCCAAATTTTGGCACTCGCTGACAGAAAGTGTCAGTCACGATCCCATCACGGCAAATGCGGTTCATCGCACGGACACGTCCAAGACGCTGATCGATATCCTCAACGCGGCACAACTGGATGACATTGGCGCGCTTACCATCTGGTGCCTGATCCGAGTTGCTCGCACGCCCGAGGTGGTGGCTTCGTTGCTCAAACACAACTTGGGGAGCTCGCTCGTGAGAAAGGGCCTGCGAGGCGGCCAGCGGACTTCGCGGATGGCGGGGTGGTGTCTCGGCGCCATTGTCCGATCGGACGCCATCGCCGACACGTTATGTGAGATGGGCATCGTCTCGGCAGTGTGCGAGCACATGCGACGTTGCAGAAGCTCTGTCAACGCTGACGCTGCCGACCACAGCGCTATTCTATATGCGGTCGCACGGCTTTCGCGGTCCATCAAGATAGCCAAGCAGCTCTCCAAAGGGGGATGCGTCGACGCCCTGGCGTATTTCCTCGAGACTGCAGAAGATCCGCAGGTGCTGCAATGGAGTGTTCGCGCTGTGGGATGTCTCATGCGTCCCAATAGTGGGGACATGGCCAAGACCCTGCTGGACGCCGGCATCGCGAGTGGATTGGCGCGGCTTCCCAGCATCCTCCCGGCCGACCAGATCGAGCCTCTCGGTGCCTTCGCGTTTGCCGTCCAACGCTTCTCTTGTGCGGAGTGGGGCGGAGGAACGAGAAAAGCACTGGTCGAGGCTGGCGCTGTTGACGCTCTCCTCGCGGCTCTCCGCACCGCTGCCGAAGAGCCGTTCCCGCAGGTCCACATCGAGTTGGCCCATGCAATAGCGCTTTTGGCGGATGTCGGGGGCTCGGCCATACGCAAGGAGATCGTGAGCGCGGGTGGAGTGGGTATTCTCAAGCAGATTGCGAGCGACACTACGACGCGTGCTGACGTCGCCAAAGCCTGCAACTTGGCTGCAACCAGTGTCATGGGCAATCTCTGGTCGCGGAACGCCGGTGAGTTGCTCTGCTAGACACGATCTCGCCACCGCTCATTGAAGCTCCCAGCTTCCGCGAAAGCTGCTTTGGTGCATGAATGGTCCGGTGGATGTCCGGATCACATTCCCGAATGCCCGATTCCGATGAACGAGATCGAGGCTTGGTAGATCGTTGTATTCTTACTGACTTATACACTATGTAAACTGTAAATCCCTGTCTATTCTAAATATGGCTCGGCTCAGAACCCCATCGCCAGAACCAGCCGCTCATCTGATCTGGATCAGGTAGCCTCTTAGCGAAAGGTCGTGCCACGTTTGAGTTTCGACGGTGTGCACTGCGAAACTCACACCAGTTGGCCGCACCCCTACACACTGGCCACATGCCCCGCGCGGATCTCTTCCTTGGCGCACTCTACCTTGCGTCCTTCGGCCTGCTCCTCGTCCGACTCATGGACGCGACCATCACTGCCGAAATGCTGCGCATGCTGCCCGTCACGGTGGGCACCCGCGTGATGCATGCAATTCCCCAGCGCTTCGTGGTCCTCGCGGGCTAACTGGGTGGATGGATGCGACGATGTGTCTCTACTCTGTGAGTTCCGGAGATTTCTATCCTCGCGCAGAAACTGACAAAACGTTTCAAATCCTTCAGAACGAATTCCCTCTGCACGACTGACGGGCTGCCTCGGCATTAGGCTGGGGCCGATGAGACGGATTTTATATCATCAAACTCGGTTGTCCCGTGCAGAGCATGTCTAATGAAAATGCCTACGAACGAAAGAATGCCAGCTCAGATCCTGTTTCTGCCAAAAGAGGAAATAGCATTGCCTAAACAGGGTCACTACGTAGTAAATTGGGTAATCTTGCAGTGGATCCTCGATCCAATCAGCACTGTTTGCGGTTGAACGTATACGTGGTCAGACTGGTCGCTTTCAGCGGGAGGGAGTAGGCGCCCGAGTGGTTGGTTGCGGCGGCGACAGACACAAAGTCCTCCGTCGCGCTCGTGCGCACTGCTGCCAGCGGGCAGACGGTGTCAGGGAACGTCAGCGTCAGCGTCGTGTCGGTCGTGTTGGGGTTCATCAGCAGGACGGAGTACGTCGTGGGTGTGGCCACTGCCATCATCCACTGCTGCACGTCGCTTCCGGTCAGCGCATGCCGGATGGAGCCGGCTAGGCAGGTTGGGTGAGACGCCGGTAGGATAAAAGAGTAGTTCACATACGTTTGACGAAGTTGCCAAAGTGTTTGTAGGTCCAGTAGTGCTTGGAGATATCTGCGAGACAGGTCACTCTTCGAGATTTGGCTTCGCCCAAGTCTGGAACTAACATAATTGGTGGTTCCCGTTCGTTGCATAGTCTGGATCGTAGTAGATCAGGCCATCCTTGAGAAGCAGATCAGGATGAGGAGGTGGACAGCTAGCTCTCGACTTACAGTCCAACCATTCGAGTTCGGAGTGGTGGCACAGCTGGGGTTAGTCAGCGGCTGGCATCCGATTTCTAAGATCCGTTCAGAATCAACCGCTGTGCCGGAAGGAGCAACAAACCGTTGGAAACGAGAGTCCAGAACTAAAACGTTGATCAGACGGATCTTTGAGGAGAACTTGTCACAGCTTACATCGTAATGCGGCTCACTGGCGGTGACAAGACTCTGGAACACCATGCCAGAGAACATCAAGGCATTTGTGATTGTAGGGTCGTAGCCGCCGCTGTATCCTTTGCCACCTCCAGAAGCTGTTCCAAGAGAACAGCAGATCTCCTGAGCAGGGGTGTTCGCTACTAGTCCGACAGAGTGAAACTGCAGACACTTACCGACATCCATGTCTTCTTTCCGGGAGCTAGGGTGTTGACGTCGTTCACTAGCGCCGTGTACGACGCGTCACTTGGGAAATCGTATGTGTGATGGACGAGAGCAGCGACCTGAGCGAGTGAGCATGGGCATCATAGTACGACATAAAAACACACTTTGTCCGCAACGAAGGGCAGCCAAGTCGGGTACTCGTTCATCGCGTTGGATAGAGACGAAGACTCGTCGGCAAGAATGCCAACTTGGTTCTGCAGTCCGGTAGCCTGCAACGCGGCATAGACTCCATTGACAACCTCCGCCCGCCTGTCGGTTGAGCGTTCGTTCATTCCGGGGAAAGCAGAAAGCGAAGCATGCGCACTGGTTTGCATCGACTTCCATTCCCTCCTGTCCACACGAGCCAGGCGTGCCGAACGAGTCGTCGGGCTCGTTCATCGGGGAGACATATTGGACCGGCACTCCCAGGCCATGCCAATGCGAGATGACATCCGCGAGATATTTGCCATACGCTGCACCCGTTCCTGCGTGATTGCTCGTGTGAGAGAGCATGCACAATTAGAGGCCATCTGTGGTTCGCACCATTGATGAATCTGCCACCACAGCTGGCGCCGTTGCTCGTAAACGGAGGCGGGCCACTGTTGACAAAGAAGGTGATCGGCACCTTGAAGCTCGCCGCAGCCTGCATGAAGAAGACCCCTTGCGGATCATGGCTGTAGTTGTACACCCCCGGGCTGACATAGAACGTGTCCGGGGCGCGCACGGGATTGATTACACCCACCCCTCCGCCGCCGACGTTGTACCGGTAGGATGTCAGGCCGAGGCCGGTCGTCGGCGAGAAGAGCAGGTTCGATAGGTTCGTGCGGACGGCAGCAGGAAATTGGTACAGGTCGTGGGGCCACCAAGCGCCGGAGCCACCGATTCCGATAAAGGTCTGGGAGGCAGTCGAGGACACCGCGGCACCCTCCGCCACCTTCGGTGCAAGGAGAAGTGAGAGCAAGACAAGAGATTGTGATAACATGGCTGTCGGCAACGACGGACAATGGGCAACTTATATTCAGCCCAATTGACCCCGCCGGACCCGAAAATCAGCAGATGACGCTGGAGAGAGCATGTGTTGCCAGTGAGGATCATGGTAGCACAAGAATTTAGAATCCAGGAAGCTAGGTCACAGGTGCAGCCTCAATGCCTGATGTGAGAAGCAGACATGGACGCATCGTCGCTACGGATTGAAAATGAATTTGGACGCAGGTTTTTATAGGTTTTAAGCGAGGAATTCATGAGAAGAGACGTAGCATGAAGAGCGTCGAGGTCTGCAAGACTTTCATACTTATCTTTCCCGCGGTCACGAACACTGTGTATAGCGTCAGGTGATCGTGAATCCGGGCCGGGTCGGCCGACGACGATTGATCCTTTACACTTCTGATCTCATCCGCACAAATTAGATGAACCACTGCTCTGGGGCAACAACACTAACTTCCATCCCGGCCTCTATCATTCTAGTGATGCGTAGCATTGAATCAGGCTCCCTCCCATCAGCGAGGGGCGACACCAGTTGAAAGCAGTCCAATTTCACCGTCGTGTTCTCCCTGCGCGATTCCAGCAAGTCTGCTATGACCTTGGCCATGACAGGCTCGGTAATCGTGCGTTCAGCGAACAGGGATTTTAGCGAGGGAAGGACCAGCGGATTGTCAAGCAAGAACTGGAAGAGTACATCGAGACTGGATCCGCCCTTTCTGACTTCGAGGTGCTCCAGGAGATCCAGCGACCCGAAGAGCTCCATGCATTCCACATACGACCAGTATTCGCCAAGCCGCACAGAGAATGAGCGGAGAGAGCATCTCGAGCGGTGGACAAACGATGCGACGAGGGGCAACTGTGCCCGATGGATAACATCCAGCTCCAATCGCTCTAAGAGAGGCGCGGTTAGCTGAGCGAGCAGTGCCGGGCCACGATCGTGGCTGAGGATCAGACGCAGCGACTTAAGTGAGGACGCGTGGGGGGCTGATTGGGGAGTGCCCGCCTCGCCCCAGATGATGCAGGTCATGGACTCGAGATTTGGGAACGCCACGAGCATGTCGAGTGCATGCCGCACAGTCGTGTGCTCCATTCGCAGTGTCGTGATCTGCTCAGCCGGCAGGCCCAGGCTGGAGGCTTCGACGACCCCGCTGACGAGATGCAGATCGCGCAGCTGCGGCGTGTTGGCGAAGACGCACAACTTGACGTCGGATGATATCCCGTAGAACCCTTCCGAGTGCAGAGTGAGTTTCCGCAGCGAGGCGAGCGGTCGCTGGGGCGCTTCAAAGTTAGATAAGAGGAATAAGGGCGTCTGTAAGTCAATCGAGGTCCAGTGCGGCGCGTAGTCCGATATCAGTGTCGCGAGCGGATGGGAGTTACTGTGGGCGTGCACGTGTCCCTTGCTTCCGCGGTATACCAGGCTCAGCGAGAGCGGCATCTGCCCCGCACGCGGGAGCCAGAACTCGAGGAGCGGGCGGCAGCTCAGTATGTTGTGGGGCTTTAGTTCGAGATAGATTGTGTTCCATAGTTCGTGTGTCTCGAGCGCCAGTTGGCGCCATTGTCGGCATATCGCGATAAGAAGCAACGGAGCTTCCGTTCGCCATGGCAGAGCGTCTTGGACTTGGGGGAGGCAAAAGACAAAGATCTGGGAGATCACATCGAACGGAAGTTCCAAGATGGGACTGCGCGTTTCAAAGGGCATGGTGATGGCGGTCCACAGCAACTGACGGCAGTGTGACAGGCAGTAATTATGATATCCATGAATGCTAGAACGAATAATATGATAAATGAGCGCATGCTACTGTACAGAAATGCACATGTCTAGTAAAATATGTACCGTCCAGATATTAAAAAAAACAATCCCACCCATATCAATCATACAACAACCACTACCTGCTGCCCTCCTCCAGCTCCGCTTCAGCCATCAGATCACCCCAGGGGGAGGTTTCCATTGCCTGGAGGATGGCCTGAGGGTCCTCCCCTGGCGACATGGAGACCGAACTTTCTCTTGATCTGCTGTTTCCGCCGTAGTAATACCCAAGATCTCCGCTCAGCATGCTGATGTCGCTCGTCCGTCGGCCGCTGCGCTGCAGCTTGGACCCCGACGTAAGCGACACATCGGGCGAGCCGAAAAACGCCTTGGGCTGTGGCGTGGGCGAACCCGGTGTCGAGTAGATGGCGGATGAGATGTCTCTTGACGAGGGAGGTGGTGTCGCGGGCATTACATCTACCACGATCGACGGAGTCTCGGACATGTACTTCTGCTGCTTGTACTTGAGGAACCGCCGCCGGTGCGAGATAGTTTTGAGTAAAGACCTGACGCGGTCAAGGTTGACCAAGTCGGTGACCAGCTTGTTCGTTTCGGTGCGGACGACGAGATCTTTCAGCCTGTTCAGGATGAGTAGATTGCCAGAAGACTTTTGCATAACGCGCTTACACCAAGGCATCTCGATCCACAATGAGCTTGTGATGTGCCAGCAAAAAGAGCATGTCGGTGAAAGACATCCCTCGCCCCTGCTGGTGAGAGATACTGGCTTCGTGATATATTCGACTATAAATCGCCCTCCGTTTGCGAATTGCCGCATAGTCGATATCTTTGAGCACCTTCTCCAACTTGATCAAGTCGACACCTTCGATAACCCGATCCGGCCAATACTGCGACTCGGCCGAGGGCTTGCACTGAGCTTGAATGTTGGGGATGCTGTGTTCGACCGGGTAGATCCGTACTTCGAAGACACCGCTCAGTTTCTGGGGGATGTAAATCAAAATCTCAGCGATGGCAACCCACTCACGGCAAAAAACGGCACGAATTGAGTGCGTTCGAGGTAGCCTGTCTTGGGGTTCGCGAATTCGGCCCAAACTTTCTTGAATGCACGCATCTGGGCTCGCGTGATAGACTTGGTCCCACCCGACGTTTGGAAGACATAGGAAAAGTTCTCGACGACCACACCGGTGAACATGTTCACGAAAATGTACTACGATGTCGGATCAGCATTTTCGAAACAGGGCGTCGAAGATGCTCACCATGCTGAGTAGATTCCAGGTGATGAACAGCGTGAAGGCCCATACGGTGCTGCCACAATCCGAGTTCTCTTTCAAATCGCGATTGGTGCAACGGGGATACTCGATGGTGCTAAGATTCCATAAGCTCGCAGTGACTAATAGCATGAAAAAGACCCACTAGTCATGCATGTACTGGTTCCAAGCTTCACCAGTCGTGAAGAACGTGAGCATGACCAGGGTCGAACCCATGGTGCTGAAATTCTGTGTTCTTGTCTCGGCAGAATTCCACTTGGTCAACCCGAATACCTCGAGGAAGAGGATCGCAAAGAACAGGAACATAACCAACCACAGGCTCAACAAACTGATGATCACAGGCAGACTCGCGACCGCCGTCTTGAACAGTTTGTTGAGACTGTTCGTCCTCTCGACAAGCTTGAAGGTGATGCAGACCAGGAACAGCTTTTGCAGCTGCTGCACGAGAAATCCTATCGAGCCGAACCGTACGATGAAAGTTGTCCCGACGCTGCCTCCTGCGACAATGATGTCGAATACATTCCATCCATTTGCTCGAAAGCTGCGCCACCCGAGACCAAAGAAGCGAACCAGCACATCCAGGGTATAGATCGACGCACTCGCCAAGAAAAAGTCGTTTCGCAACGAATCGACGATGCTCTGAGTCGAGAATGTCTGTGTCATCAGCACAAAGATGTGCGCCACGAATACAGCAAACATTCCATTGGCCCACCATCCGTTCTTATGGACCGCTCGGTCGTAGCACCAAGACCGGACTGACCACGTCGGACGTGTGCGGGGCCGTTTCGAGGGACGCTGCCGACGAAATAGCTTCTGTAGATCGATCCATTCGCGTTGGGGCTGCGTGAGAAACGCTGTGCCTGTTTTGGAACTAAAGTTGCCGATGATGATACTGCAGAAGTGGTCAGAGAGTGTGAATGATGATTTCGCAAGAAGGAAACAAACCTGACAAACAGCGTCAAGATGACGACACCTCCCAGCAAGTTATAGATGAGGAAGAACAGCGAGTTGATCTGAGCAACATTGGTCTGAGGCTGGCTGTTGTTCCCTGTGATGCTGGTGGCCACGCCCATGACATCGACCCATCCTTCGAGTGACACGATCTCAAACAAGATCAACAGCGAGGCACGGAACGAGTCAAACGAGAACACTGTCGACGGCGCGGGATTGTCCCAAACGCGGGGCACGACAAAGCCAAACGCGTTCCCGAAGACAGTGTTGGTATATTCGTTGTTGCAGGTGTCTGCACCGGTGACACTGGAGTCATTGCATTCGTTCATCTTGCCGTTGAAGATGTTGAGCCCCCAGACAGCATACGGGATCATATACAAGATCGCCAGAATTCCTGCGTCCAATATCCGAAGTGCGCCAGAGATGATCAGGGACTCGAAAGTTGTGCGCATCCGGTCGACGAGAGTAATCAACCGCAACGCGCGCAGAGCTTTAAATGACCGTGTCAACCGGCTCAACCTCCGATGAATACAAGACCGGTGATGACGTTCACCAGCAGCCCGGCCATGATGACGAAATCCAGCAGGTTCCAGATGCTCCGAACGTAGGCATTTGGAGTGAGAAGAAACCGTCTGCGGTCACCTTGATGAGGAACTCGAGCACGAACACGAGCCCAAACACGCTTTCCGCAATATCGAACCATGCTCCCCGGACCAATCCGTGCTCAGCAAAGAAATTGCGCCTGTACACGGGGTTCGAGATCGACTCAACGGCAATCCCGCCAATGACGATCAGCAGCAGCGTCATCTGGAACAGAGGATACAGAATCGGTGATGGGGGAGTGCCAAAGATACGGGGCCCGCTTGCCGGCTGGACCAGTTTTTGACACATTCTCCGCAGCAGATTCTTCTGCGAAAAGATCCAGAATGTCTTGTCATATGTCGGGTGATCTCGGATGAAGTCGGCTTTCTGGGCTCTCCTTTCGTACAACGCGTCATTGAGTTCCTCGTTTGTGGTCGTCGTCTCATTTCGCACTGCGGCCAACAGTTCCCTGTGCTGCTGTTAGGCCAAAGAGAGACAAAGCAGAACTACGCACAAATGCCGTTCAGTTTCGTCATCCTCTGCGATTCCGCCAAGGGTGTCGTTGCGGGCATGCCGAAGCGTTGAGAGCGGGATGTCGGTTCGAGGATCGCCTCCGAACAACTTCTGCAAGGCAGAGAGCGACTTGTGGCGATAATGGCGACCTCCACTTTGGTTCGAGGCCTGAGGCGATCAGCTGAGATCTTCAAGGTAGTATCGTCGCGGCACACCTCGGTCATCATCTCCGTTTTAGGAACATTATACTCTTGCACCAGACTCTTCTGAATAGGAAGCACCAGGTTCGCCGGTAGCGCCTCGACCTTGACTTGGACCGGATTCGCTCTGACCCAGCGATATGGATTTAACTTTCGGATCCAGCTCGCACTGCCATTGGTCGGTCGATGTGCCTCTTCCCAATAATTGGTGGCCTGTTTGCCCCTCTTTGCCTCTTCCGCCACGTCAAAGTTTTCGTGATCACAGCAATGAACATTTGGAGCACGATGACTTGTCGCTTGTCAGTCAGGCAAAGCGGAAGTATTTGACTCACAGTTAGCAAAAGCATCCAAGCACTAACGAACAACACGGTGATAATACTCTGTCCGAAGATCTCCTCGGCCGCTGCAGTGGTGTACAGAACAGTTGTCCAATTCTCGGAGGAAAAGACCTGGTAAACGGCGAGGAACGCATTGAACAATGTGCTAAAGTTCATGGTCTCGCCAGAGTCGAGATCTCCGCGAAAGAATTGGACAGCGATGAGAGCAGCAACCAGATTCATGAGCATGAGGAAGAGCGTCATGTTGGCCAGACCATACATGTTGCCAAACACGGCCAGCTGGAATGTATCAGCCCGCGACGGAGAAAAGCATTTCTGGCACGAACCAGCAGAGGCTTCATGCGTGGAACGACCAAATAACGCGATAGAACCGCATGAGCTGGAATATCGTGAACCAAGGATACACTGAGGACTGCCTGATCACAGGTTTTGAATCACACTGTTCGCAATTGCCAGACACAGATCGAGCCAATTCTGTCCTGGTCCCGGAGCACCATTGTCTCGCTCGCGGTCAGTAGCGGAGGCTTTCCTGTTCTTGTTCTGCAGTCCAAGCCCGAAAAACGACCGCCAATCGGGAAGTGCCGCCAGCAGACGGAGAATGATTTCGATATCAAACGCAAGAGTGATGATTTGCTCTGAGAGCAAAAGTACATGTTCTTCGTGGGCAGAGATCTCGGGGGTTTCGGGTGGCCTGCAGAGCTAGTGACGCGAGCGCAAGGGCCACGAATATCCAGCGCGTGTACTTGATGACGACCGTCGCTGGATTAGCATGTCGACGAGCTGGGGGCCGGGCTGCCCAGCCATCATCGTCTGCGTGTCAGCTGGCGTAAGACTGTACGCTGATCAGGTTGTTGGACGACGGATGATGAACACTCCACTCCGTATTTCCGGCCCCGAATGCACTCGTCTTGGTTTCGGAACGGATGGCCGAGAACGTGTTCGTGATGACCGCGACGAACAGGTTGATGAGCCAGAAGTTGAGGACAATCACGCAGAGGATGAAGAAGACGGATGAGACAAAGTATTCAGCATCGATGATTTGGTACATCAGTGACGACCACTAGCACAGTATGTCAGTCTATGTTCATGAAGAAGCGAAAAGAGCCACTCCATTCGCGGAGGCGATGATGATGACCTGCAAAGGCCGAAAAATAGATTGTGTCGAAACTCTCGACACCGCTCAACGGATTTTGATCAGATTCCCTGCAAGTCTGGCCACTGGGACGACGAATCCTTTCACATTGGGGGAAACCTGACCCCCTGCAGTGATGTACGGTGTCACGTTCATAGACACAGGTTCAATCCAGCCTCCGCAGAATTG